AAACTGGTTCGAACTGTCGACACGCTAAACGCAAACTGGTTCAAACTGTCGACACGCTAAACGCAAACTGGTTCAAACTGTCGACACGCTAAACGCAAACTGGGTCGAACTATCGACACGCTAAACGCAAACTGGTTCGAACTGTCGACACGCTAAACGCAAACTGGTTCGAAATGTCGACACGCTCAACGCAAACTGGTTCAAACTCCGGTTGCGCCTGAATAGTGAAACTCTCATTCCCACGCATACTCATTGGTAATTAGTTCCTGTTAATTGTGTGACAATGCGGCTTCTATAATTATAACAAGAAATAACCGTTTTAATTTGAAGATCGTAAACTAATTCGAATGTGTATATGTCACAGTCAATTTGTAAAATCAGGCAACGTGTAAAACAGCTTTGACTTTCACAAAGACAGTTTACAAAATGCCAACATATTTCAGTCATTTTACAATTATGTAAGTTATTTAGAAGTTCAAAAGGGCTTAAAAACATCCCAATAAACTAATTATGCTGGCATTAGAAGCCAAAAATAAATTAAATTTTGCATTGATTTATTCTCATCCTATCTTTTCCAATAACTGGGTGATAAAAATATTGGAATTCGTTTTCATAATATAATAATTGATAAAAATAAGTGTAAACCGAGTGAAATATTTCGGCATTTTGTAAATTGCTTTGTTGGGTGAAATGGGGTTTAACGTCGCGTATTACGTCGTGAGATTATTGCACTTATAGAGCGGCTTGCATACACACGTGTGTGAGTGTGGCTGCTTGTACTAGCCCAGACTGATGCTGATTTATAGTGCTAGCTCACTGAGATACCATGCCGCAGTTTAACATGAATACCCCACTCAGACACAGTATGCTGACTCCGAGCCGACCAGTCCTTGTTTTAGCCCCTCCATTCCGAGCGCCAGACAGGGTAACAACAAGTAACATTTTGATATGAAGCGGTTGGGGATCGAAACCCGGAACCCTTCCGCTCTCCGGGCGGACGCTCTAAAATTACTTAGTGAAAATGTCAGTCATTTTATAAATTGTCTCTAACATATACACTAAACAAGAACGGTAAAGTAAAATTCAAACGTTTGAATCTCGGCCATGCTGCATACCTTAGGAATAGACACCAAGTATTAAACTCGCCAAGACTCGTCAAATAAAATGTCTATCTTTATTACAGGATATTCATAGCCCAAAATAACCTCGCGTGATAACCTCTATGTATTAACAGTGTAACGATACATCGTATTCTTGTATTGGAGCTGTGCCGTGACGCAGTGTATTGTTGCGTGGCGCTACCCAGTGTAAATGTTGAAAATGATACGTTAGTTGAAGTAACCTGAATGTTGGTACCCGAACATCGATTAACTCAATGTCAGTGAGAAGACAACAGGTCTTTGTTGTCGGTCAAACAGATACTGCCACATTCTTAAAATATCGCGTGGTCGACATTTCTTAGCCAACGATCCAAACCCATCACTCTATATGGTGAAATAACAATTCACAATGTGGGTTTATTGCTCGTTTAACAGAGCGTGTTCAGACAACCGTGAATGATGTGGGCACGCCAGTTATTCTCGGGAAAATGACTCGATGTTTCAAGGGAAGATCTACAATTCGCTGTCAGGCGGGATTCAAGAGAGCGTTCAGTGCAATTCGTCATTGCCCTGCGGGGAATTCGAAGAAAGAGCGTTGTGCTCGTACATCCGGTTTTTTTCCTTAAGTTTTTTAAATTTTCTTAGGAACCTGTAACCGGCTTTAAACGAGACTGGTTTTGATCTTAAGTGAGGTGAAAATAGAGGTTATCACGCGAGTGTGTTTGGGGATGGTAAATATCCTGCATTAGGAATAAACATTGTATTTAGCGAGCCTTGGCGAGCTAAATACATAGTGTTTATTCCTAATACAGGATATTTACCATCCCCAAACACACAAGCGTGATAACCTCTTTATCATATATTGTCATTCTTTAATTCTGTGCTTCAAAATCGCTTTCCCTCTCTCATAAACATTACCGAAACATTGCGAGTTTTCCTGGAATGCGCGCATTAATATTTATTACGTCACAGGGTAAGTGATGTGTCAGTCGGACAGTGACAGTAGCCAATATAGTTCCAACTGAAATCTGTTTCTTATACAGTGGCGAAGCAACATATACGCAAAACGACAATTGTTTATAATTGCCTTTCGCGGCAATCATCGGTCTGTCCGCTAGAGTAACTGCCCTTTGTCAAAGGGAAGCTACTCTAAAGCTAGTCTATGAGACGTCATGGCCACAGTCAGACGTTGTTGACAGTCGGTCTGTCCTGTCATAACGTTAAGCAGTGTAGTCAGATGTACACATAGCGACAAAACGGAACAAGGTAACAATTCAAAAACATATTTCGGCCAAATCCAACTATTTTAATTTGTGGAGAAGGTTTCAAGCCGCAGAGGTCTACAACTTACAAGCACAGATATGGCTACTGATTCCGCTTGGCTAGGCCTCGTGCCCTCGCAAAATTGTTTCTCCAAAGTTGCCAAAACTTATAAAATGCCTTCGCTACGTCACAGTTAGACACTGATTTTCAGTATATCAGACTGTTCTTTTGATAATGATAGCAATTATCTCTGTAGTTTATCCAGATTCCCGATGGTTAATTCTGACTCGATCGTCGAATGACAAGGGCGACGCCATGTTTGTTTATAAACAATGAAAGTAGTCCCTACTTGACCTTTGATATTTGCATCTCTATCCGCATATGACCCCAACGGTTATCGTTTTTATACGTTGGCTTTATCCCGCCGAGAAACCTACCCATTATATGATAATGGGTTTTACGTCGCGTCAAGATTATTGCACTTATATAGCGACGTGCATGTTCGTGTGTGTGTGGCTGCTTGTACTAGTCCGGACTGATGCCGATTTATATTGCTAGCCCACTGAGATACAATGCCGCAGTTTAACATGAATACCCGACTCAGACACAGTAAAATGACTCCGGGCCGACCAGTCCTTGTTTTATCCCCTTAATGCCGAGCGCCAGACAGGGTAACAACAAGTACCATCTGTTAACGTCTTTTATTATGACGCGGTCGGGGATCGAACCCCGGACCTTCCGCTCTCCGGGCAGACGCTCTACCTGTAGACCACGGAGGAGGTTGATCTTAAGTGTGTGTTGTGAATGAGATATTTTGTATAAATTGTGAATTATGAAACTAAGCAATATTTCAGCTCTATCAGGGGGCCTGAAAATAGTCGAATCGGACAAACTAGTGGTTGATGAGAAGAACAACGCCCCACGGCATCGGAATCCACGGGAAGACACTACAGTATAACGAACTGACGGATGAAACCAACTATCTCTTGGTCCCGTCCATTTACTGTATATTTGTTGTACCTATGCTTATAACGAACTACGGTTATAACGAATTAACATTAATGGTCCCTTTGAGTTCGTTATTACGTAGTTAACTGTATCCCCATTTAAAACGACTCTTACGATAAGTGAGGGGGACAAGGACCCGGAATCCCCGCAGTAGCTATTTTGTAACTATTGGACCCAGAAATATATTACCGTACTAATCTGATCGTAAGAAAGAGACTCACTTTAGTGGAACAGGTGGTCATTCTGGTTGCAGATTATTCTTTATGATTTCATAATGAAACTGCACTGTAAACGGCTTCATATTATGGCACCTACACCCCACCTTAGTAGGTGGCGCGTAGTGGAGTAGGTGGCGCGTAGTGGAGTAGGCTGTGGGTAGTGGAGTAGGATGTGGGTAGTGGAGTAGGATGTGGGTAGTGGAGTAGGATGTGGGTAGTGGAGTAGGTGGCGGGTAGTAGTGTAGGTGGCGGGTAGTGGAATAGATGGTAGGTAGTGGAGTAGGTGGCGTGTAGTGAAGTAGGTGGCGGGTAGTGGAGTAGATGGCGGGTAGTGGAGTAGGATGTGGGCAGTGGAGTAGGATGTGGGTAGTGGAGTAGGTGGCGGGTAGTAGTGTAGGTGGCGGGTAGTGGAGTAGATGGTAGGTAGTGGAGTAGGTGGCGTGTAGTGGAGTAGGTGGCGTGTAGTGGAGTAGGTGGCGGGTAGTGGAGTAGGATGTGGGTAGTGGAGTAGATGAAGTGTAGTGGAGTAGGTGGCGGGTAGTGGAGTAGATGAAGTGTAGTGGAGTAGGTGGCGGGTAGTGGAGTAGGTGGTGGGTAGTGGAGTAGGTGGCGGGTAGTGGAGTAGGTGGCGTGTAGTGGAGTAGATGGCGGGTAGTGGAGTAGGTGGCGGGTAGTGGAGTAGGTGGCGTGTAGTGGAGTAGGTGGCGGGTAGTGGAGTAGGATGTGGGTAGTGGAGTAGATGAAGTGTAGTGGAGTAGGTGGCGGGTAGTGGAGTAGGTGGTGGGTAGTGGAGTAGGTGGCGGGTAGTGGAGTAAGTGGTGGGTAGTGGAGTAGGTGGTGGGTAGTGGAGTAGGTGGCGGGTAGTGGAGTAGGTGGCGGGTGGTGGAGTAGGTGGCGTGTAGTGGAGTAGGTGGCGGGTAGTGGAGTAGGTGGCGGGTAGTGGATTAGGTGGCGGGTAGTGGAGTAGGTGGCGGGTAGTGGAGTAGGTGGCGGGTAGTGGAGTAGGTGGCGGGTAGTGGAGTAGGTAGCGGGTAGTGGAGTAGGTGGCGGGTAGTGGAGTAGGCTGTTGGTAGTGGAGTAGGTGGCGGGTAGTGGATTAGGTGGCGGGTAGTGGAGTAGGTAGCGGGTAGTGGAGTAGGTGGCGGGTAGTGGAGTAGGTGGCGTGTAGTGGAGTAGGTGGCGGGTAGTGGAGTAGGCTGTTGGTAGTGGAGTAGGTGGCGGGTAGTGGAGTAGGTGGCGGGTAGTGGAGTAGGTGGCGTGTAGTGGAGTAGGCGGGGGGTAGTGGAGTAGGTGGCGTGTAGTGGAGTAGGTGGCGGGTAGTGGAGTAGGTGGCGGGTAGTGGAGTAGGTGGCGGGTAGTGGAGTAGGTAGCGGGTAGTGGAGTAGGTGGCGGGTGGTGGATTAGGTGGCGGTTAGTGGAGTGGGTGGCGGGTAGTGGAGTAGGTGGCGTGTAGTGGAGTAGGTGACCGGTAGTGGAGTAGGCGGCGGGTGGTGGAGTAGGCGACGGGTGGTGGAGTAGGCGACGGGTGGTGGAGTAGGCGACGGGTGGTGGAGTAGGCGACGGGTGGTGGAGTAGGTGGCGGGTAGTGGAGAAGGCGGCGGTTGGTGGAGTAGGTGGCGGGTAGTGGAGTAGGTGGTGGGTAGTGGAGAAGGCGGCGGTTGGTGGAGTAGGTGGCGGGTGGTGGAGTAGGCGACGGGTGGTGGAGTAGGCGACGGGTGGTGGAGTAGGCGGCGGGTGGTGGAGCAGGCGGCGGGTGGTGGAGTAGGCGGCGGGTGGTGGAGTAGGCGACGGGTGGTGGAGTAGGCGGGTGGTGGAGTATGCGGCGGGTGGTGGAGTAGGCGGCGGGTGGTGGAGTAGGCGACGGGTGGTGGAGCAGGCGGTGGTGGAGCAGGCGGCGGGTGGTGGAGTAGGCGACGGGTGGTGGAGTAGGCGACGGGTGGTGGAGCAGGTGGTGGGTAGTGGAGAAGGCGGCGGTTGGTGGAGCAGGCGGCGGATGGTGGAGTAGGTGGCGGGTAGTAGAGTAGGTGGCGGGTAGTGGAGAAGGCGACGGGTGGTGGAGCAGGCGGCGGCCGGTGGAGTAGGCGACGGGTGGTGGAGTAGGCGGCGGGTAGTGGAGGAGGTGGCGGGTAGTGGAGTAGGCCACGGGTGGTGGAGAAGGCGGCGGTTGGTGGAGTAGGCGGCGGGTGGTGGAGTAGGCGACGGGTGGTGGAGTAGGCGACGGGTGGTGGAGTAGGCGACGGGTGGTGGAGTAGGCGGGTGGTGGAGTAGGCGGCGGGTGGTGGAGTTGTCGACGGGTGGTGGATTTGGAGGCGGGTGGTGGAGTAGGCGACGGGTGGTGGAGTAGGCGACGGGTGGTGGAGTAGGCGGCGGGTGGTGGAGTAGGCGACGGGTGGTGGAGTAGGCGACGGGTGGTGGAGTAGGCGGCGGGTGGTGGAGTAGGGGACGGGTGGTGGAGCAGGCGGCGGGTGGTGGAGTAGGCGACGGGTGGTGGAGTAGGCGGCGGGTGGTGGAGCAGGCGGCGGATGGTGGAGTAGGCGACGGGTGGTGGAGTAGGCGGCGGGTAGTGGAGTAGGTGGCGGGTAGTGGAGTAGGCCACGGGTGGTGGAGAAGGCGGCGGTTGGTGGAGTAGGCGGGGGGTGGTGGAGTAGGCGACGGGTGGTGGAGTAGGCGACGGGTGGTGGAGTAGGCGGCGGATGGTGGAGTAGGTGGCGGGTAGTGGAGAAGGCGGCGGTTGGTGGAGTAGGCGGCGGGTGGTGGAGTAGGTGGCGGGTAGTGGAGTAGTTGACCGGTAGTGGTGTAGGCGGCGGGAGGTGGAGTAGCTGGCGGGTAGTGGAGTAGTTGACTGGTAGTGGTGTAGGCGGCGGGTAGTAGAGTAGGCAACGGGTGGTGGAGTAGGCGACGGGTGGTGGAGTAGGTGGCGGGTAGTGAAGTAGTTGACCGGTTGTGATGTAGGCGGTGGGTAGTGGAGTAGGCGACGGGTAGTGTAGTAGGCGACGTGTTGTGGAGTAGGCGGGTGGTGGAGTAGGCGACGGGTAGTGGAGTAGGCGGCGGGTAGTGGATTAGGCGGGTGGTGGAGTAGGCGACGGGTGGTGGAGTAGGTGACGGTTAGTGGAGAAGGCGGCGGTTGGTGGAGTAGGCGGCGGATGGTGGAATAGGCTGCGGATAGTGGAGTAGGCTGCGGGTAGTGGAGTAGGCTACGGGTAGTAGAGTAGGCGACGGGTGGTGGAGTAGGCGACGGGTGGTGGAGTAGGCAACGGGTGGTGGAGTAGGCTGCGGGTAGTGGAGTAGGTGGTGGGTAGTGGAGTAGGCGGCGGATAGTGGAGTAGGCGGCGGGTAGTGGAGTAGGCGGCGGGTAGTGGAGTAGGCGGCGGGTAGTGGAGTAGGCGTGTCGTGGAGTAGGCAGGTAGTGAAGTAGCGGTCTGTGAGCTTAAGGTTGTAGTCAATCAAAAAAATCAGATCTTAGTTCTCGCTACCGCTCAACAAAGATCTGAGGACATCCCATAACGGGTCACGTCAGACCGACCTTTCGCCAATTTTGAGCGACCAATGAAATTACTGACAAGAAATCTACATTAGCCAATCAGAAGGCAGCTTTCTCGTGCTTTACGACTCTAGTTTCAAACTGGCGACTACGTTTCGAAACATATTCTGACGTTTTCTCGTGTAAAAAAAATAAAACTGACAAGAAGAACATTCTGGAATGGCTTATAGATGGCAAAGATTGGATGGATATGATCATAAAACCCGTAACTGTTGTTCGGAATACCCTCTGTAAACTATTTCCTGGTTGCATGATTAGAAAGCACATTCCAACTGTCACTTTCATGATAAGCGACGCTCTGATTGGTTGGATGAAAGGTCGTTCTGACGTGACCCTTAATGGGATGTCCTAAGATCTCTATTTAGCATAGCGAGAACTAAGATCTGATCTTAATGACATTGGGTCGTAGTTAGTCGCAAACATGCAATTGTTGAACTGAAGATAGTCTGTTGCCAATTCATATGAACAGATCTATTTTCATAATGAATTGTAACGTTTGACTCATTTTATTCTTCCCCGGGAAGGATACGGGAAACGTTAAATTTGTGGCATGTATGTCGACATGTTGGTTTATTTGAAATTTCAAGCCACGCATTTACGGAAACAAAACATACAAATCATGTGCGTCGAATGTTGATGCTATTCTTTTCCAGCAATAAGAGATACTTCAAAATCGTCTTTATGTAGTTAATTGATGCATCTGACCGTTTCTGGTCATTAGCTGACATTATTAAACCATTCATGTGTAATCCGATGTCCTTTTTTCCTCAAGGACTAATTTTCTGATTTTCACGGAATATACAAAAGAAGAACTGTGCTCCGGAGATCGTAAATAACAGCATAATAAAAATTATGTTCTGAATGTGCTTATTCATGAACAACGACGACATCTCAATTTAAATGTAATATGGCTGAATTCCATATTCTACATACCACACTTTTGATTGTTTGGATGCTCATGTTCACTGGAAAAATTTGGAATAGTTATATTCCGTATTTTGAATTAACCCAGTCCCCCGTGTGTGTTTTTTAATCAGTGCACCGCACATAACCACATGTGAAACATTTGGTAGCAAAGTCAAAGCAAAATCGGAGTAGTGTGTCAGCGAATTTGCATCAAGGCTGTAGTATTTTTTTTAAACCGTTTAATCGAATTCAATGTACAGCCGTAGCTCTGGTCATTCATATATTTTGTGTCCCATAGCTCAAATCTATTTGCGTCTGTACCGTGTTCCACTGACCTCGATAATCTGTTGGATGAAGGCACAGCTCTCTACAGCCACAAAGTTAACACCGAAGGCTATGAGGAGTATTTAGGTCATAATCAGTCCCCAGCAGCCACTGCCTCAAGCGATATTGTCTACATAACAGATCAGTTTTATGGCTCCGTCACAGGTGCTCCAAATATTGAAGCAGGGAAAACAAATTTCATAGAATCATTTCAAAAAGCAATATTGATATCCCCGTCACTTTTGGTAACTTTTAATGATGTCTCCATTGCAATTTTTACGGATTTCGATTCGTATGCATTGTATGCATTATTTGACTGTCTCATCAGCGGAATGGTCTTGGTCAGATTGATCCGAATGGACAAGCGGTTTTACTTCTGTTTAGTAGTATGGATGAATTGTCATGTTACATCTTAACAGTATATATATATCAGGCTACTATGCTTGTCGTAAGAGGCGTCGATCCCAATTGCGTGGATCGATGCTCATGATATTAGGCACTGGATTGTCTGGTCCAGACTCGATTATTTACAGACCGCCGTCATATAGCTGCGATATTGCTGAGTGCGGCGTTAAACGACAAACCAATCAATCATCATCATATGAACTCAAACCAGTCATTGTTACAAGTAAACCACATTCAACAGTTACTGACACTGGATAAAAAACAGTATATAGGAAAAAAACAAGTAACTTAACTCATCATGATCACAATTACTATTCTTTGAAAGAAAGAAATACACACAAAAAACTGACCAAAAAACGTAATCCGTTATTGATGAGTCCCGGTATTGAAATGTTCTCCAACTACGTGATAATATTTTGAGTATGTGCATCTGTGGTTGTGACAAAAAGACCTTATCTAGTATGACTTTTTTTGCCATATGGAGCCCTTAGTATTTTCATTTACATTATTATAGCCAAATGCTAAGTGTAAAAAGAATGTGATCTATTTTTTGAGTATGTGCATCTGCCAATGTTGTTGGCAGTTTTGATACTATTTCCACATGTTTACATTTGTGCCAGAAATTGCTTCCATTTCCTTCGATCTACTTTTTAAATAAAGACCCAGGTAAGAATAGGTCTTCAGCAACCTATGCTTGCCGTAAGAGGCGACGAACAGGATTGGGTAGTCAGGCTCGCCGATTTGGTCGATGCATAACATCATATTCCAATTGCGTAGTTCGATGCTCTTGGTGTCAATCACTGGATGATCTGGTCCAGACTGGATTATTTAGAGACCTCCGTCATATGGCTGGAATAATGCTGAGTGCGGCGTTAAACAAGAAACTATTTTTAAACAGACCTACCCTATGCAAATGTATCAACTGTATTGCCCAATACTCAAAATAAATAATATTTTTTTCCACAACAGCGTTGTGTTATTTGTGGTTAATATAATTATGCTCCATCATGCCTTTCAGTAACATCATAATTATGCGTTTGTGAGGCATCACATATGGCGGGGAACTTTGATGCTCTGCATCAATGTTTTTCTTGTAGTATATGGATCCATTATTGCAAATGTATATGGAAGTCAGTTTTCAAGTATACGATATTTCTTCGAGCATGTAGTACTGTTGTTACGACACGATCGGGAGTCTCGTCGAAGCAAAGCATAACCCCCTCCAGAAACCCAGAGTTAAAAATAGACGAATATAACAATAAGGGGTACATTGTGGGCGTCGGGATAATGAATATCGTGTTTATGAGGGTGGAGATGAACGAGGATTGAAAAACCGGATGCATCAGTGTTATAATATATAAAGGTCAACTTCCTCATTTAAACGTGCCATGAGTCTGACTCACACTGTTCCCGCGAAGAACCGCTTGGTATCACATTCATTGTTGTGTGGTCTAATAAATACTGATGCATTGACATTGTACAAGCAGTTGTTGTGCACCGCCCGGACAACCCAGCGGACGCAAGGTAATGTCGCTCTGTTCATCCTTCTACACTGTACATTATACTTATCTTTTATCACCCGCGTACTTTGAGGCCGTCAACACTTCCGACAGCTGACAGTCGTGTCTTAAATCTCTTTATCACACACAGCTGTAACGCATTGCCTCTGTATGAGTTTATTATCGTTCTGATTGTTGTTGTTTTAGGTTGTTGTGGTTGTGGTTACCGTAGTTGTGGTTGTTGTTAACCGTTGTTGATGTCGTTGTTGTTGTTTACCGTTGTTGTGGCTGTTGTTATTTACCGTTGTTGTGGCTGTTGTTATTTACCGTTGTTGTGGCTGTTGTTATTTACCGTTGTTGTGGCTGTTGTTATCGTTGTTGTTGTTCTTCTTCTTTTTCATTATTATTATCATTATTCTTCTTCTTATTATTATCATTATTATTATTATTATTATCTGTGTATCTATCTACGCACAGAGAACATATCCATACATTATGCCTGATTATAATAATTACATAGGACATCTCAGCGAAACACAATGTATTCAAATAACAACAAACAATACACTATTGTCACCACTGTGGTTTATTTACTTTTTGCCACCTAATATATTTTATACCAAAAATACAATGTCAATCTTAGTGTAACAATTTCTAATGAAATGCCTCAGCTACGTCACAATTAGACACAGTTAGACACTGATTTTCTGTATCTCAGGCTATTGTTTTGATAATGATAATCATCCAAGTAGTTTCTCCAGATTCACGATGGTTAATTATGACCCGATTGACAAGGGCGACGCCATGTTTGTTTGTAAACACTGCAAGTAGTACCGACCTGACCTTTCATATTTGCATCATTATCCGTAAATGATCCAAATGGATACTGTTTTTTTTATCCGTTGGCTTTATCCTGCCAAGAAACCTACCCATAACATGATAAATACAATCACCTGCACACACACACACACACACACACACACACACACAGCCACGCACGCACGCACACACACACTAACATACACTCACTAACATACATTCACATAGACACAAACACACACACTAACATACACTCACAAAGACACAAACACACCCACGTACATACATATGTACAATGTACGTACTCACGCCTAAAATACACGCACATAATTAGACACACTTGTACAGAAATAGACACACAAACACACGCGCGACGACCACATATAGTTTCGTGATGCAGTAGTGGACGTCTAAAATACTGACTATATGCACACGTGCTTTTGTTTCAGAAATGGAACATATGACAGTGGAAGAAAAGACAATGGGTACAACAAACAGACCACTGATCATAGTAAGGCTCGTCAATGACATCATCACAACGTCATAGATATGTTTTTTAAAGATTTAACCTGGGACCAACACTGAAAAGTAACCCCGATTGCCCTTTATTTTAAATGATTATTAAAACGTTACCGTGGAATCACGGATTCTTCATGTACTGCTGAATTGATACAAGGATATATGGTTGATTTATTTTTAAAAAAAAACAGGTTGGGGAGCCTTGTGGTTAAAGCATTCGCACATCACGCCGAAGATCCGGGTTCGATTCCCGACATGGGTGCAATGTGTGAAGCCCATTAATTGTGTCCCCGCCGTGATATTGCTGGATTATTGCTAAAAGCGGCGTAAAAACATACTCACTCACTCACTCACTGTTGTTCCAGGCAATCCTGTCACTCGCCCTACTTCTTATCAGTATTGCATTGACGTCCGTTCTCGTACACCGTTCCACCACGTGAGTACCTTTTGTCTTAACACTGAAACTTCGGAAATATAGAATCAATAACTTATTGATTATGATAAAAGAAAAAACGGTCCAAGACTGATCATGAAATGGAACAAGATTTGCTATGTTTCTGCTCTGTGGAAAATATTGAGCATGTCCCTCGGTGATGTGGAATTTTGCGCTACAGAACTATTATCATTATCATTATTATTATTATGATGATGATGATGATGATGATGATGATGATGATGTACTCTGTACATCTGTACATCACTTGCTTGACACCGAATTGTAATAAAGAAGTTGTTCATCCAAATATCTTATCCTTACTTGTTACAAAAGTGTCTGTCATATCGCTAATTGATATTTACTATTGTATTGAAAAAAATAATTCCACCCTGCACGGTTCAGAGTAGATCCACAGAAACCTATGCTGGGAGAAAGAGGCGGGGCAACATACCCTGAGCGTGTGGATCGTTGTTCACAATTTCAGTCACATGATTGTCTGGTTCAGGCCATTACCCGTCTAATGAAGATCCGGGTTAGAATAGGTAGAATAGGTCTTCAGCATCCCGTGCTTTTCGTAAGAGGCGACTAACGGAATCGGGTGGTCAGACTCTCTGAATTGGTTGATGTATGTCATCGTATCAATTGCGTGCATCGAAGCTCATGACATCAATCACTGGATAGTCTGGTCCAGGCTCGATTATTTACAAACAGCCGTCATATAGCTGAAATATTGCTGAGTGAGGCGTTAAACATAAAAAAAACGTAACGACGATGTTGAAAAAAAGTAAAGAATGAATGCACCTATTTTTTATGGTGGCTAAAAATGAAATGAAAGTTTAACGTATTACGCCGACTGTTTTCAGCCAAGTAACGGTTTAAAAACGTTTGTAATGCTTTGGTCAAATACTATTTGCAAGTTTACACTTTCATTTTCCTGGCAGTCTATTTATAGTGAATAGGAACTATATTATTTCCCCTCAGATCACATTTACGAGAAAAGGAACAAAGTTTAAGAGAGCGTTTCCCTGGCTACTTCCGGTTTCCGGAGGAACAGGAAGCGTTCGAGGCTCTTGAGCGTCCTTCAACCCCAGTGACGTCATTTCCTAATGTGACCCGTACAAGTGTGTCCCTGCAGTGTTCTGCTCTCCTCTCGTCCCCTTCTGTGCCTAGGCCTATTACACCAGCGGAAGTAATCGAACACAACGCCTGCTGCACTACGTGAGTTTAAAGCTATTAACTTTAATCCTAGTTTATACTTGAGTAGATTAATCAGAAAGAATTTGCAAGATGCCATTTTATGCCTATCTCCGAACAAAAATGTTTTTAGAAATGAAAAAAAGATCAAATCACACAGGTGAATAAAACAAAAACACTGCTAGAAACAATTGTTACGTCGTACCATGTACCATTTCATTATCAATGGAAAGAAATAGCCTAAAATGCCAAAATTCATTGTCAAATACAAGTTGAAATTTGAAATATTTTGCCTGTTGCCGCTGTCCGACTGCCTAGTCACTGATCTAGTGACGTAATGTATTAATGTGCACATTCCAAGAAAATTTCAATGTTAAGGGTCGTTAGATACAATGCTTATTCCGGATGCAGGTTATATACCATCCCAAAACACACTCGTGGTATAACATCAGTAATAATAGCATCACGTTAGTGCATTTAGCTCACCTGACTGAAAGTCAACTGAGGGTATCTCCTACATGGAGCTGAAACTTTCTATCAAACGATCCCAGCTATAGGGCTCACAGAATTCCAATCTGAGACCCGTGAAGATCCTGGGTACAATAGATCTTCAGCAACCCATACTTGCCCTAAAAGTTGACTATGCTTGTCGAAAGAGGCGACTAACGGGATCGGGTGGTCAGGCTCGCTGACTTGGTTCATACATGTCATCCATCCCAATTGCGTGGATCGATGCTCATAATGTCAATCACTGGATTGGCTGCTCCAGACTCGATTAATTATAGACCGCCGTCATACAGGTGGAATATTGCTAAACAACAAACAAACAAACAAACCAAATCAGTCTCACTCCCGCTATCAGAAGAAGCTTTACCAGAACTTGTTGAACAAAATACACGTTTGCTCCATATTTATACGAAGATGTTTATGTTATATGAATATGTGATCCAATCACATCAGTCCTGTCCTTAAAGCACTACATTGGCTTCCAGTCTCCTTTCGTATAAACTAAAAGATGTGTATCATCACTCACGACTGCCTCAACAATAGCGACTATCTAGACTATCTCAAAGATCTTATATCCCTGTACTCTCCAGAGCGTGCTATCCCATCCTCTGGTGGAACTCTACTGTATCAGCCTCTGTCTACTTCTGCTATGTCTGAACGTGCCTTCTCCTTTTGCAGTCCACAGTTATGGAACTCTTTGCCCTTGAATCTGAGAAACTCTGCTTCTAAGGAAACGTTTAAGTCTCTCCTCAAAACCCACTTCTTCACTTCAGGTTTTCAATAGATCTTCTGATTGTTGGCATATGTACATAGACATTACTTTTTGAACTTTGTCACAGCGCCAGTGAGCAACTGCCGATGGATATTAGGCGCTTTACAAATCAATTATTATTATTATCATTATCATTATTATTATTATTATTATATTGCAGGACGGCAACCTACATCTCGCCCGAATACTGGGTGGATATTACCGGTGTTAATAGGACAATGGCCGTCTTTGAGGATTCAATTGGCGCCAAAGCAAAGCAGTTCTTCCGAATAGAATCATGCGAGTATGTAAATATAAGTCAATATATATAAACTAACAATGATATAAGGAGCAAATTGTTCGTATGGTCTACAGCCAAGCTCAATTACGTCACTTAGCAGAAGCAGGATACGCTGACCGTTGGTCTAGCTCCTAAATCCACCTTGAAGAAGGTTACTGGTTTGTCAAAACAAGTCCCCACTCGCAGGTTTAAGATTCCGGGAGAGCATAGGTCTTCAGCAACCCATGCTTGCCGTAGAAGACGACTATGCTTGTCGTAAAAGGCGACTAACGGGATCGGGTGGTCAGTCTCGCTGACTTGGTTGATGCATGTCATCGATCCCAATTGCGTGGATCAATGCTCATGATATCAATCACTGGATTGTCTGGTCCAGACTCGATTATTTACAGACCGCCGTCATATAGCTGGAATATTGCTGAGTGCGGCGTTAAACAACAAACCAACCAACCAATCGCAGGTTTAAATTCTGATCGTATTTGGTTATGGGGATGCTGTGTTTAGGTGGTGTTTATGCTGTGAGAAGATAGTTCATTTCACCTGTTAAGAACCTGCACCTGATGAGATTCAAGGGAATATGTTTTGTTTGTTTGTTGTTTAACGCCGCACTCTGCAATATTCCAGCTATATGACGGCGGTCTGTAAATAATCGAGTCTGGACAATTCAGTGATTGACATCATGAGCATCGATCCACGCAATTGGGATACGATGACATGCATCAACCAAGTCAGCGAGCCTGACCACCGATCCCGTTAGTCGCCTTTTATGACAAGCACAGTCGCCTTTTACGACAAACACGGGTTGCTGAAGACCTATTCTACCCCGGATTTTCACGGGTCGCTTAGGTGGTGTGAAGATAGTTCACTTCACGTGTTAAGAACCTACATCTGATGAGATTCAAGGCAATATGTATTCCGTCATATGTTAACACATATATACACGTCTTGTATGTGTTTACATTTGAAATACATTGTTTACGGTGTATTGCTTCAATATTGGCCAAAGGAAGGGTTCAGACTTGGAGCTAATTTGACTGCTCTGAGTTATACAGGGATTCGTTTAATTAGTATGGCAAAAGAGGGCAAACATGACATCGCAATGTGGTCGTATGTTTTCACGGTTGAAGTACTGACGATGTATTCACGGGTGATGCAGGAACGTCATGTTGACATACCAGTGAAGTACTGACGATGTATTCACGGGTGACGCAGGAAAGTCATGTTGACACACCAGTGAAGTACTGACGATGTATTCACGAGTGACGCAGGAATGTCATGTGGACACACCAGTTAAGTACTGACGATGTATTCACGGGTGACGCAGGAACGCCATGGGGACACACCAGTGAAGTACTGACGATGTATTCACGGGTGACGCAGGAACGCCATGGGGACACACCAGTGAAGTACTGACGATGTATTCACGGGTGACGCAGGAATGTCATGTTGACACATCAGTGAAGTACTGACGATGTATTCACGGGTGACGCAGGAACGTCATGTGGACACACCAGTGAAGTACTGACGATGTATTCACGGGTGACGCAGGAAAGTCATGTGGACACACCAGTGAAGTACTGACGATGTAATCACGGGTGACGCAGGAATGTCATGTGGACATACCAGTGAAGTACTGACGATGTAATCACGGGTGACGCAGGAATGTCATGTGGACATACCAGTGAAGTACTGACGATGTATTCACGGGTGATGCAGGAACGTCTTTGTGACACACCAGTTAAGTACTGACGATGTATTCACGGGTGACGCAGGCACGTCATGTTGACACACCAGTGAAGTACTGACGATGTATTCACGGGTGACGCAGGAAAGTCATGTTGACACACCATTGAAGTATTGACGATGTATTCAAGAGTATTACAGAAAGGTCGTTTACACACACCAGTCAAGTACTGACGCTATCACTTACTGTGAGAAAATTGTGAGGTCGATTCACTCATTTCTCTAGGTGTCACGTGATGCTTTCAACATTATTTATTCATGCCACTTCCTGTTACAGGCAACAAGATGGATGCGACTTCTGCATGTGTTCAGTGAAGACGACTTACGTCACCGGAGTGTGGACAACTGGATCGGAGTATGGCGTGGCCTGGTTTAAAACTGACGGTTGTTGCAAGTGTCTGAACACTTAACGTAGGCATGAACAAAAATATTATCATGCTACTTTCATTAACCTGTAACCTAAACATTTTACCAGAAAGTTATGCCATTACAATAAAAAATGCTGTTCGTTATCAGGATTTATATGCAAGTCAAAATGTCAACGTAAAAGCAGTATTTTGTTTGTTTGTGGTTTAACGCCGCACTCAGCAATATTCCAGGTATATGAGGGCGGTCTGTAAATACTCGAGTCTGGACCAGACAATCCAGTGACTGGGATCGATGACATGCATCAACCAAGTCAGCAAGCCTGACCACCCGATCCCGTTTGTCGCCTCTTACGACAAGCATATTCGCCAGACGAAATATACAGTGAGGATTTCTTTTATGAAACGGGAAACATTTTTCATCGATTATCCAGCCTATATCTCACTTTTATCCTGGTCCTATTGGCCACCACACCTTCGTTTAGGAAGTGACGTCACTGTCTATCTCTTTTCATCGTTTCACTCGCTCATGGGCCGCCTCCGTGGTCTAGTGGTAGAGCGTCTGCCCGGAGAGCGGAAGGTCCCCGGCCGCGTCATACCAAAAGACGGTTAAAAATGGTTCTTGTTGTTACCCTGTCTGGTGCTCGGTATTAAAGGGCTAAAACAAGAACTGGTCGGTTCGGTGTCAATATACTGTGTTTGAGTGGGGTATTCATGTTAAACTGCAGCCTGGTATCTCAATGGGCTAGTACAACAAATCGGCATCAATTTTGGACTAGTACAAGCAGCCACACACACGCACACATACACGTGGTGCTCGGTATTAAAGGGCTAAAACAAGAACTGGTCGGTCAATATACTGTGTCTTAGTGGGGTATTCATGTTAAACTGCAGCTTGGTATCTCAATGGGCTAGTACTACAAATCGGCATCAATCCGGACAAGTACAAGCAGCCACACACACGCACACATACACGTGCATGCACGTCGCTTTATAAGTGCAATAATCTTGGATGCGACGTTAAACCCCATTTCAGCACCATCACCCACTCATGATTGGACCGCTATAATTAGTTTACAGTAAACTACGGTTATAACGAACTCAAAGGGACTACTAATTTCAGTTCGTTATAACCGTAATTCGTTATAAGCATATATACTGTATAACTACAGCAAATAGTTGGGAATAAAAAGTTAGTTCGTTATATCCGTTAGTTCGTTATAAGTGTGTTCGTTATAACCGTAGTTTACTGTAGTTCCATTCGAATCTGGCTCAAAACGAAGCTAATTGGTCGAAAAGGTTCAGAGTATTTGTCATTACATCTAATCTTGTAATATAATAATAATCTTGTAAACTGTCACAATTCTTTCTCGAATCCAGTTTTCCGATTATTGCCAGACTTAGACCAAGCTTACTCACGTCTCCCCAAACCATGACGGTCGGCGAGAATTTGGAACCATTCTTGAAAACATTCCATCCCATATATAAACACTGTTCAAAGCGATGAATTTTAAAAACATGGAAGACGGTGTGCATGTTATTTTTAACATTTTATTTTTTTCTTATAGAACTATTTAAGGCATCTATGTACAAATGCAGTCGAAGATACGATTCACATGCATCATTCGTGTTCAGTAGGGCTACGTGTACGGAGTAGTAACACACATATTAGCGATATTTCTATTTCTAGGAACTTTGAGGCAAAATAATTATGTAAGGCAGGATGTTTTGTAGTCAGGTGGTAGAGGATGAAAATCTATTACTTAATTTTGTATGGCCTAAAGAAGCGAATATGGTGTGGTGCAAAAACATCGGACAATCTCATTTTAGCCGAATGCTACAAATTGGTCTTTGAGATTTTTGTTTTAATGAATATGCTAGCCGTGTATAATATTGCCTCATGGAGAATATCACTAGCCGGTGATTATGTCTGTAACTGACAATGCAGCCGCGAATAGCTGCAATACTGCTGATGTGGCTTTAGGCAATATTTACTCTCTCACTGGCAGTGATATTTTGTTTCAAGCTTCAGGATACTTTATGGTTTTCACTATCATCGGACATTCATGTACACAATTTCTTTTGTTATATTATATTGAGTAGTTGAGAGTTTTAGTTTAAAGTTTTATATGAAACTGTACCAAAGGGAGAGGACTCTACTCTAATCTACAAAGGACTTTGTGTATGTAAATTACATAGCATTTTCAAGCTCAAGTCATAATTTGGCTAAATGCTACTTGAAGAATGAAGAGCATAACAGAAGCATGACCAAACGACTACTAACGAGCGCATGCGTTTGACCTTATGATATTACGCATGCGCACGGACAGCGTCTAAACGCGAGAACACGAGAACGCGAGAAAATGAAATGTCGCATTTTCGCGTTCTCGCGATTTCGTGTTTTTTTGGTCTAACTTGGCAAGTCTGGATTTCGTGATTGCGATATTTTACATCATGTCTAAATGTCGCATTCTTATGTTGTCGACTTTTGACAAAACATGCCATGTACCAAAACCACGAGAATGCGAGATCGCGAGAACGCGAGATTTTGGCCAAATATCGCGTTCTCGCGATCTCGCATTCTCGTGTTTTGGGCATATTTAGCTCGTTTCCAAAGGTCGAGATCGCGAGAATGCGAGATCGCGAGAATGTCCCTTACAACAGACCATAGTAAGGCGCTACAAGATTAACATCTCATCCTACCGGGTACCCACTCACTGCTGGGTGAACAGAGGCACATTTTGAACAAAGTCACTTGCCTGAGGAGACACCATATGTGGTACATGTGCTTCAGTGTGGGGCAGGACCGAAGTCCTAGAAGCTCAAGCTGCTTAACGTGGTCACCCATCTATCTACTCTCCGAGACCGACGTTGCTTAACTTCACCTGTTTGCTCAGACCAGCAAGAGGCGCCACCTGACATCTGTCATTCTTCCCAGGGATGGCCAAAGTCCCGATCCCGGCCAACGCTCTTCGCCTTCGGAAGATTAAAAATGTTCAAACTTACAACTGTAGCTTTGTTTAGTTCCGTCAGACTTTTTTTTATCGGATACCTGATTCATTTCATGCCAATAGTCTCGTTTTGTCGGGTTTTTTTTTTTACATCGCTATTTCTGTGTCGTGTACAAGCGAACGTGAGCCGTTAGCAACAAGGAAGATGATAGCCGAAAACCTCTCACATCACAAACAGTTATTGAGGATTCTCTCAAAGAATCCATTTGATAAGTACTTCAATACTCCTATTTTAAACAGTCGTCTACAGAATTAGTGTGAAAGTCATAATATTGATAATGAACAAGCTTGTTTTAGGGCACATTGCTCCACTATTCACAATATATTTTTCATTCCTGGTAATACTCTAGAAATACATTAGTGATACCCGTAAAGATCCGGGGTAGCATAGGTCTTCAGCAACCCATGCTTGCCGTAAAAGGCGACTATGCTTGTCGTAAGAGGCGACTAACGGGATCGGGTGACCAGGCCCGCTGACTTGGTTGATGCATGTCATCGTATCCCAATTGCGTGGATCGATGCTCATGATATCAATCACTGGATTGTCTGGTGCAGACTCGATTATTTACAGACCGCCGTCATATAGCTGGAATATTGCTGAGTGCGGCGTAAAACAACAAACAAACAAACAATTGCGTGGAGTAGAATAGGTCTTCAGCAACCCATGCTTGCCATAAAAGGCGACTATGCTTGTAAGAGGCGACTAACGGGATCGGGTGGTCAGGCTCGCTGACTCGGTTGATGCATATCATCGATCCCAATTGCATGGATCGATGCTCATGATTTCAATCACTGGATTGTCTGGTCCAGACTCGGTTATTGACAGACCGCCGTCATATAGCTGGAATATTGCTGAGTGCGGCGTAAAACAACAAGCAAACAAACAAACACACTTAATGTAAAGGGGAATTGTATATGACAGAATTGAAAGTTGTGTACGTTTGTATTTACATTCAGAATTGACTACAAAGCGCTTCTTCCAAATCCAAGAGAGAACCCACGCAGCTGCTGAATCATTCCATATCCTCACAAAGTTAGTATTACCGTATAACTTCAAGTAACCTTGGAATAAATGGCATGACTTGAAAGATTAGACACGGTACGTCAACTGATACGTACACTCATCCTCTTAATGTCAGATAGAATATACACTTTAACAGTCTAACCTTCCATATAATTGATCCGAACGATATTTAGTTATTGTTTAGTCTCTGTTATAAAAAAATGCCACAGATGTTGACATACAATATTGTTCGATTTGTGAGCTTAAAATCTCCTTTATCAGAGTCGGACATTTTCTACACCCTTAAACCGCCCTGACCAGATAGACGAACGTATTCAACGCGATGCGGACTTCCCTGATCAGATAGAACAATTTACTGTATGATGTGCAAATCGCCCTAATGAGACTGACAAACGTATTCTACGTTCCGAGTGTCGCCCTCATTAGACAGACGAACGTATTCAACGCTGTGCGGACCGCCCTGATCAGATAGAAGGATATATTTTATATGATGTGCGGACTTCCCTGATCAGATAGACGGCCGTATTCTACACTGTGCGGACTTCCATGATCAGATAGACGGTCGTATTCTACACTGTGAGGACTTCCTTGATCAGATAGACGGTCGTATTCTACACTGTGAGGACTTCCTTGATCAGATAGACGGGCGTATTCTACACTGTGCGGACTTCCTTGATCAAATAGACGGCCGTATTCTACACTGTGCGGACTTCCCTGATCAGATAGACGGTTTGTATTCTACACTGTGCGGACCTCCCTGATCAGATAGACGGCCGTATTCTACACTGTGCGGACTTCCCTGATCAAATAGACGGCCGTATTCTACACTGTGCGGACTTCCCTGATCAAACAGTCGGTGCAAACCGACCAGACACAAGTGTAAATGAAGATTGTTTCGAAGCATTTAAAACTGCTGACTGTTGTCCTCATAGCCGTCTGTTGTGGGACGCTCCTATTCAATTTGCGACAGTCGGTGCGGAATTGGGAATTTGTCAGAGGGAACCTCGCGAGGTCACGTGTACTTGATGCAAGGACGAAAGATGGTAAGAAGACAGAATTTTTTACACGATACCCATTTGAATTATGGGTAATGTTTCTTTGTCTGAAAAATAGTCTTTTCTTTGTACACTTTTCCCCATATGTTTGGAATTTTTCTACCTTCACATCTTTCGAAAATCTGATTGGGGCAAAGACATACAGTAAACTACGGTTAAAATGAACTCAAAGAGAACACTAAGTTTAGTTCGTTATAACCGTAGTTCGTTATCACCGTAGTTCGTTATAAGCCTATATAGAGCATATATACAGCAAATGGACGGCAGCAAAACAATTCGTTATATCCGTCAGTTCGTTATAAGCGTGTTCGTTATAAACGTAGTTTGTTGTACATGTACTCTTAGAAAACGCTTCTTTGAAACCACTTTTGCTTTTGGCACTTTTCAGCTTTACCATATTCAGTGTTCTTATACTACACGTGTTCAAAAGACTTATAATACTTGGTTTCTGCTGTTCTTTTACGTTATATACTAGCTAAACGACGGAGGTCTTAAGTAATCCGGTCTGGATGAGGCCTGAGCGAAATGAGGTTTAACTCGCGTTCAAGATTTGTGCACTTATATGGCGACGTGCGTGGTATTGTGTGTGGCTGCTTGTACTAGTCCGGAAACCTAAATAGGAGCCTATTGCAAGTAAAAGATATGCCAATGAAACACCAAAATCAATTGTAGCATCTTGGTGAACAACACGTCGACGGAAATGTTATTTGTTTCTGAAATCGACATATTCCACGGCTTTCTATAACTTGCATGATAACAACAATTTCATTTACCTGGAAATCAATATTAATTAATAAACTATGACAAGTTAGTAGTGCTGACAAACCAAGGACCGTTTATAGGTTTGGTTGGTTGGTTGTTTTACGCCGCACTCAGCAATATTCCAGCTATATGACGACGGTCTTTAAATAATCGAGTCTGGACCAGACAATCAAGTGATTGATATCATCAGCAACGATCCACGCAACTTTGATCGATGATTTGCTTCAACCAAGTCAGCGAGCCTGACCACCCGATCCCGTTAGTCGCCTCTTACGACAAGCATAGTCGCCATTTACGGCAAGCATGGGTTGCTGAAGACCTATTCTACACCGGATCTTCACGGGTCCCGTATATAGGGGTTTGATTGGTATTCGAACCATTTTGACCCTTTTTCATAAAGTTTGTCTGTTTGTTAGTTGTTTAACACCGCACTCAGCAATATTCCGGCTATATGACGTTGGTCTGTAAATAATCGAGTCTGGCCCAGACATTCCAGTGATTGACACCATGAGCATTTTCATAAAGCCTCCCTGTTCGTAAACACATATTGATATAGAAGATGGTTGTGATCGACTGTGTTGTTGGGGCCAGGAATGAGTGTGTGAGTAAAACAAGTAAATGAAATAAAATCTAGACACACCCTTATTACCTCCAATAATTGTGTTTCAGGTTATGTTAAAGAGGTGGCAGAAACAATTGCATCTCGCCTGCGAATATCTTGCTGGGTTATGACAAACCCAAAAAACCTCGAAAGCAGATCGAGATATATCCAGATGACGTGGGGTAAACGCTGCGACAGAGTGGTGTTCATCAGCTCAGAAACAAACACCGCTTTCCCAGCAGTCGGACTTAACGTGTCGGAAGGCCGAAATCATCTGACCGAAAAGACCCTCGGTGGATACCACTTTGTCTATGAACATCACTTCGATGACTGTGATTGGTTCTTTAAAGCTGATGACGATACTTACCTCATTGTAGAAAACCTTCGTCTCTTCCTGACACAATTCGATACAAACAAACCTATATATTTCGGCCATCACTTTAAGACAATTATCAAACAAGGATACTCCAGTGGCGGATCCGGATTGGTCGTCAGCAAAGAGGCCCTGAGAAGGTTTGGTCAACAGGGACATGACCCCAAAATATGTCGTCAAACTGGCATCGGGGGTGACGTAGCTTTTGGTCAGTGTATGGAATCCCTTGGAGTACCCATTGGCAACTCCTCTGATTCCAAAGGCAGGAGCCGTTTCCATTGTTTGGCTCCATCTGCTCACATTGATGGGAGGTATCCAAAGTGGTACTACTCTTATGATGCGAATGGAGCAAAGAAGGTAAATAAATATATTTATCGTGTTAATGTTATAGGACAAAGATGTATTTGAAACGTTCCATAACGTTGGTTTGTTGGCTTGTTGTTTAACGCCTCACTCAGCAATATTCCAGCTATATGATGGCGGCCTGAAATAATCGAGTCTTGACCAGACAATCCAGTGATTGATACTATGAGCATCGATCCATGAAATTGGGATATGATGACATGCATCAATCAAGTCAGCGAGCCTGACCACCCGATCTCGTTAGTCGCATCTTACGACAAGCATAGTCGCCTTCTACGGCAAGCATGGGTTGCTGAGGACCAATTCTATCCCGGATCTTCACGGGTCTTGTATTACTGGGCTTCGTAATAAGCAATATCAGCTAAAGTATTACTGGACAGGTATTTATATATTCCATAACGACGGAGGTATTACTGGACATGTATTCATATATTCCATATGGACGGAGGTATTACTGGACATGTATTCATATATTCCATATGGACGGAGGTATTACTGGACATGTATTTATATATCCCATAGGGACGGAGGTATTACTGGACTTGTATTTATATATCCCATAGGGACGGAGGTATTACTGGACTTGTATGTATATATTCCGTATGGACGGAGGTACTGGACATGTATTCATATATTCAATATGGACGGAGGTATTAATGGACATGTATATATATGTTCCATATGGACGGAGGTATTGCTGGATTTGTATTGATATATCCCATAGGGACGGAGGTATTACTGGACATGTATTCATATATTCCATATGGACGGAGGTATTACTGGACATGTATTTATATATCCCATAGGGACGGAGGTATTACTGGACTTGTATCTATATATTCCGTATGGACGGAGGTACTGGACTTGTATTTATATATTCCATAACGACGGAGGTATTACTGGACTTGTATTTATATATTCCATATGGACGGAGGTATTGCTGGACATCTATTTATATATTCCATATGGACGGAGGTATTACTGGACTTGTATTTATATATCCCATAGGGACGGAGGTATTACTGGACTTGTATGTATATATTCTATATAGACGGAGGTACTGGACTTGTGTTGCTATATTCCATAACGACGGAGGTATTACTGGACTTGTATTTATATATTCCATATGGACGGAGGTATTAATGGACATGTATTTATATGTTCCATATGGACGGAGGTATTTCTGGACTTGTATGTATATATTCCATATGGACGGAGGTATTGCTGGATTTGTATTGATATATCCCATAGGGACGGAGGTATTACTGGACATGTATTCATATATTCCATATGGACGGAGGTATTACTGGACATGTATTTATATATTACATATGGACGGAGGTATTGCTGGACTTGTATGTATATATTCCATATGGACGGAGGTATTGCTGGACTTGTATTTATATATCCCATAGGGACGGAGGTATTACTGGACTTGTATTTATATATCCCATAGGGACGGAGGTATTACTGGACTTGTATGTATATATTCTATATAGACGGAGGTACTGGACTTGTGTTGCTATATTCCATAACGACGGAGGTATTACTGGACTTGTATTTATATATTCCATATGGACGGAGGTATTAATGGACATGTATTTATATGTTCCATATGGACGGAGGTATTTCTGGACTTGTATGTATATATTCCATATGGACGGAGGTATTGCTGGATTTGTATTGATATATCCCATATGGACGGAGGTATTACTGGACATGTATTCATATATTCCATATGGACGGAGGTATTACTGGACATGTATTTATATATTCCACATGGACGGAGGTATTGCTGGACTTGTATGTATATATTCCATATGGACGGAGGTATTGCTGGATTTGTATTGATATATCCCATATGGACGGAGGTATTACTGGACATGTATTCATATATTCCATATGGACGGAGGTATTACTGGACATGTATTTATATATTACATATGGACGGAGGTATTGCTGGACTTGTATGTATATATTCCATATGGACGGAGGTATTGCTGGACTTGTATTTATTTATCCCATAGGGACGGAGGTATTACTGGACTTGTATTTATATATCCCATAGGGACGGAGGTATTACTGGACTTGTATGTATATATTCCATATGGACGGAGGTAATGGACTTGTATTTATATATTCCATAACGACGGAGGTATTACTGGACTTGTATTTATATATTCCATGTGGACGGAGGTATTGCTGGAAATGTATGTATATATTCCATATGGACGGAGGTATTGCTTGACTTGTATTTATATATCCCTTAGGGAGGGAGGTATTACTGGACTTGTATATATACATTCCATATGGACGGAGGTATTACTGGACTTGTATGTATATATTCCATATGGACGGAGGTATTACTGCACATGTATTTATATATTCCATATGGACGGAGGTATTACTGGACTTGTATTCATATATTCCATATGGACGGAGGTATTACTGGACATGTACGTATATATTCCATATGGACGGAGGTCTAAATGGACTTGTATGTATATATTCTTTATTGACAGAGGTATTACTGGACTTGTATTTATATATTCCATATGGACGGAGGTTTTACTGGACTTGTATGTATATATTCCATATGGACGGAGGTACTGGACTTGTTTTTATGTATTCCATATGGACGGAGGTATTAATGGACTTATATGTATATATTCCATATGGACGGAGGTACTGGACTTGTATTTATATATTCCATAACGACGGAGGTATTACTGGACTTGTATTTATATATTCCATGTGGACGGAGGTATTGCTGGAAATGTATGTATATATTCCATATGGACGGAGGTATTGCTTGACTTGTATTTATATATCCCTTAGGGAGGGAGGTATTACTGGACTTGTATTTATATATTCCATATGGACGGAGGTATTACTGGACTTGTATTTATATTTCCCATATGGACGGAGGTATTACTGGACTTGTATGTATATATTCCATATAGACGGAGGTATTACTGCACATGTATTTATATATTCCATATGGACGGAGGTATTACTGGACGTGTATTCATATATTCCATTTGGACGGAGGTATTACTGGACATGTACGTATATATTCCATATGGACGGAGGTCTAAATGGACTTGTATGTATATATTCTTTATTGACAGAGGTATTACTGGACTTGTATTTATATATTTCATATGGACGGAGGTATTACTGGACTTGTATGTATATATTCCATATGGACGGAGGTACTGGACTTGTTTTTATATATTCCATATGGACGGAGGTATTACTGGACTTGTATGTATATATTCCATATGGACGGAGGTATTACTGCACATGTATTCATTTAATCTATATGGACGGAGGTATTACTGGACTTGTGTTTATATATTCCATATGGACGGAGGTATTACTGGACTTGTGTTGATATATTCCATATGGACGGAGGTATTAATGGACTTGTGTTGATATATTCCATATGGACGGAGGTATTAATGGACTTGTATTTATATATTCCATATGGACGGAGGTATTATTATTGTTATTATTATTATTATTATTATTATTATTATTATTATTATTATAATTATTATTTATTATTATTGCTATTTTATATTTCAGGGCATCAATAGCATGAGCGACCTATTATTATTATTAATATTATATTTCAGGGCATCAGAAGCATGAGTAACCACCCCATCTCATTCCATTACGTTCCAGGCAGCAAAATGTTGGAGCTTGAGTATCTGATCTACCACACCGGTGTAAACGTACTTCATACAAATGGTCATGTGCCACACAGCAGGAAATGAAAATTCAGTCTCCATAATGTTGTATTACTGCAAATGTCTCTGAATAAACGGCTTGTATTCAAGTAAAGTGAGTAATCCCGTCTTTCTGTTTTAGCACCGCGTGTCAGCTTAATAGTGGGTAAATCAAAGCGACAATACCTTTTCCATATTCATAAGAAATCTCTCCCAAATGAACAGTCGATTGTACGATTCCGACTATATATCATGCGCATGTGTACATAATTAAGTTTTCGTTGTGGTCGTTGTAATTCTTGCATTCTGATTAGCTGAATTGGTCACGTGTTATTACATTCATTTCCCAATGAAAGGCACTCTCCTACCCATAGTTCCTTGCATTGTCAGCATGGTACCTCTGCCACAGGCCAGCGCCATGTGACGTCACATCCTTCACAGTCCATTCAAGATATTGCGTATGCTTTTCATCCGTTTCATTGTTGACAAGTTTTCACATTTTCATAAACAAATGTCAAACAATGGCGACGGTTCATTAAGAGTGAGTGAGTGAGTGAGTGAGTTGGGTTTAACGCCGCTTTTAACAGTATTACAGTTATATCGCGGCGTGTCAGCTTAATGTGGGCGGAAAGCCCGATGTGATGCAGGTCTCAGACGTTTACCACTTCGCTGAAACGGATATGGTGCTGACAGACCTAGAAACATAATCGGGGCGAATCAGGATTCGAACCCACAATCATAGGTTTCTGGCGTGCCAAAGAGACGCAACTCTGCACAACGAATCGCGGCGCCTTAGACGACTTGGCCACCCGTGCCCGCGGCTCATTAAGAAAGTATCCTAAAGTATAAGCTACTTGTTTTTGCGTAGTTATCCTTTGTTTACATTGGTTGTACGGCTCCACGTGCTGTCATCGAAGCCCAACGGAGAGCTGGCGATACGGTCACTTTGATGTATAAATATATACTGAACCGCAAATGAAACGTCACCATGGATAGATATATGAGAAACCTTATTTGTCCAAACACTGTAAACATACTTTGAGACATATTAAAAAGATGAAACTTGGCAAAACTGATCATCAAGGTTGGAATTAAAGTGTCAAATGTTCTTAAAGTGAAACACAACATTAGTCTCTGAGAAAATGGCATCACAAGTCAGTATCTCGTGTGTCCGCCATGTTCATTGATGACTGCTGTGCAACGTCGATACATGGAATGGATGAGGCGGTTGATGAAGGCCATAGGCAAATTGAGCCCACACTCTGAGGAACGACTGACGCAGTTCAGCTGCAGTTGTCGGCCTTGGTCGGGCGTCATTCAGCCGTCTTTGAATCTCGTCCCACAGGTGCTCATTGGGATTTAAATCTGGACTGAGGGCAGGCCAGTGCTTGGTTCTGATGCCATTCTGCTGGAGGAAGTCTCTTGTTGCTCTCGCAGTGTGGGTACGGGCGTTATTATGCTGAAACTCGTGGTTGCGGCGACGTGCCAAATGAGGTATGGCGTGTGGTCTCAAGATTGATCAATGTACCGAGCTGCTGTGACACCATTGCCTCTCCCTGGACCGATGTTCTGGAAGACCACAGGGCTGACCCTCTGTGCAAGACCAATTCCATCCCACAGCATGATGTTTGGACCACCCCATGAGTCTCTCTCACCAACACAAGCATCCGAATGACGTTCCCCACGGCGTCGCCAGACTCTCTCTCTCTCTCTCTCCTCTCTCTCTCTCTCTCTCTCTCTCTCTCTCTCTCTCTCTCTCTGCCATCTGCTGTTGAGATACAGTAACGGCTCTCGTTTGAGAAGAGGACTCTTCTCCAATGATGGTGGCGCCATGGCTGGTGCTGTGTTGCCCACTGAAGACGGTCCCCGCGATGAAATGGTGTGAGAATGGGTCCTCGGTGTGGCCTGTGACAGTGGAGGTGTATGCTTGTCAATCGTCGACTTACGGTGTCCGCACTAATGTGTCGCTGGTGTGTACCCATGGTCTGTCGAACACTGTCCGCCGCAACAGCAACAACGCGATCTTGAAGATGCTGGCGCACAATCTAACGTCTAGTGGAGACCCTTGGTCTTCCACTACGTGGTCGGTCATCTGTAGTGTTGGTGGTCTGGTACCGTTGTTTGAGCCTTTATGTGGTCCTTACGTGGACTTGAAATGCATTGGCTACTTGCCGGGCGGTTTGTTCAGCTTGCAATCGTCCAAGGGCTTGGTGTCGCTTTTTTGTCAGTCTTGGCAAGTGGTAGCAATTCAATAACTTATGAATGTTATCCGCTCTGGGTGGATTTATATAGGGAAAGAAATTTCATTTTGCACAGAACAGTGAATCGGGTTGCCATAGCTGATGCCGTGATGCGTTTGGGCGATCGGTTTTATTGTCATCTGCTTTTTTTAATAATTAAATGCATAGACTTTGACCCAGATATTTAAATGATAACTTTTCATGCAATGTTACTTGGGGTGACGTTTCTTTTGCGGTTCAGTATATAGTGTCATGCAACGCACTGTCGCAGATGTAGTAGCATATCTATATAGTTATGCAAAACAATATGTAAAGCGCCCCAAAATACTTACATTAGTCCGTTCTATACTGATTTCTGAAAAAGCGCGTTTGTATACAAACAAGAAAAAAGTCCGGTCACGTTATATGCAAATTAGCCTGTGGCAGTGGTGTTATGCTGAGTCACCACTGCGCCGGAGTGTGAATGATAGTAAAACTTGAAGCCATGCCCACCAAAGCTGACTACTGTTACTACCACGGAATGTCGGGGGAATCCCGATTACAGTCCAAGGAATTTCCCTTCTGCTCACCAACATCATCATGCACAGGACGTTTTCGCGAAATTCAGGCGTTTTATTCATTGTCCAAACCACAGGCCTCTGAAGAAGGAAGTAAACAAAAAATCTCCGCACTCAGTGACGTCGAGTGCTGTGATTGGTCCGCAACTCCAACCATAACAAACGCAAATGGTGACATTTACCAATCAGAGCGCTCGACGCCATTGAGCACGGAGGTTTTTTTACTTCCGTGACCGACAGCTGCGACTGAGCCAATATTTCGATAAACTCTCCCGACATAGGTAATATTAAAAAATAACGTTTGCGACATGTTGCGTCTGTTGAGGGAGGTATTGTCATCATGACATGCATACATTTCCATTTTATGTAAAACGGCCAAGACATCGAGTGACGTACCTTGTTTATTTATATATATGGGTCCGGTTTTTCAGTAATATCACTATCCTGCTTCAGGGGCCTGTGGTCCAAGCCACTCTTCGAGGAGGAAAGAGCGTGTAGGCTCCCTCGCAACGGTTCAACAAATTTCGAATACATGTCTTCAGGTTTGATTTCTAACTCGCATTTTTCAAACTATGTCTTCTCGTTCTCAGGGAACTAATGTTTGACTATGGCGAAAACTGACCATGTAATTACACACGGCCGCCTTCTCCCGGACATATCTGTTCCGTTACAGTCTGACTGTTGCAGTTCTTGTCGCCTCTTGCCTTGATTGACAGGCCCCATGATTCTTGTTTGATGCTACTTTCCGTTGATTGGCTACCGACTTTGTGGGCGTGTCAAGTTATGTGCATACATTTAAATATCACCTGATTCATGTCACACCACTGTTTGTATTCCTTCGCCCGGAATGTATATCAATCACGTCATTTTGTCTGCTTCGATTTATTTCATTCATTTTGATAAAACTAGTTTCATATATAACTTCTGTAGATAAAACATGTTTTCGTTGTCGAATCTAATTCTTAGGATTGGCTGTATTTGTTTCGGTTCTTTTGCTTGGGGCAGGTTTGGCAGCGTACACCCCTAACTTCTTCTTGGCTGATTTTCTTCTGCCCCTCGATTATTTACAGACAGAATAGTGCTGAGTGCGGCGATAAAAAACAAACAAACAAACAAACAAACAACAATCTTATGAGGAAATCTGTCCCATTATCCAGCATCGATTTGGGACGGGCGAGAGAGTTGTTGTACCAGTCGTTTAAAGCGCCACAATTTCCTTCGCAGAGTTGCGTCCCTTGGGTTTGCCAGGATTATATGACCGTTGGTTAATTATGCTACTGGTACGACGGGCCATGCTTACCCTTTTTGCAATCACCTGGTGTCATCACTGATTTTCAGTGATCCATTCATTAAATGTTCACTGCAATTTTGCCTTTTACGCCCAATGGAATCTGTTTCGTCGTATAATCGAGACTGGTTACGCGCTGGCGTTGACTTTTTATATACATTTGGATCCCAGAATATGGTTTCTGGTTTGTCAGCACCATTCGCGTACTCGTGTGTTTCACCAAAATCGTCCTGAATCCTCCGCGTGAAGAATCGGGGTAGAATAGGTCTTCAGCAACCCATGCTTGCCGTAAAAGGCTACCATGCTTGTCGTGAGAGGCGACTAACGGGATCGGGTGGTCAGGCTCGCTGACTTGGTTGATGCATGTCATCGATCTCAATTGTGTGGATATAATCGATGCTCGTGATGTCAATCACTGGATTGTCTTGCCCAGACTCGATTATTTACAGACCGCCGTCATATAGCTGGAATACTGCTGATTGCGGCGTTAAACAAGAAACAATCACAGAAACAGTTCATTGGTTTTCGTATGTACAACTTGCTTGACACTGTCTGAATGTCATAATTGAATGAATGAAATTTTTAAAGAAGTTGTAATTCACTGGAGCAATTTGCAGTGGACGACTAAAACGTAGGTACCACTCCCAGTATATGAAAACTTTAATGACCGTCGACTCAAACATATACACATTTTAATACATTTCGACACACCGTGTATTTCAGTTCACATCCTGACTTCGAGAGTGCCCAGTAACCTTTTTTTCAAAATATGCATTACAATACACCTTGGATCTGAGTCTGTGCCATTCTTGGTTCAAATCTAGATTCTATACATGTACATGTACAATCTTCAGCAACCCCAGCTTCCCGAGGCATGAGAGTTAACTGACTTTTAAAGTCCAGTTTCCACACTTGCCGAACTAGGCTGAAATTACTGGCCTCGATCGTAGCGCCACCAGTGGCTATTACCAGTTATGTCCCTTCTAAGCCTCTCCTATGGACCAATCAGATTCTACTTCACGTGTCACTTGTGTTTGCTTCACACAAAATGGCGGCGCCCAGTCAGGACGATCTGATCGTTAATCAAGAGCTATATTGTGATAAAACTGGTCTTACATCGCGAAATGCATCAAATCACGTGAGCACCATGATTAAAAACATGAAAAGATTTGGAAAATATCTGCTGACAACGAGTTGGCGGTGCACATGCTTTGCAAATCCTGCAACTGACCGAAATCTGCACGACAGTTTACGAACCGGATTTCGATTTCGGTGCGCGATTTTGATTGGACTATGCATAGACTCGTTAGTCCAGCCAAAATGTAACTCCATAATACCAGCCTAGTTCGTCAAGGGTGGAAACTGGACTTTCATAGTCAGTTAACTCTCTTGCCTCGGGTAGATGCAGCAACCTATGCTTGTCGTAAGAAGCGACGGGATTGGGTGGTCAGGCTCGCTGACTTGGTTGATGCATGTCATCATATCCCAATAGTGTGGATCAATGAGCATGATGTCAATCACTGGATTGTCTTGTGCAGACTCGATTATTTACAGACCGCCGTCATATTGCTAGAATATTGCTTAGGGCGGCGTTAAACAACAAAACAACCACCAAACAAACACCATCTCCTATCCTGCTTGGATCGTCTAGCCACTTTCCTCAAGTCTGGGTTCAGCTCTAAGGGTGTTGTTCATCTCCAAGAGAAAGCGGATTCAGAGGGTTCGTGTCCACCACATCACGGTCTTCACTTGGCATCATTCGCCCATCGTCTTCATTCAACACATCTCCCGATGTAACACACCTACACGACAGAATGAAACTGGATTGACTTATAGAGTTTTACGAGTTTCCATTGTTAAAAGAAACCTAGTAATTTTCATCACACGTGTTACCTTAGACCTGCACAAGTCTCTAAGGCAATATTTTTTAGTTTAAATTATATTTTCAAGATTATATAAATAATAAGAACAAGTTGTTCCTATAAGAATGGGGTGGGTTTGTTGTTTAACGCCGCAATCAGCAATATGACAGCGGTCTGTAAATAATCGAGTCTGGACCAGACAACCCAGTGATTGACAGCATGAGCATCGATCCACGCATTTGGGATATGATGACATGCATCAACCAAGTCAGCGAGTCTGGCCACCCGATCCCGTTAGTCGCCTCTTACGACAAGCACTGTCGCCTTTCACGGCAAGCATGGGTTGCTGAAGACCTATTCTACCCCGGATCTTCACGGGTGTTTCCCTATAAGAGAATGACATCCTTATCTGCTTATCTAGACTTGTCTATTATAAGGATAGAATTACAGTCAAATACTGTTGTGTCGAACTTTGATTTGTCGAACTTATGGTTGTCTCGAAGTTAAAGCCTGGTTCCAGCATATTCCTGATTCTTTCACCATTTTCGGTTGTGTTGAACCTCGGATAACTCGAAGTATATACGTAGGTCCCTTCAACCTCGACACAACGGTGTTGGGCTGTACTATCCACTTTCGAAATACGAAAAGAAGTTGAAATCCTGTGTATCGGAATCACGATATTTTGAGCTTCTGAAGATCCAAAATCCTAGAGTATGGCTTCGATTTTCTTCATATATGTTTCATTGTGTAGCTAAATGCATTGGCTTGAAATGAGCGTATATAGTTTTATAGGGGTATTTACAGTGGACATTATTGAATTCGTCCTTGAAAGAACTTTGTGAGTTGGCCTCGATACACCCCTTTCCTTGTATATAACAACGCTTGACTGGCCGTGACGGCTCATAAGACTATGGTTAGAGTAGCTTCCCTTTGATAAAGGGCAGTTAGACACAATTTGTGTGGGTAATTGTTGTTTGCATATATGTAGTTATGCCAGTGTATAAGAAACAAGTTTCAGATGAAACTATATTGGCTACTGTCACTGTCCGACTGACACGTCATTTAACTTCTGACGTAACATATATTAATGCGCACGTGCCAGAAAAACTAGCAATGTTTACGTAATGTTTGTGTGAGACGGGAAGAGATTTTCGAGCACAGAGTTGAAGAATGACATTATATGATAAACAGGTTATCACGCTTGTGCCATGGCTCGCTAAATAAAATGCATATTCCTTATACAGGATTTTTACCATCCCCAAACACACTCGCGTGATAACTTCTATGTATTGTGATGTATCTATGTATTGTGATGTATCCATGTATTGTGATGTAGCTATGTATTGTGATGTATATCTATGTATTGTGATGTATATATATGTATTTTTGCGTATATCTATGTATTGTGGTGTATCTATGTATTGTGATGTATATCTATGTATTGTGTTGTATGTGTATGTATTGTGATGTATCCATGTAATGTAATTTATTGTGATGTATATCTATGTATTATGATGTATTGTGATGTATATCTATGTATTGTGATATATTGTGTTGTATATCTATGTATTGTGATGTATCCATGTATTGTGATGTATATCTATGTATTGTGATGAATCTATGTATTGTGATGTATCCATGTATTGTGATGTAGCTATGTATTGTGATGTATATCTATGTATTGTGATGTACCCATGTATTGTGATGTATATCTATGTATTGTGATGTATCCATGTATTGTGATGTATTGTGATGTATCTATGTATTGTGATGTATATCTATGTATTGTGATGTATCCATGTATTGTGATGTATCTATGTATTGTGATATATTGTGATGTATATCTATGTATTGTGATGTATCTATGTATTGTGATCTATCCATGTATTGTGATCTATCCATGTATTGTGATGTATTGTGATGTATCTATGTATTGTGATGTTCGATATAACTGAGACATACATGTAGTTGAAGCACAGGAACTCGATGACAGCGGGTTCAGCATAATGTATTCATATAGAAAAAATCACACCCCTCTATGTACATATGGACTATAAAGAGGGGTGTGATTTTTTCTATATGAACATAGTATGCTGTACCCGCTGTCATCGAGTTCCTGCGTGTTGAAAGCGGTATATCAAAATCATTTAACTCACTCACTCACTCACTCACTCACTCTTACCTGCTGTACAGGCTGTGATGAAGGAGGCAATATTGGCTGCTACAAGTGCCCGGATGACCAGGCGATGGATGTCTTTCGTTCTGCTGGGTACAAGCGCACCGAGGCCGCCAACCATCACACCCAGTGACCCCACCCCCGACAGACCACACAGCGCGTATGTCGATATCACAGAGGACCGGGCCTATAGGAGGGAAACATGTAACCGTTTACTCGAGGACAATGTGGTTAATCAACTGGAATATGGTCAAAAAGAACAATAATAGCACCAACAAGGGATTTTTATTTTCCGCTTTTGCCTTTGCCGCACAATGGAATCGTCGGATAATCGAGACTGGGTATTGTCTGCCGTTGACGTTTTATATTTACTTAATCCATGCAACATTTTCTGTTCTAGTTTCAAATGAAACAAAATAAAATAATCTAATTATTTACTTAATATGTTAGAAAAGGATGCATTTGAATCAGTATTCAGATTTGTTTGTGTATAAAAAAAATAAAGGACAGATAATTGAGCCTTCCGATAGAATCCTTGATAAAACTACATGTTTTTCATAATTTATATAGATTTGTTTGAAATGTTTTCGCATAAAAATTTGGGGGATGGCGGATTCTGAACCAATGGAATTGCCTTGCCCGCGCGGTAATTCACTGACCGTGAGTTCGAATCCCTGAATTCGCCCTCTTACGATTTTTGGTTTGTCGGTTCTATACCCATTTCCGTCATCTTCCCGAGGCAAGAGAGTTAACTGACTTTAAAAGTCCAGTTTCCACACTTGCCGAACAAGGCTGGAATTACTTGGCTCGATCGTAGCGCCACCAGTGGCTATTACCAATAATGTCCCTTCTAAGCCTCTCCTAAGGACCAATCAGATTCCACCTCTCGTATCACTTGCGTTTGCATCACACATAATGGCGGCGCCCAGTCAGGACGATCTGATCGATAATCAATGTCTATATTGTGATAAAACGGGTCTTACATCGCGAAGTGCATCAAATCACGTGCACCTTGATTAAAAACATGAGAAGATTTGGAAAATATCTGCTGACAACGAGTTGGTGGTGCACATGCTTTGCAAATCCTGCAATCGACCGAAATCTGCACGACAGTTTACGAACCGGATTTCGATTTCGGTGCGCGATTTTGATTGGACTATGCATAGACTCGTTAGTCCAGCTAAAATGTAACTCCATAATACCAGCCTAGTTCGACAAGGGTGGACTTTTATAGTCAGTTAACTCTCTTGCCTCGGGAAGATGATTTCCGTGGGTTTAACCTTAGCAACGAAGCCTACAGAGTGACTTTCATCTTTCCTCCAGCTAACATGCCACGACATAACTGAAATTCTGTTCACGGTGTACAAACACATAATTGCAGCGACAGCCCGCCTCCGTGGTCTAATGTAAGAACGTCCGCCGGGAGCGGAAAGTCCGGGGTTCGATCCCCGGCCCCGTCATACCAAAAGACGTTATAAGATGGTACTCGTTTTTACCCTGCCTGGCGCATGCACTTCGCTATATAAGTGCAATAATCTTGGACGCAACGTCAAACCCTATTTCAAATCACCTCACCTATTGTAGAAACAAGTTGTTGTTTTTAATTAAAGATACATATCCCTCCTACAAAGGTCTACACACGGATGGGTCGAAAGATGGCGATAAAATATCAGCTGCAGCCGTTACTGATAGCATCCCCATTTATATAAGATTAGAAGATGAAAGTTCTACTTTTACTGCTAAAGTTATGCTATTTTCTTAGCCTTGCAATATGTCGCACAATGTGATAATTTATTCAGATAGTCTGTCCTGTTTACGGGCAATCAAGAGCCGTAAACATAATCATCCTTTTTTTAGCTGAAATGTTAAGTCACAATCTTGACTCATCTGCTGGTAATGTTATCATGTTTTGTTGGCTTCCCCACTCTGGCATAAAAGAATATCTACAGGTTCTACTACACCAAATCAGAACCAGTTTGGACAGTGCAGTTTTCGTAGGGTGCCTTCAGTGCAGATCCAGAGATATCTGCAGGCTGTGCTTGGAGGATATTCTGTAAGATTTTTATGTCTTTCAAATGTACATCCATCCACTTATTAAAACTGACCTATATTTAGTACTGTCTTTTTCAACATGATGACTTATGCTGAATGTGACCACAGCTATTTTCAAGCAAGTAGGTGCGAAACTGGGGGGGGGGGGGGGGGTTAGGAGGTTAGCTTCCTGTACTCGGAAAAGGGGCTGGCTAAGCTAGTCATTTTTTATTTTTTTATTGCTGCTCTAAAGCCAAACTGTGTACAAACGTACTGGTATTAGCTGTTGAATGCTTAGTTTTTAAAATATAACGTTTCTATAGAAGTCTATGGGAAAACAGTTTTAGTTGTGTGTAACCTGTAGCAGATTTTGAAGCTAAAGAAAATTTGACCAAGATTTCTTGGTCCAAGTTGGGCTGTTTACACTCATCAAAGTTTTTGACAGGTCGTCTCGTTGGTCTCGTTGGTCAAAAATAGTGGGCTCATTTTGACTTGACTCTAAAAATGTAAATGTTCCTTGCATCCTGATCGGCTAAAATTAAATCAACGTCATCAAACTTTAATTGAAGTTTGACGAGAAATAGGATCGGTTTCTATTCCATCAAAGTCCGTCAAAACCTTTGTCAAAGTTTTTAACAGCATATTACACTATCAAAAACTTGGTCAAAAAGGACTTTGAACAGGTTTTTTAATCAAAGTTTTTGATAGTGTAACGGGGCCTGCTATCGTTATCAACACGTAGCAGACCAGAGGCAGCAAAGCTGGAATGATCAAGTTTTCAATAAGCTTCATGCTAATACACCCTAAATAGGGCAGTGTGTATTTACTGGGCCAGCTCCTCGTCACGAGGTTGTAATGCGGCGATGCCGTATAGGTCACAGCTACTTTCTGCATCCCCTTCAATACTCCATGTAGTATCAAGTCCACTTTGCTTGACTGTGTTGACCTTGCTCATATTATATTTACAGCTTGTACATTTTGTTAACATCCTTGAAGAGGCTGACATAATGTTGAAATGCTGCGCCCAGCATTCTACGATAATAAATCCTCATCGATTATATCTAAATTAAGTATGATAAAATCAGGTGATTAGAAACTGTTCTAAAATGTTCAGGTATATTATAACACATACGTTATTTGCTCTTTTGAATTGCCGCGATTCAATATTTCCCGTTACGAATAATCTGTTATTTCTCAACAGTGCTGTTATCGTCAATTTGCAAATAAATTACACGTTTTATATGAAATGTCTTTTTTCTCTCGCGTGTTTTTTTATTATTCGTTGTTGTTTTATGTTGAAACCGGGAATACTATGTAAAACATTTGGGTGACAGTTGCCTAAAAATGCATAAGATGGTCCGTTTTACAAATACTTGCCACCAAGTTTATATGTTACAAAAAATGGAATGCAGTCATAGTTTATACATGAAAAAATATAAACTTGATAATGACATGGTTTAAGTCATTTTCAGAGTGATAGGTAAGAATGTTTGATTCCTTATCTCTGTGAAATATAACCTAATTTACACGAACATTATCTGTGATCGTGAAATGAGTGAAAAAAATACCTGTGATCTGCGAAAAGGTTTTTGTTTGTTTGTTTGTTGTTTAACGCCGTACTCAGCAATATTCCGCCTATATGACGACGGTCTGTAAGTAATCGAGGCTGGACAAGGCAAGCCAATGACTGACATCATGAGCATCGATCCACGCAATTGGGATACGATGACATGCATCAACCAAGTCACCTCTTACGACAAGCATAGTCACCTTTTACGGCAAGCATGGGTTGCTGAAGACATATTCTACCCCGGATGTTCTCAGTAAAGCAGGTATTTTCCCGACAGTATATACATTTTAACCTCAAAATAATCGCCAATTCAGTACTCACCGAAATAACACCTCCCGTTAGTGTCATGTTATTCCATTTTGAAAGGACGATATCATCATTCTGGTACAGCCAATCAGATTCATTGTAGCTGGCGGTGTAGTTCTCAAATATCTCTCTGTTCTTAAGGAACCCGGACAAAGTGCTATATGCAATAAGTTCGTTTGAAAATGTTTTCAACCCGATGAGTGCAGCCACGGCTCTACAGTCTCCGGGTTCGACTCCCATAAACAGGGCGACGGGGTACAGCACGTAGGAACAGATCAACTGAAAATACATAAATATTACAATTCCTAAAAAGAATAAATCGTAGTCCACAGATAAGGATAATCCGTAGTCTACAGTTTACATATACAAGGCAGATCGACGTGATAGGCTGAGTGAGTGATTGAATTGTGTTTTACGCCGTTTTTAACTGTATTCCAGGTTTATCACGGCGTGCCAGCTTAATGTGTGAGGAAAGCCCGAAGTGATGCAGGTCTCAGACGTTTACCACTTCGGTGAAACCCACGAGCACGGGTATGGTGCTGACAAACCTAGAAACATTATCGGGGCGAACCGGGATTCGAACCACAATCATAGGTTTCTGGCGTGTCCAAGGGACGCAACTCTGTACAGCGAATTGCGGCGCAGTATTAAACAACAAACAAGCAAAAAACATTAGTCCTGCTTGTCGCGGAACACTCACCTCTGAATCCACCTGATAGGCGTTTAATGTTCGCAGGGTTAATGTTCGCTCATTGATCTTCTAGATTTCATGGCAATATACTATTGACATGGAAACTCAATTCAAACACGATTTCAATAAATACATACCTGAAATGACAAATTGGCTACTCCAACTCTCGCCCCAAGCCACGCCACGGTGACGTTGAGACACTTCAAAACGCTGAGGAACGCTATGACGTTAACGACGACGTTTGCAATCACCTTCACCGACGTCGACGCCCCGTTAGAAATAGCCTCGATCAAATTGCTACATTTCCTGCGGGGAAAAATATCAAACCCTGGAAACATAAAACTGTAAAGTAGCTATCTTCTTTGTATTGGGGTGAGTGAATGAGTGAGTATTGCATCGCCAATCTTGCAGCTATTCGCGGCGACCTTGCAATGGACAGAGTGTCGGACTTGAAGCCCTGATCATTAAACCTTCTAGCCAAAAGGAAATTGTTAAAAAGATATTTAACCTGTAACAATACGTTGCGCAGAGTAACGTCCCTTGGGCGTGTCAGGATTCTTTGATCGTGGGTTCGAATCCCAGATTTACCTCGATTATGACGCTTGGCTTGTCATCACATCACGATGGACTTGCAAGTTGGATTCGACGACACGTGTCAAGGGCGTTCCTTCAACAATAAGCTTGCAGCTTGATACGCCTGACATACTGTTTAAGGCTACGTCAACTTATACATTTTGTGTATTAAGCAGCAAAGCATCTAAGCAGTACACATACCCTCCTTCAAGGCGGTAGTAGTCTTCCTTGGATGACCTTGACCTTTCAGTCTCGGGGCACGAGAGTTTAGAGACGGCGAGAGCTGCAGGTGCTGACGTCACACACGCCCCAAGCACGTGGTGCGCAGGAACCTGAAGTAATTGAAGGTTTATCAAATTTGAAACTATTTAAGGGTTTAAGAGCATTAAAAGAGCATTAAGGCATTCGACCCTATTAAAATGTTTGTTTTGTTAGCATAACCTTGCTACCATGTCCTCCCTTGGCCTTCCCATGGTAGCGCAAAAAAACACAGGTCACGTTTTTAAATTTTCCATATTCTCCTTCCGTGGTCTAGTGGTAGAGCGTCCGCCCGGAGAGCGGAAGGTCCGGGGTTCGATCCCCGGCCGCGTCATATCAAAAGACGTTAAAAGATGGTACTTGTTGTTAGCCTGTCTGGCGCTCGGAGTTAAGGGGCTAAAACAAGGACTGGTCGGTTCGGAGTCAGTAAACTGTGTCTGAGTGGGGTATTCATGTTAAACTGCGGCATGGTATCTATGTAAGCTAGCACTATAAATCGGCATCAGTCCGGACTAGTACAAGCAGCCACACACACACACGTGCATGCACGTCGCTATATAAGTGCAATAATCTTGGACGCGACGTTAAATCCCATTTCACCTCACCTCACCATATTCTCCCACTGGTATGCGACCGATTCCGTGGTCCAGTGGATAAAGCGTCTGCCCAGGGAGCTGAAAGTTGGTGGTTAAATTCCCGGCCGTCATACAAAAAGATGTTAAAAGACGGTCCTTGTTTTTTCCTTGCCTGGCGCGCGGCATTAAGGACTGGTCGGCTCGGAGTCAGTATATACTGTGCCTGGGTTGGGTATTAATGTTAAAACCGGCATTAGTCCGGACCAGAACAAGCATGGACACTTGTATGTAAGTGAAATATGTTTAACTCCATTTCACCTCACCTTATGTATTGATATCCATGCAGGATTGGGCCGCAAGTACCTAATGCTCGTCATAATGTGTGACCTGAATGAGTGTGTGTCATCATACCCCAATGACGTGGATGGTTCATCATGCTATCAACCATCTGAGTGCGCCGTAAAACAGTGTTAACTCACTTAGGCATGCTACTAATACACAAGTCATCATGTTACTCACACCCAGTGCTATGCAAGCAGCCAGCACACTGCCCGTAAGTGTAGCGAATCCTCCTGTCATCACTGCATGGAGCTCAGATCGGGTCATTTCCGGTATGAAAGGTCTGATCACAAACAGAGCCTCGATCTGGTAACAGAAGAATGCTTCTGACAAAGAGAATGAGTGAAAACAATTAAAAAAGCACCACTGTGGTTTCTTTGCTAAAAGAAAGCAAAACGAAATAGTGAGTGAGTGAGTATGGTTTTACGCCGCTTTTAGCAATATTCCAGCAATATCACGACGGGGAACACCAGAAATGGGCTTCACACATTGTACCCATGTCGGGAATCGAACCCTGGTCTTCAGCGTGACGAGCGAACGCTTTAACCACTAGGCTACCCGACCGCCCCTCCAAACGAAATAAAAGACATTGCAAGTGGGCAAAGGTCGCTTTCGTAGCTAATTGATCAGGACCCTGTTCCACAGAGCGATCTTAGCGGTAAGATGATCGTAACTCCCATACTTAAACATAGGCTTACGACAGTCATAGCACTAAGATTTGTGGAACTGGTCCCAGTATTGCACTACTCAATAGATACTGCGCTCGTCAGTTACAAAAAACATTTAGCACAACACGAGCTGATCGACGGCTGCGGCAGGTTACATGGGTCCAGGTCTCGAGGTTTCAAATATACCATTTGTCTCCTGGTCATTCAGTTCCGACATTGCCGTCAAGTATTACGAAGGTTCTTTACGCTTTTGGGCTCTGGAGTAGCCCAGTTTTTAAAGCGTTCTCTGTCACGCCATGTTTTGGTGTGCCCCGCGGTCATAAAGCTGTAATATTGCTAAAAGCGGCGTAAAACAATACTCACTCACTCACTCTTTACGCTGCAGTCGGCATTATTCCAGCTATATCACGATCGCACGCCATAGGACAGGTCCGCATTGAGCCCCATGCAGTCCTTATCTGTCCAAATGACATGATCTTCGGCCCTATCCATGTCGGGTAAGTGGGATGCGAATTCATGCCCTTCGTGACCGGAGACCAGCCCCACGGAGACAATTACGCAGTGTCTGAGCAGACGCAAACGCTACTGATGATGCGCAGGTCATTTCTGAGTGTGGTGGCAGTCACGAAATGATGACATCTTGCCTTAATCAGGAGAAACCTGTCTTTCCACCGTGTGATGGAAACTCCCGGGCACCTGCATGTCGATGGACAGCTGACCCAAATGTCTGGTATCGATTCCATGCCCAGTGCATTCAAATGTTGCAATCCTGAGTAGCAAATGTTGTTGATGATGATGATTAACGATTCTGTCATTGTACATCCAAACACGTGCACATCGTGCCCATGACTGCATGCCTTGTCCGTTCTTCACGAAACTGAGGTCCTATAGAGGTTACCCAATCATTGTGTACCGGGATATTTCAATCTTTATTTGTTGGATGTTTTTTTATATCATCAAAATTTAAGCCTTAGAAAAATTTGAGTAGTATACAATATGGTTTTGCTGATGAAACAGCGACTACTGCACGCATTCTCCCATGAATCCGTGAATGAATCACACATATAAGTGTTGAGTACGGAGACCTATTATGCTCCAGAAACCCACATGATTCATAATTCATAAGTACAGTCGCATCATCATAATCAATATTGTCTCATTTAATGCTGAATAAAGTGACATTGACAAAAACACTAATTATAACGGGGCCGGTTGATCAGGCTCGCTGATTTGGTTGATGCATGTCATTGTATCCCAATTGCGTAGATCGATGCTCATGATGTCAATCACTGGATTGTCAGGTCCGGACTGGTCAATATTTTACGGACCGCCGTCATATAGCTGGGATATTGCTGAGTGCGGCGTAAAACAACAAACATTGTAAATCGCAAGTGGATTCTTCAAACTGTCCCCCAAACCAGGTTTTTTTAAAGTTGTAAAGTTCGCGTCGCTGTTATGTGATATGAATGGGTACCTAGGACGCGACCCATGAAGAACCGGGGTTAGAATAGGTCTTCAGCAACCAATTCTTGCTGAAAAAGACGACAATGCATGTGGTAAGATGCGAATAACGAGATCGGGTGGTCAGGCTCGCTGACTTGGTTGATGATGCATGTCAGCGCATCCCAATTGCGTGGATCGATGCTCGTGATGTTGATTACTGGATTGTTTGGTCCAGACTCGATAATTTACAGCCCGCCGTCATCTAGCTGGAATATATAGTGCGGCGTTAAACAACAAACAAACAAACCTACCACGCCCAGAAACATGTTGGACACGGCATTGACAGATTCAGCTGGTGTGGTCTGGAGGCAGTACGACAGACACCTCCCGAGGACCCGGATGATGACCTGCATGACCTCCAGGTGGTAGAGCACGGACACACAAGCGCTGGCGAACACAATCACCGGCAGAGTCTGGAAAAGACGTAAACATGTAAATGTCTTCTTTGTGGTACTGGAATAGTTTTATGTGCCCGTTATCGATAAAACGATACATGTGTATGTATGTGTGAGGGAGACATCCTCCGTGTCCTCGTGGGTAGAGCATTTGCCTGGAGAGCAGAGGTGGGTGGTTCGAATTTAACATGGAACTATATGATGGCACTTGTTGTTGCCCTGCCTGGAGCTCGGCGTTAATGAGATAAAATAAGAACGGCTCGGGGTGTGTATACAGTGTCTGTGTGAGGTATCCATGTTGAACTGTATCTCAGTTGGCTAGCCCTAAGAAACGGCATAAGCCCGGACAACTACTACTACTACTACTACTACTACGCACGCATTGGCAATAATTGGCAGTTCCACTCCTATCCCCTATCCAGCTCGCCCCTTGGAGATTCCGGTCAGGCTCGATGACTCGGTTGATGGCATGTGCGTACCTCAACGGCGGGGATAGGTGCTCATAATATCAATCACTGGATTGTCCGTTTCAAACTCGAGACGGGGTGTGTCGACGACAATTGCGGGTGATGGCGATACACAATGGCTCTATGTGTGACTTGGTTCCGAGACAAATGTTTGGACAAAATAAAATCTAAAATAGGAAGCTTTACATTTCAACACATTAACTCACAGCAAAAGCAAATCGGTGATCCAGGAAGTGTTTTCCAAACACAAACTCCGCCCCCTCCTGGGTATAGTCCAGGAACTCGGCCACTCTGTCACCGACAAACCTGAACGCTGCGTGTCCCCACTCCAGTCGCAGAATCACCAAGGCCAAGAAATACATGAGAGCCAAGCACCAAAACACCGGGTGCCAATTAACCTGCATAACAGAACAGAACTTTATGTACACTCTGGCCGTGAGCCATGGCATACAAAGGTTACATAACATACAAATATTGAGTATATAATACAAGATTGCGGACGGAGTAGACGTTGGCTACAATAGTTAAAATTAGTGAGAATGGTTTTTACGCCGCTTTTAGCAATATCACGGCGGGGACACCAGAAACAGGCTTCAGACTTTATACCCATCTCGGGAATCGAACCCGGGTCTTCGGCGTGGCGAGCGAACGCTTTAACCACTAGGCTACCCGACCGCCCCAGTTACAATAAACTAGCTACAGTGAAATTTGACTTACCTGGAGGACTTACATTGCTTTAAATCATTGCAAAAGTACAGCAAACTAAGGTTATAACGAACTCAAAGGGACCACTAATGTTAATTCGTAATAGCCGTAGTTCGTTATAAGCATATATACAACATAACTACAGCAAATAGTCGGGACAAAAAAAAGTAAGTGCGTTATATCCGTCAGTTTGTTATAAGCGTGTTCGTTATTAAAGTACGGTAAAATACGGTTAAAACGAACTCAAAGGGGTAACTAATTTAATTCGTTATAACCGTAGTTCGTTATAAGCATATGTTCAACATATATACACAAAATGGACGGGACAGTTTGTTATATCCGGAAGTTCGTTATAAGCGTGTTCGTTTTAAACGTTGTTTACTGTAGTTTAATGTATGCCAACTGGCTTAGGAAGAGAGAAACTGGAAATTTACACCATTTAAACCTTATCCACTGACCCTAAATAAATAATGAGAATAAAATTAAAATGACAGTCATTGAATTATTTCCACCCATTTTTTTTTTAAATATTTCAGAAAACAAAATAGTGTATAAGAGAGAGCATGTATGCAACAAGTGTAACCATTGCTTTTGGTTCTAATTTTATTCGGCTCTAATACAGTAAACTACGGTTATAACGAACTCAAAGGGACTACTAATTTTAGTTCGTTATAACCGTAGTTCGTTATAAGCATATATACAGCAACACTACAGCAAATAGTCGGGACCAAAAAGTAAGTTCGTTATATCCGTCAGTTCGTTATAAGCGTGTTCGTTATAACCGTAGTTTACTGTAGTTGTAAAACTTGTCATGTGTTGTTTCCATACAGACTATATTATTTAGTGACCACTTCAAACAATATTGTTTTCAATTTTGTTTCCACCCGGCCCAAAGTCTTTGAAAAATACACTGCAGGCCCAGTAATGAAAAAAGGCCTGAGCAGTGAAGTGATTGCATGTAATTCATGAATTTGATTGTAAGCCGGCACTACTGTGGCAGCATGAGTGAGTGAGTGGGTTAAAATTGGGTTTTACGTCGCTTTTAACAGTATTCTTGTTATATCACGGCGTGTCAGCTTAATGTGGGAGGAAAGCCTGAAGTGACGCTGGTCTCAGACGTTTACCACTTCGCTGAAACGGGTATGGTGCTGACAGACCTAGAAACATAATCAGGGCGAACCGGGATTCGAACCCACAATCATAGGTTTCTGTTATCGAGCGATGACCAAAGGCTGGAAGACCTAAGTACCATGCGACCTCTTTGTACACAATACACCCTTGTCGTACCAACCATTTCGACACCCACAGGTGTCCAACATAGCACATTAATGTACACCTCGTTTTGGCATTAAGCAGGGCTTGGTATGTACGATCGATGACTACCTTTAATAAAAAGGTATGAATGAAAGGAATGAACAAATTAAAGTAAATTCTTGAACATACGATTGAAATCAGATAGCAATATACCATAGTACGTTCATTGTGGAATCATCAAAAATTAAAAAGTGATCAGAGCTCCAGATAATTTTTTGAGCAATTGAGTTTTTACTCTCGGGTTTCTATTTTAATTAGGTTATTACATTTTTCGTTGGGTAACCAATATTTTTTCGCTTATCTATTAATAACTCTATTGTTTTTTCACCCAAAGAGTGAACATTTAAAGAATTGTAAAAAAAATGAAAAAAAATGTTTTAGAGGCATATAACCATGATAAATATTCGAAATATTTAGGCTCGGAAAATAAATTAGCTCGTAATTGTGCCCCTTTGTACGCATGCTGAAAAATCTTCATTTGGGTATTTAGGCGTGCTGTTTTTATACATTTGAGTTTTTCTTTTAATGCATGCGTTTCTGTCAGCAGGTTAGTTGAAAGTAATTGGTTTTTGAATACATATTTATTTTAATTTTTTTTTTGGGGGGGGGGGGGGGGGGAGGGGGGTGTATCTGTAGCTCTGTAAGTGGGTTTTTTCATCAGTTGGACAAAACAAAACTGTTTTCACATAATATTCTGCAGATTCTTTGGTACGAATCAATCTGAGTTACCCTGGCGGGGTTGCGTGACGTCAGAAAGGTCAGCAGGATGAAGACGGCGATGCCGGGAAGTGACCGCAGGTTACTCGGGCTCTCCCTCCCTACGACCAGACCAAGGGTCAGGGCTATGGACACTACAGCTACCACGTACAGTGACCTTGAAAAGAAAGAAAATCATGCACCGCTTATACACTTCTAGAGGCTGTCTTAGTGGTTATAAATTATTATTATTATAGTGTTCGCTTATGTGAGGGAGGGAGGGAGACAAATGACGCCGCTTTTAGCAATATTCCATCAATATCACGGCGGGAGACACCAGAAATGGGCTTCACATATTTTGAACCCATGTAGGGAATCGAACCCGGGCCTTCCGCGTGACGAGCGAAGACTTCAACCACTAGGCTACCCCACCACATAAGATCCGTATTAGATCTCACACATGAGAACAAAGTGTGAATCCCCGCTGTGATTTGTAAAGATTATCATATGGCACTTTTCATAGCATATCCTATATCAAACCGAGGGTCTGAAGAACTATTTTATGACGCTCCAACCTTTTCATTGTTTGTTTGTTGTTTGACGCCGCACTCAGCAATATTCCAGCTATATGACGGCGGTCTGCAAATAATCGAGTCTTGACCAGACAATCCAGTGATTGACATCATGAGCATCGATCAACGCAATTGGGATCGATGACATGCATTAACCAAGTCAGCGAGCCTCATCACTCGATCCCGTTAGTCGCCTCTTTACGTCAAGCATGAGTTGCTGAAGACCTATTCTTCCCCGTATCTTCACGGGCCTACATCACAAGGTAAAAGAATTTAGACGAGCCGAGTTTCTAGATTCTTGACAATCAAATCATATATGAACGACTCCCTACACCTCGGATGTTTCCCAAATCAAAATCACTTACCGTCGTGTAATTCTGACGACCAGCCGGTTCCGTCCACTTAAGCAGTAACATCTGTCAAGCAGTAATGACGTGTACTCGGACAAACACGCATGCGCTAACAACGACATTCCCAATATGGCGCAGACTAACAGGCGTATGGATCCATCGTCTCCGAATTCAAAATACATCGCGTATCCAAAATACACAAAAAAGAGTAATAGGCCTATCACCAGGCACAAGCGTTTCAAAACTGATTTGTTCGAAATCACAAACTTTACGGCACTATTTTGGATGCGTAATGTTACGCGTGAACAGGCACTTTGCGCAATGAAATCCTCCACCCGTGGACGTTCCATTGATATGATGATGTCGTGTTGGGCGTAGAAGACGTCGTCGCTTCCCTCTGACAGGCCCTGAAATATTGATAAGTCTATCAACAATAGCGCAGTTTGGTTGGTTGGTTTGCTGTTTAACGCCGGACTCAGCAATATTCAAGCTATGTGACGGCGGTCTGTAAATAATCGAGTTTTGACGGATTATCTAAGGCTGAATTCCAATCCGTGTTAAATGTATACTTTAATCTCTGCAGAAATTCAACCATGAAAGTTTCTAAACAAATAACGCCTTGATTACACCACACATAAATCTCTTAGTGGTAACCATGGTTTCACGTGTTACACTGTGAAAGTGAGTGAGTATGGTTTTACGCCGCTTTTAGCAATATTCCAGCAATATCACGGCGGGGAACACCAGAAATGGGCTTCACACATTGTACCAATGTCGGGAATCGAACCCGGGTCTTCGGCGTGACGAGCGAACGCTTTAACCACAAGGCTACCCGACCGCCCGCAAGAGTGAGTCGAGTTTAACGCTGCTTTAAACAGTGTTTTATTTATATCATCGCTGAAATGAGAATGATTTGAGTTTGGGGGCAAAATTACTTTCCGGGAAATAATCTAAGTTACTCTTTCTTGTATACAAGTTGATATTTAATGACGACCTATTTGGAAAATGTAAACATAAATGGATTACATATATCAAAAGAATTTTTGATGAACAAAAGTTTCAAAATCCTTCTTATCATTTAGTCCATGAAAAGTTAAATGACATTAACCTACAGTGTTGGACAAGTGCAAGAGATTAGTCTTTAAAAGGCACAATGTATAGTATTATAAAATATGATGACCTAAATTTTGAATGTTATTCAAACGTACTGCAGGAAAACGCGTGGCGAGTCTTACTTAAGTTTAGAACTTGTAACCATCATCTACCTATTGAAACTGGGCGATGGAGAAAATACATTTAACCGAAAGGAAATGCCAACTTTTAAATTATCTGACATAGGTGATGAATTCCATTATTTGTTTATTTGTCCATCTTTAGAAAACGAAAGAAAACATTTTTACACAGATTCTACTACATCAAACTCAAAATGCTTTAAATGAATTTACTTTTCAATAATTCACGATTAGGAACGTTGAGAAAACTGTCCAAATTCTGTAAAATCATCATGTCATTGTTGAAACCTATCAAGTAACTCTCCCTCTTATTGAATTGCACATATATTACTACACTAGTGAATCTGTATAAATATGCATGCATGATCGGCCAAGATGTTTTTGTATCTATTCTGTATTTATATGTATTATTTTGTTGAAATAATTCTGTACCTCTGACGCCGCTGATTGCGGCCTAAGTGTACATAAAGTTCAGTTCAGTTCGGTCAGCTTGAAGTGGAAAGATAATGAGTGATTAAGTTGGGTTTAACGCCGCTTTTAACAGTATTCCAGTTATATCAAGGCGTGTCAGCTTAATGTGGGTGGGCCAAAGTGATGCAGATCTCAGACGTTTACCACTTCGGTGAAACCCACGAGCACGGGTATGGTGCTGACAAACCTAGAAACATAATCGGGGCGAACCGGGATTCGAACCCACAATCCTAGGTTTCTGGCATGTCCAAGGGACGCAACTCTGCACAGCAGACGCGGCGCCTCAGACGACTTGGCCACCCGTGCCCCCGGGAAGATCATGAAGCACTTTTGTAAACAGCGGGTATGGTGCTGACAAGCCAAGGATCATAATCAGGGCGAATCTGGGATTCGAACCCAGGACTTATAATAAATTTCATTTATTGTGAATGTGATGATTGAGTCAAAACTATAAGTTGTGGTACATGGGGTTTTATGCGTCCCTTGTTAGGATTTATATCACGAGCCGTCGTCCCGCGTTACCGTCATGTTTTAATATGACATTGTAAATAATTTAAACATAGTAAATAATTTAATTCAAAATTGATAGAAAACAGCTGTTCGATCGAGCTGAGGTTAGCTTGCTATGTCACGCGACTTCCATTGACTCGGGGGGAAAGCGTGCGTCTTTTTGCTTTGAAGCGGGGAAAAGGGGTATATTCTGCTTCTCAGAAATCCACGTGCAGCCTGACTTGCTCGCGGCGGGGTATAAGATAGTTATTTCCACGCTGAGAAATCTTTTACCATCCAAGGCGGGATACACAGTATTTTATCAAGATCACGTGGACCAATCAGATCTCATCATTCTGACATGGAAGTATGATAAACATCATTATATTCATGTAGATACTCACGCTTTTAAAATTTGGTCTTTTCTCCGAGTCCTGCTTGAAGGCTCGGTTGACAAAGGCCGCTGGGGCGGACACCTGTGTGCGGTAGGTTGCCCGTGGGGGGCGGTTAGACGCCCGACCCTTGACCATCTCAGATGCTGGGCGGGAAGGGGCGACGTTCTCGGGAAGGTCAGATAGGTCTTGGCCTGACCCATACACCATTCGAGTCAGGGGTGTGTCCCCCCAGGTGATGCGGCGTTCTGACATGGCGGGCTGAATGAGAACAGCGCTGTATTAGGATACCATAGTCCTAGTGGGGGTAGCCTTGTGGTTAAAGCGTTCACTTAAAGCGTAAATCCCCGGTACGGGTTCGATTCCCATGGGGTACAAATGTGAGGGCCTTTTTTGGTTTTGTCTGAAGTAAAATTGACATTAACCAAAGTCACTTACTAGTACACGATACGCTGTATTGGCATATTTGTTGGTTGGTTTGTTGTTTAACGCTGCACTCAGAAATATTCCAGCTATAGGGCATTGCCTAAAAGTCGGGCCGGGCCGGGCCAAGACGGGCCAAGACGGGCCAAAGTGTTATTGTCTAATTACTTCATTATCGGCGATCATACCATATAATTGATGAAACATACACACATGACATTAATGAACAATCACCAAACAAAAAAGTGCACCATAATTAGGTAATTCGGAGTAAATCGCTTGAAAACCAGAATGTAGAGCTGTGTATAAGCGTCGCTGATCTAGGTAACATGTAAAGAGCAATCGTTAAACGAAATACGATTTGACACGTATCAAATACTTCTAGCTCTCGTGATTCAAATTTCCATCTGTCGCCATAGCGTTTATAGGTATAGCATAGTACTATATCTAAGTAAATACCACTTTATTATGTCACTGTTTATCGTATTTAAAGCAGACGCGTTGGTTATAGTAGACCTCTTCTCCCTATACTCTCGACAGTCACACAAGTGTTCGGTCCGACTTGGCCCGGGCTGTCAAAATCAACTTTAAATTCACATATGTATCTTCAAATGGATTCACATGAATAAACTAGGATAATATCTACCGAAACACCACTTTATAGTGTCTCAGATCGCGGTATTTAATGAAAACAAGGGGCTCAAAGTGAAGCCCTTTTCCCTCTACATTCTCAACATAGTCTCTATCAGAAGTGTTTGGCTTGTGTTGGGTCCGACTTGGCCCGGGCGGTCAAAATCTACTTTAAACAAACAGATGTATCTTCAAATGTATTTACATCTATAGAATAGTATTAAATCTACCTATATACCACTTTATAATGTCACGGTACATCGTATTTAAAGAAAACTGTTCCGTTAAAGTCAAGCACTTTTACTGTATTTTCCGAAGAAAATCCCTGTTAGAAGTGTTCGGTCCGACTTGGCCCGGGCTGTCAAAATCGTCTTAAACCGCGTAGATGTATCATAAATGGATTTACATCTATAGATTAGGATTATATCCACCTAAATACCACTTTATAGTGTCTCAGATCGCTGTACTTAAAGAAAACAAGGGGCTCAAAGTGAAGCCCTTTTCCCTCTACATTCTCAACATAGTCTCTGTCAAAAGTGATTGGCTTGTGTTGGGTGCGACTTGGCATGGGCTGTCAAAATCAACAGATGTAACATCAAATGTATTTACATGTACACAAAGTGAAGCACTTTTTCCCATACTCTCAACATCCACTCTTAAAGTAGTGGTTGTTTCGCCTTAGCCAAAATTCATCATAACCTTATAGATATAAACGTTGTATTCGTCATTTTAACTGTAACCTTTTGATCGAAATCCTATTCTTTTGTAAAAGAAAATAACTTACACGTTTAGAGGCCTCCTAATCTTAAATCCTTGGTAGAAAACAAGTGATAAGGTAGACACATTATCCATAACATTGTGTCTACCTTGTCATCCGTCAACTTCTAAGTAATGCCTCTCAAACAAAGAGAAAACGAATGCGTTGATGTACAAATGTTTCAACTGTTAGATGAATAGTAGACGTCACACATCGTTCGATCATTGTAGTGGTCAGTTTACTGACCCGGTGTATTGACATTTGTCATCAGAAGGTTGTCAGTTACTGACCAGACCAGACCACACCACGTGTGTTTGTGTCTACGTAAACATACTAATTCTGTTTTAAGATCACAGACCCCCTCGTATGAAATTAGTCCTTTTTAATTGAAAGAAACGCGGGGAAGGATTATTCCAAATGATTAGATACTGACAGGTTTCGTAGACGGGGACGAAGCATATAAGTTGTTGGCTTCTAATTGTGTCACTATTAGTACGATGTTTTTACTACATGCCATTCCACTTCCCGTTATTAGTATTACTATATTTATAATCCCAAAATAAGTGAGTAAATGCTTTTGACTTTCCCATTCACGAGATTAATATAAGCTTGTATACCTTGTTTTCTTTAAATACGATGTACCGTGACATTATAAAGTAGTATATAGGTAGATTGAAAACTAATCTATAGATGTAAACACATTTGAAGATACATCTGTTTGTTTAAAGTAGATTTTGACCCAACACTCCTAACATAGATTTTCTTAAGAAAATACAGTAAAAATGCTTCACTTTGAGCCCCTTGTTTTCTATAAATACGATGTACCGTGACATTATAAAGTGGTATATAGGTAGATATAACACTAGTCTATAGATGTAAACACATTTGAAGATAAATCTGTGTGTTTAAACCCAACACAAGCCAAACACTTCGGATAGAGACTATGTTAAGAAGAGGGTAAAGGTCTTCACTTTAAGCCCCTTGTATTCTTTATATACCGCGATCTGAGACACTATAAAGTGGTATTTCGGTGGATATAATATCAATCTATAGATGTCATAGAATGGGGTCAATTAGCATCTGATGGGGTTTTGTACAAACTGTAACTGCCGAAATTGTCTACGTTGTCTCTACAAACTTCAAAATAACCTGTTTCTTCTCCAGTAAGTCTTTACAAACCACAAGTTTCCAATTTCTTACCCTGCCATATTTGCACTTGGGCATTGGCAGACGTACATTTATTTTGTCGTATTTTGTGAATTTGCCTTAAGAATAGGACTGATTTTGAAATGTTAGAAGTAATTATTTCGTGTATGTAATGAAATATTTAAATGACCATAAGCAGAAAAAGCCACCCACGAGCTCCATTCATTCACAGCACCATCTGTTTAAATCCATGAAATGTAATTTAGAATATGTCTCGTTGTATACAATATTTTCAACAAGGATTTTTTTTAATTTCTTATGTCACAGGTGCACATTAGGTTATGTAATAAGAAAATTACACGTCGATTGAAACGTGGTGCTTTAATCACCGAAGTCCTATCTGTCCTGTTCGGTCTTTGTCCAGTTAAGGATATCTATACAATGAGCAATACATATCTTCAACCGGTAAGTCACGTTTTAATTAACAAACCTATCTCGATTACAATGCAAAGAATAACACAGTTCCAAGTAGTAATTACTGCGATGTAATGAGGGGCCATCTGGTGTAGGACTGGAAGTGTATAAAAGTTGTGCTGTGTCGAGACATGAGCATCACTCTCAATATGAAGACTTTCCTGGTACTACTGGCGCTCTCCTGTGTTGCCACATGTTGGTGCTATCCTCTTCAGGATGGTCCCGGAGGACAAGAAAATGAAGGCCCTGGAGGTCCAGAAAATCCAGAAAGACAAGGCCCGGGAGGTCCCGGAGGTCCCGAAGGCCCCGGAGGACAAGAAAGACAAGGCCCGGGAGGTCCCGGAGGTCCCGAAGGTCCCGGAGGACAAAAAAGACAAGGCCCTGGAGGTCCCGGAGGACAAGAAAGACAAGGCCCTGGAGGTCCCGGAGGACAAGAAAGACAAGGCCCCGGAGGTCCCGGAGGTCCCGAAGGTCCCGGAGGACAAGAAAGACAAGGCCCCGGAGGTCCCTGAGGACAAGAAAGACAAGGCCCGGGAGGTCCCGAAGGTCCCGGAGGTCCCGGAGGACAAGAAAGACAAGGCCCGGGAGGTCCCGAAGGTCCCGGAGGTCCCGGAGGACAAGAAAGACAAGGCCCCGGAGGTCCCGAAGGTCCCGGAGGTCCCGGAGGACAAGAAAGACAAGGCCCCGGAGGTCCCGGAGGTCCCGAAGGACAAGAAAGACAAGGCCCGGGAGGTCCCGAAGGCCCCGGAGGTCCCGGAGGACAAGAAAGACAAGGCCCGGGAGGTCCCGAAGGTCCCGGAGGTCCCGGAGGTCCCGGAGGACAAGAAAGACAAGGCCCCGAAGGTCCCGGAGGTCCCGGAGGACAAGGAAGACAAGGCCCTGGAGGTCCCGGAGGACAAGAAAGACAAGGCCCCGGAGGTCCCGAAGGTCCCGGAGGTCCCGAAGGTCCCGGAGGTCCCGGAGGACAAGAAAGACAAGGCCCCGGAGGTCCCGAAGGTCCCGGAGGTCCCGGAGCACAAGAAAGACAAGGCCCCGGAGGTCCCGAAGGTCCCGGAGGTCCCGGAGGACAAGAAAGACAAGGCCCCGGAGGTCCCGAAGGTCCCGGAGGACAAGAAAGACAAGGCCCCGGAGGTCCCGAAGGTCCCGGAGGTCCCGAAGGACAAGAAAGACAAGGCCCGGGAGGTCCCGAAGGCCCCGGAGGTCCCGGAGGACAGGAAAGACAAGGCCCCGGAGGTCCCGGAGGTCCCGAAGGTCCCGGAGGTCCTGGAGGACAAAAAAGACAAGGCCCCGGAGGTCCCGGAGGTCCCGAAGGTCCCGGAGGTCCCGGAGGACAAAAAAGACAAGGCCCCGGAGGTCCCGAAGGTCCCGGAGGTCCCGAAGGTCCCGGAGGTCCCGGAGGACAAAAAAGACAAGGCCCCGGAGGTCCCGAAGGCCCCGGAGGTCCGGAAGGTCCCGGAGGTCCCGAAGGTCCCGAAGGTCCCGGAGGTCCCGGAGGCCGAAGATAGGCCAACACCTCCTCAACAAAGGAACTGACAAGGTTAGCTTGTTTCTCATTGCTTCGAGGGGCGGTCGGGTAGCCTAGGCTTGGTGGTTAAAGCGTTCGCTCGTCACGCCGAAGACTCGGGTTCGATTCCCGACATGGGTACAATGTGTGAAGCCCATTTCTGGTGTCCCCCGCCGTGATATTGCTGGAATATTGCTTAAAGCGGCGTAAAACCATACTCACTCAATCACTTACTGCTTCGATTTCCAATGTACGTTTCTTGTACATAACTTAACGCAATGTAACATTAACTTTAATATTCACGGGATATATAACAAGATGAAAACGTTCAAAGCAAACTAGACCCAATATTTCCTCTTGTTTCATTATAAAGCTGTGCATACATCATTGTTGTTAGTGTTTTACCGAAGCTTTGCTTTCCTTTTCAGATGGCACTTCTTTGAAATAAAACCAATGAACACTGAAAGATTTTGTTGTACATATGTGTTGCCTACCTGGATTCGTCATGGAAATGCATGTATAATTTGGTATATGAGAAACAAACACGTCTTAGAATTGTATTTTCCACAGCAAAATAAACCTAAGACGTGGATGGACAAGAGGTCTAATCAGCTGATTAGAAAGCTGCTGTGGTTGGTTTGAATTCCAGGGTCGCCTTGATTGGTTTTCTTGTTTTGTCAGCGCCGTAACAATAACTGTCGGGCTTTCTTCGCACATCAAGCTACCTCGCCATGATATATCTGATATAGTGTTCAAAGCTGCGTTAAACCAAAGGTACTCACTTACTCACTAAGGAATAGGTTGACATTATACAGCCAGACAATGCATTTTATCGCAGTTAGTTATATAGCAATGCTTATAATAAAACCATTTACTTTTCACTAACTAACTTCTGTAACAGCTGATTTGGTTATAGTGAATGAACATTTAGCTGGCCAGCAATATGTTGACGACAATTTGCGTCCATTCGCTAGAATTATCGGCAGAAAATGTGGACTGCAAAATGCCATGCCGGACCACATCGTGCAGATCGTAACCGTTTATCTACGACGAGAAGGCATCCGGATATTGGACTGGTCCGCTAAGTCCTCTGACGAAGTCTAACAGACATTTGTCGTCATTACACCGTCACTGGGAAGAAACATAGTCATATTTCCCACTCTCACAATACCTTTGACATTTACGTACATATTCTTAAACACAACCGAGTGTCGGGAGAAACTTTTTGAAAACCATACGGGAACAAGATCACCATTGACCGTCAAACTTCGTATCAACTTAAAAGACAAACCCTGGATACCACAAATGGCTCCATATCTAGATCTAAGTCAATACATCTTCTGTAGTGTTATCATAAAAAAGCGAATCGATCGTGTTTGGCGTCTACATCAATCACAGTAGGCGGAGCTTATTTACGGTTGCGCTATTAATAGCCAAGCACATGGTCAATGCATTTGTGGTCAAAGTGTATTGTATGTTTTTACGACAGAACAGCAGCAGAAAAACAGTTTCGGTATTTACATCTCAACATCCACTCTCAAAGAAGTGGTTGTTTCGCCTTAGCAAAAATTCACCATAACCTTATAGATATAAACGTTGTATTTGTCATTTTAACTGTAACCTTTTCATCGAAATCCTATTCTTTTGTACAAGAAAATAACTTGTGATAAGGTAGACACATTATCCATAACATTGTGTCTACCTTGTATTCCGTCAACTTCTAAGTAATGCCTCTCAAACAAAGAGAAAACGAATGCGTTGATGTACAAATGTTTCAACTGTTAGATGAATAGTAGACGTCACACATCGTTCGATCATTGTAGTGGTCAGTTTACTGACCCGGTGTATTGACATTTGTCATCAGAAGGTTGTCAGTTACTGACCAGACCAGACCACACCACGTGTGTTTGTGTCTACGTAAACATACTAATTCTGTTTTAAGATCACAGACCCCCTCGTATGAAATTAGTCCTTTTTAATTGAAAGAAACGCGGGAAAGCGTCATTATTCCAAATGATTAGATACTGACAGGTTTCGTAGACGGGGACGAAACATATAAGTTGTTGGCTACTAATTGTGACACTGTTAGTACGATGTATTTACTACATGCCATTCCACTTCCCGTTATTAGTATTACTATATTTATAATCACAAAATAAGTGAGTAAATGCTTTTGACTTCCCCATTCCGAGATTAATATAAGCTTGTATACCTTGTTTGATCTCATTGTAGTGTAAGTTTTGCAGCTATGTTGCTGAATAAATTGTAACTTAAACTGTTTATTCCAACAACAGATAAAGTTTGTTGAAGTTGTAGCATGAAGTTAAGCAATGATCTTTAGTCAAACCTGTTTTGAATTCGTAAGAAATGTAAAAAACACTCTTTCAAGACTCACATAATTATATGTTCCTTTTTTATGTTGATTCAGAAAACGCAGCATTCATATTCATATTTATTGTAATGGGAATTTTAAACATGTGTTTTTAACTTTCTCAATTATGTTTTCCCATTTTACGCAATATTTGTTCCAACATCAGGTGTAGACACTTGTCTGTCGGAAACACAACCTTGCGGTTTCTTTGCCGAACGCAAATTATAATCTCAGAAGATAACTAAACTGTAATTATGAATATACCGAAGCTGGTTGAGAATGCATTTACAAAACTGATTCACATGTACTCATAGAACAAACGCATAATATTTCCAATTGAGAATTATTTATAACGTACTACTGGTTAACACATGTGAACACATCTCAATGTTGAACATTAGATCAATCGTGAACCGTTACTCAAATAGTATATGTACTTACATCTGAGGTACCACTTAGGTACCAGGTTTTCGCACCTTAACATATGCACATGTACATCTTTTTTTGCAAGAAAAACACCTTCCTGCACCAAAACTTGAGTTGATAACATTAATGTTTGGTTTCACAGTTCAAGCATCGTCTCACAATACGCTAATTTGATTATTCGATTACACTGAATTATACTGGAGAAACGATTTTGCTTAACTTGTGTCTTGTGTCTCATCGATCCTTCTTACAGCGTCCGTATATGCATTTTCTTACTTATTTTGGAGATTTCACGTGCGTTTTCCGACTGCAAGCGTATGTCGCTGACGGGCCCGGCCAGGCCATGTAATGTGTTTCCGAAAAGGTGAAAAGGGAGTTTGTGCAACCCAGGAGAGGGCTTTCGGGGCTGCTTATATAGTAATTTTGAAATTTTGAGATTTGGAATGAATGCCAAGAGTGGTGGAGGACGAACCAAGGGAGCTGTGTGTGTTGGGCGGTTGTTAGATAAGCTAGTTTTGGTTTTAATATTTTATTTGGGGTTTAAATGCGACTAATTAGTCCTGTTATAATTAGGTATATGCCTAAGGCTTTGAATTTTTTGGATTTAGGATTGATTCTAGTGTAAGTGCGGTTTTAAGATTTAGGGTGGTCTGTAGTGTTGTTCGGTGTGTTTGGTAGTGTGTGCAGTGAATGAGTACGTGTTCTGGTGTTTCTTGTTGTTTGCAATGTGGGCAGTTTCCTGTTGTGTGTAGATTAGCTATTTTACGGTGATTATTTACATGTAGTTTGGTGTGGCCTGTTTGTAGTTTGGTAATTATTCTGTCGATTTTTTTTGGATGGGTGTAGTATTTTTGGTTTATTTAGGGGCTTTTTGATTACTTTCCCGATTTGGCTATTTGAGTTTGGGTATATATTTTGCCATTTTTTGTTGATTTTTTGTTTAGTGACACTTTTGATTTCTGATTTTGAGCTGGGTAAGTTTAAGCTTATTTCTAGGAGTTTAAGGGATAATTTTGCTGCTTTATCTGCGTTTTTATTTCCAAAGATTTAGTACGTGGGCGGGGATCCAAATAAACTCTATTTGTTTACCTCCCTTAGTTAAGTTGTTTGAGCTGTTGGGTATTTAATTTACTAGTATAATTTATATATGCACGTTAAGTGTGGAATTATTCCAAATTACACCTGTATTCAGCTTGCTTAATTGCCCCTTGTGTAATTGCAATCACGTAGGTGTTGCGTAATCAGTCAACCATTGTCCCTTAATTATATAATTAGCTTTCCTGAGCTTTTAGTGGTAGTAAATAGCATACCGTTTCATTGATAACTTATGCATTTGGTGAGGCTAACTAACAAAACCCATTTATTTTATTTTGAACATCCGTTAACATGTTTGTCCTAAATGCTTCCAGAATACCTTTGTGAGCTATGATAGTGTCGTGTCCCTCACAAATACTAAATAAAGTTATAACATATCGCCATATTTGTATGAAAAATATTATTCCATAAACATACTATCACTGGCCACTGACAAACATTAGCAGTGTTAGAATAAGAAACATAATTAAATCCAGTATGACGTGGTGATGTGTAAGCATACAGAAAACTGAGAGAGCCCAACTTACTTTAGTTTCTGTTTCTGCATCCTGCGTATCATTCTACCTGTCGGATCGACTTGACCCGGGTGGTTAATAATCTTAAACATCACGACTGTAAAACACAGTTGCTAGACATAAAGAGAACTTTAATTTACGGCGTCTTTTAACCATCACGACAATAATACTGAGTGGTCCAAGACCGAACACTTCTAACATACATTTTCTTAAGAAAATACAGTAAAAATGCTTCACTTTGAGCCCCTTGTTTTCTTTAAATACGATGTACCGTGACATTGTAAAGTGGTATATAGGTAGATTTAATACTAATCTATAGATGTAAACACATTTGAAGATACATCTGTTTGTTTAAAGTAGATTTTGACCGCCCGGGCCAAGTTCGACCCAACACTCCTAACATAGATTTTCTTAAGAAAATACATTAAAAATGCTTTACTTTGAGCCCCTTGTTTTCTTTAAATACGATGTACCGTGACATTATAAAGTGGTATATAGGTAGATATAACACTAGTCTATAGATGTAAACACATTTGAAGATAAATCTGTGTGTTTAAAGTAGATTTTGACCGCCCGGGCCAAGTCGGTACCAACACAAGCCAAACACTTCTGATAGAGACTATGTTGAGATTGAGAGGGAAAAGGGTTTCACTTTGAGCCCCTTGTATTCTTTATATACCGCGATCTGAGACACTATAAAGTGGTATTTAGTTGGATATAATATCAATCTATAGATGTTAATCATTTGATGATACATCTGTGAGGTTGATCGACTCTGTTGATCATAGAATGGGGTCAATTTGCATCTCATGGGGTTTTGTACAAACTGTAACTGCCGAAATTGTCTACGTTGTCTCTACAAACTTCAAAATAACCTGTTTCTTCTCCAGTAAGTCTTTACAAACCACAAGTTTCCAATTTCTTACCCTGCCATATTTGCACTTGGGCATTGGCAGACGTACATTTATTTTGTCGTATTTTGTGAATTTGCCTTAAGGATAGGACTGATTTTGAAATGTTAGAAGTAATTATTTCGTGTATGTAATGAAATATTTAAATGACCATAAGCAGAAAAAGCCACCCATGAGCTCCATTCATTCACAGCACCATCTGTTTAAATCCATGAAATGTAATTTAGAATATGTCTCGTTGTATACAATATTTTCAACAAGGATTTTTTTTAATTTCTTATGTCACAGGTGCACATTAGGTTATGTAATAAGAAAATTACACGTCGATTGAAACGTGGTGCTTTAATCACCGAAGTCCTATCTGTCCTGTTCGGTCTTTGTCCAGTTAAGGATATCTATACAATGAGCAATACATATCTTCAACCGGTAAGTCACGTTTTAATTAACAAACCTATCTCGATTACAATGCAAAGAATAACACAGTTCCAAGTAGTAATTACTGCGATGTAATGAGGGGCCATCTGGTGTAGGACTGGAAGTGTATAAAAGTTGTTCTGTGTCGAGACGTGAGCATCACTCTCAATATGAAGACTTTCCTGGTACTACTGGCGCTCTCCTGTGTTGCCACATGTTGGTGCTATCCTCTTCAGGATGGTCCCGGAGGACAAGAAAATGAAGGCCCTGGAGGTCCAGAAAATCCAGAAAGACAAGGCCCGGGAGGTCCCGAAGGTCCCGGAGGTCCCGGAGGACAAGAAAGACAAGGCCCTGGAGGTCCCGGAGGACAAGAAAGACAAGGCCCCGGAGGTCCCGGAGGTCCCGAAGGTCCCGGAGGACAAGAAAGACAAGGCCCTGGAGGTCCCGAAGGTCCCGGAGGTCCCGGAGGACAAGAAAGACAAGGCCCCGGAGGTCCCGGAGGACAAGAAAGACAAGGCCCGGGAGGTCCCGAAGGTCCCGGAGGTCCCGGAGGACAAGAAAGACAAGGCCCCGGAGGTCCCGAAGGTCCCGGAGGTCCCGGAGGACAAGAAAGACAAGGCCCCGGAGATCCCGAAGGTCCCGGAGGTCCCGGAGGACAAGAAAGACAAGGCCCGGGAGGTCCCGAAGGTCCCGGAGGTCCCGGAGGACAAGAAAGACAAGGCCCCGGAGGTCCCGGAGGTCCCGAAGGACAAGGAAGACAAGGCCCGGGAGGTCCCGAAGGCCCCGGAGGTCCCGGAGGACAAGAAAGACAAGGCCCCGGAGGTCCCGGAGGACAAGAAAGACAAGGCCCCGGAGGTCCCGGACGACAAGAAAGACAAGGCCCCGGAGGTCCCGAAGGTCCCGGAGGTCCCGGAGGACAAGGAAGACAAGGCCCTGGAGGTCCCGGAGGACAAGAAAGACAAGGCCCCGGAGGTCCCGAAGGTCCCGGAGGTCCCGGAGCACAAGAAAGACAAGGCCCCGGAGGTCCCGAAGGTCCCGGAGGACAAGTAAGACAAGGCCCGGGAGGTCCCGAAGGTCCCTGAGGTCCCGAAGGTCCCGGAGGTCCCGAAGGTCCCGGAGGTCCCGGAGGACAAGAAAGACAAGGCCCCGGAGGTCCCGGAGGTCCCGAAGGTCCCGGAGGACAAGAAAGACAAGGCCCCGGAGGTCCCGAAGGTCCCGGAGGACAAGAAAGACAAGGCCCGGGAGGTCCCGAAGGCCCCGGAGGTCCCGGAGGACAGGAAAGACAAGGCCCCGGAGGTCCCGGAGGTCCCGAAGGTCCCGGAGGACAAGAAAGACAAGGCCCCGGAGGTCCCGGAGGTCCCGAAGGTCCCGGAGGTCCCGGAGGACAAAAAAGACAAGGCCCCGGAGGTCCCGAAGGTCCCGGAGGTCCCGGAGGACAAAAAAGACAAGGCCCCGGAGGTCCCGAAGGCCCCGGAGGTCCGGAAGGTCCCGGAGGTCCCGAAGGTCCCGAAGGTCCCGGAGGTCCCGGAGGCCGAAGATAGGCCAACACCTCCTCAACAAAGGAACTGACAAGGTTAGCTTGTTTCTCATTGCTTCGAGGGGCGGTCGGGTAGCCTAGGCTTGGTGGTTAAAGCGTTCGCTCGTCACGCCGAAGACTCGGGTTCGATTCCCGACATGGGTACAATGTGTGAAGCCCATTTCTGGTGTCCCCCGCCGTGATATTGCTGGAATATTGCTTAAAGCGGCGTAAAACCATACTCACTCAATCACTTACTGCTTCGATTTCCAATGTACGTTTCTTGTACATAACTTAACGCAATGTAACATTAACTTTAATATTCACGGGATATATAACAAGATGAAAACGTTCAAAGCAAACTAGACCCAATATTTCCTCTTGTTTCATTATAAAGCTGTGCATACATCATTGTTGTTAGTGTTTTACCGAAGCTTTGCTTTCCTTTTCAGATGGCACTTCTTTGAAATAAAACCAATGAACACTGAAAGATTTTGTTGTACATATGTGTTGCCTACCTGGATTCGTCATGGAAATGCATGTATAATTTGGTATATGAGAAACAAACACGTCTTAGAATTGTATTTTCCACAGCAAAATAAACCTAAGACGTGGATGGACAAGAGGTCTAATCAGCTGATTAGAAAGCTGCTGTGGTTGGTTTGAATTCCAGGGTCGCCTTGATTGGTTTTCTTGTTTTGTCAGCGCCGTAACAATAACTGTCGGGCTTTCTTCACACATCAAGCTACCTCGCCATGATATATCTGATATAATGTTCAAAGCTGCGTTAAACCAAAGGTACTCACTTACTCACTAAGGAATAGGTTGACATTGTACAGCCAGACAATGCATTTTATCGCAGTTAGTTATATAGCAATGCTTATAATAAAACCATTTACTTTTCACTAACTAACTTCTGTAACAGCTGATTTGGTTATAGTGAATGAACATTTAGCTGGCCAGCAATATGTTGACGACAATTTGCGTCCATTCGCTAGAATTATCGGCAGAAAATGTGGACTGCAAAATGCCATGCCGGACCACATCGTGCAGATCGTAACCGTTTATCTACGACGAGAAGGCATCCGGATATTGGACTGGTCCGCTAAGTCCTCTGACGAAGTCTAACAGACATTTGTCGTCATTACACCGTCACTGGGAAGAAACATAGTCATATTTCCCACTCTCACAATACCTTTGACATTTACGTACATATTCTTAAACACAACCGAGTGTCGGGAGAAACTTTTTGAAAACCATACGGGAACAAGATCACCATTGACTGTCAAACTTCGTATCAACTTAAAAGACAAACCCTGGATACCACAAATGGCTCCATATCTAGATCTAAGTCAATACATCTTCTGTAGTGTTATCATAAAAAAGCGAATCGATCGTGTTTGGCGTCTACATCAATCACAGTAGGCGGAGCTTATTTACGGTTGCGCTATTAATAGCCAAGCACATGGTCAATGCATTTGTGGTCAAAGTGTATTGTATGTTTTTACGACAGAACAGCAGCAGAAAAACAGTTTCGGTATTTACATCTCAACATCCACTCTCAAAGAAGTGGTTGTTTCGCCTTAGCAAAAATTCACCATAACCTTATAGATATAAACGTTGTATTTGTCATTTTAACTGTAACCTTTTCATCGAAATCCTATTCTTTTGTACAAGAAAATAACTTGTGATAAGGTAGACACATTATCCATAACATTGTGTCTACCTTGTATTCCGTCAACTTCTAAGTAATGCCTCTCAAACAAAGAGAAAACGAATGCGTTGATGTACAAATGTTTCAACTGTTAGATGAATAGTAGACGTCACACATCGTTCGATCATTGTAGTGGTCAGTTTACTGACCCGGTGTATTGACATTTGTCATCAGAAGGTTGTCAGTTACTGACCAGACCAGACCACACCACGTGTGTTTGTGTCTACGTAAACATACTAATTCTGTTTTAAGATCACAGACCCCCTCGTATGAAATTAGTCCTTTTTAATTGAAAGAAACGCGGGAAAGCGTCATTATTCCAAATGATTAGATACTGACAGGTTTCGTAGACGGGGACGAAACATATAAGTTGTTGGCTACTAATTGTGACACTGTTAGTACGATGTATTTACTACATGCCATTCCACTTCCCGTTATTAGTATTACTATATTTATAATCACAAAATAAGTGAGTAAATGCTTTTGACTTCCCCATTCCGAGATTAATATAAGCTTGTATACCTTGTTTGATCTCATTGTAGTGTAAGTTTTGCAGCTATGTTGCTGAATAAATTGTAACTTAAACTGTTTATTCCAACAACAGATAAAGTTTGTTGAAGTTGTAGCATGAAGTTAAGCAATGATCTTTAGTCAAACCTGTTTTGAATTCGTAAGAAATGTAAAAAACACTCTTTCAAGACTCACATAATTATATGTTCCTTTTTTATGTTGATTCAGAAAACGCAGCATTCATATTCATATTTATTGTAATGTGAATTTTAAACATGTGTTTTTAACTTTCTCAATTATGTTTTCCCATTTTACGCAATATTTGTTCCAACATCAGGTGTAGACACTTGTCTGTCGGAAACACAACCTTGCGGTTTCTTTGCCGAATGCAAATTATAATCTCAGAAGATAACTAAACTGTAATTATGAATATACCGAAGCTGGTTGAGAATGCATTTACAAAACTGATTCACATGTACTCATAGAACAAACGCATAATATTTCCAATTGAGAATTATTTATAACGTACTACTGGTTAACACATGTGAACACATCTCAATGTTGAACATTAGATCAATCGTGAACCGTTACTCAAATAGTATATGTACTTACATCTGAGGTACCACTTAGGTACCAGGTTTTCGCACCTTAACATATGCACATGTACATCTTTTTTTGCAAGAAAAACACCTTCCTGCACCAAAACTTGAGTTGATAACATTAATGTTTGGTTTCACAGTTCAAGCATCGTCTCACAATACGCTAATTTGATTATTCGATTACACTGAATTATACTGGAGAAACGATTTTGCTTAACTTGTGTCTTGTGTCTCATCGATCCTTCTTACAGCGTCCGTATATGCATTTTCTTACTTATTTTGGAGATTTCACGTGCGTTTTCCGACTGCAAGCGTATGTCGCTGACGGGCCCGGCCAGGCCATGTAATGTGTTTCCGAAAAGGTGAAAAGGGAGTTTGTGCAACCCAGGAGAGGGCTTTAGGGGCTGCTTATATAGTAATTTTGAAATTTTGAGATTTGGAATGAATGCCAAGAGTGGTGGAGGACGAACCAAGGGAGCTGTGTGTGTTGGGCGGTTGTTAGATAAGCTAGTTTTGGTTTTAATATTTTATTTGGGGTTTAAATGCGACTAATTAGTCCTGTTATAATTAGGTATATGCCTAAGGCTTTGAATTTTTTGGATTTAGGATTGATTCTAGTGTAAGTGCGGTTTTAAGATTTAGGGTGGTCTGTAGTGTTGTTCGGTGTGTTTGGTAGTGTGTGCAGTGAATGAGTACGTGTTCTGGTGTTTCTTGTTGTTTGCAATGTGGGCAGTTTCCTGTTGTGTGTAGATTAGCTATTTTACGGTGATTATTTACATGTAGTTTGGTGTGGCCTGTTTGTAGTTTGGTAATTATTCTGTCGATTTTTTTTGGTGGGTGTAGTATTTTTGGTTTATTTAGGGGCTTTTTGATTACTTTCCCGATTTGGCTATTTGAGTTTGGGTATATATTTTGCCATTTTTTGTTGATTTTTTGTTTAGTGACACTTTTGATTTCTGATTTTGAGCTGGGTAAGTTTAAGCTTATTTCTAGGAGTTTAAGGGATAATTTTGCTGCTTTATCTGCGTTTTTATTTTCAAAGATTTAGTACGTGGGCGGGGATCCAAATGAACTCTATTTGTTTACCTCCCTTAGTTAAGTTGTTTGAGCTGTTGGGTATTTAATTTACTAGTTTAATTTATATATGCACGTTAAGTGTGGAATTATTCCAAATTACACCTGTACTCAGCTTGCTTAATTGCCCCTTGTGTAATTGCAATCACGTAGGTGTTGCGTAATCAGTCAACCATTGTCCCTTAATTATATAATTAGCTTTCCTGAGCTTTTAGTGGTAGTAAATAGCATACCGTTTCATTGATAACTTATGCATTTGGTGAGGCTAACTAACAAAACCCATTTATTTTATTTTGAACATCCGTTAACATGTTTGTCCTAAATGCTTCCAGAATACCTTTGTAAGCTATGATAGTGTCGTGTCCCTCACAAATACTAAATAAAGTTATAACATATCGCCATATTTGTATGAAAAATATTATTCCATAAACATACTATCACTGGCCACTGACAAACATTAGCAGTGTTAGAATAAGAAACATAATTAAATCCAGTATGACGTGGTGATGTGTAAGCATACAGAAAACTGAGAGAGCCCAACTTACTTTAGTTTCTGTTTCTGCATCCTGCGTATCATTCTACCTGTCGGATCGACTTGACCCGGGTGGTTAATAATCTTAAACATCACGACTGTAAAACACAGTTGCTAGACATAAAGAGAACTTTAATTTACGGCGTCTTTTAACCATCACGACAATAATACTGAGTGGTCCAAGACCGAACACTTCTAACATACATTTTCTTAAGAAAATACAGTAAAAATGCTTCACTTTGAGCCCCTTGTTTTCTTTAAATACGATGTACCGTGACATTGTAAAGTAGTATATAGGTAGATTTAATACTAATCTATAGATGTAAACACATTTGAAGATACATCTGTTTGTTTAAAGTAGATTTTGACCGCCCGGGCCAAGTTCGACCCAACACTCCTAACATAGATTTTCTTAAGAAAATACATTAAAAATGCTTTACTTTGAGCCCCTTGTTTTCTTTAAATACGATGTACCGTGACATTATAAAGTGGTATATAGGTAGATATAACACTAGTCTATAGATGTAAACACATTTGAAGATAAATCTGTGTGTTTAAAGTAGATTTTGACCGCCCGGGCCAAGTCGGTACCAACACAAGCCAAACACTTCTGATAGAGACTATGTTGAGATTGAGAGGGAAAAGGGTTTCACTTTGAGCCCCTTGTATTCTTTATATACCGCGATCTGAGACACTATAAAGTGGTATTTAGTTGGATATAATATCAATCTATAGATGTTAATCATTTGATGATACATCTGTGAGGTTGATCGACTCTGTTGATCATAGAATGGGGTCAATTTGCATCTCATGGGGTTTTGTACAAACTGTAACTGCCGAAATTGTCTACGTTGTCTCTACAAACTTCAAAATAACCTGTTTCTTCTCCAGTAAGTCTTTACAAACCACAAGTTTCCAATTTCTTACCCTGCCATATTTGCACTTGGGCATTGGCAGACGTACATTTATTTTGTCGTATTTTGTGAATTTGCCTTAAGAATAGGACTGATTTTGAAATGTTAGAAGTAATTATTTCGTGTATGTAATGAAATATTTAAATGACCATAAGCAGAAAAAGCCACCCACGAGCTCCATTCATTCACAGCACCATCTGTTTAAATCCATGAAATGTAATTTAGAATATGTCTCGTTGTATACAATATTTTCAACAAGGATTTTTTTTAATTTCTTATGTCACAGGTGCACATTAGGTTATGTAATAAGAAAATTACACGTCGATTGAAACGTGGTGCTTTAATCACCGAAGTCCTATCTGTCCTGTTCGGTCTTTGTCCAGTTAAGGATATCTATACAATGAGCAATACATATCTTCAACCGGTAAGTCACGTTTTAATTAACAAACCTATCTCGATTACAATGCAAAGAATAACACAGTTCCAAGTAGTAATTACTGCGATGTAATGAGGGGCCATCTGGTGTAGGACTGGAAGTGTATAAAAGTTGTGCTGTGTCGAGACATGAGCATCACTCTCAATATGAAGACTTTCCTGGTACTACTGGCGCTCTCCTGTGTTGCCACATGTTGGTGCTATCCTCTTCAGGGTGGTCCCGGAGGACAAGAAAATGAAGGCCCTGGAGGTCCAGAAAATCCAGAAAGACAAGGCCCGGGAGGTCCCGAAGGTCCCGGAGGTCCCGGAGGACAAGAAAGACAAGGCCCTGGAGGTCCCGGAGGACAAGAAAGACAAGGCCCCGGAGGTCCCGGAGGTCCCGAAGGTCCCGGAGGACAAGAAAGACAAGGCCCGGGAGGTCCCGAAGGTCCCGGAGGTCCCGGAGGACAAGAAAGACAAGGCCCGGGAGGTCCCGAAGGTCCCGGAGGTCCCGGAGGACAAGAAAGACAAGGCCCCGGAGGTCCCGAAGGTCCCGGAGGTCCCGGAGGACAAGAAAGACAAGGCCCCGGAGGTCCCGAAGGTCCCGGAGGTCCCGGAGGACAAGAAAGACAAGGCCCGGGAGGTCCCGAAGGTCCCGGAGGTCCCGGAGGACAAGAAAGACAAGGCCCCGGAGGTCCCGAAGGTCCCGGAGGACAAGAAAGACAAGGCCCGGGAGGTCCCGAAGGTCCCGGAGGTCCCGGAGGACAAGAAAGACAAGGCCCCGGAGGTCCCGGAGGACAAGAAAGACAAGGCCCCGGAGGTCCCGGAGGACAAGAAAGACAAGGCCCCGGAGGTCCCGAAGGTCCCGGAGGTCCTGGAGGACAAGGAAGACAAGGCCCTGGAGGTCCCGGAGGACAAGAAAGACAAGGCCCCGGAGGTCCCGAAGGTCCCGGAGGTCCCGGAGGACAAGAAAGACAAGGCCCCGGAGGTCCCGAAGGTCCCGGAGGTCCCGAAGGTCCCGGAGGTCCCGAAGGTCCCGGAGGTCCCGGAGGACAAGAAAGACAAGGCCCCGGAGGTCCCGGAGGTCCCGAAGGTCCCGGAGGACAAGAAAGACAAGGCCCGGGAGGTCCCGGAGGTCCCGGAGGACAGGAAAGACAAGGCCCCGGAGGTCCCGGAGGTCCCGAAGGTCCCGGAGGACAAGAAAGACAAGGCCCCGGAGGTCCCGGAGGTCCCGAAGGTCCCGGAGGTCCCGGAGGACAAAAACGACAAGGCCCCGGAGGTCCCGAAGGTCCCGAAGGTCCCGGAGGACAAGAAAGACAAGGCCCCGGAGGTCCCGAAGGTCCCGGAGGTCCCGAAGGTCCCGGAGGTCCCGGAGGACAAAAAAGACAAGGCCCCGGAGGTCCCGGAGGTCCCGAAGGTCCCGAAGGTCCCGGAGGACAAGAAAGACAAGGCCCCGGAGGTCCCGGAGGTCCCGAAGGTCCCGGAGGTCCCGGAGGACAAAAACGACAAGGCCCCGGAGGTCCCGAAGGTCCCGAAGGTCCCGGAGGACAAGAAAGACAAGGCCCCGGAGGTCCCGAAGGTCCCGGAGGTCCCGAAGGTCCCGGAGGTCCTGGAGGACAAAAAAGACAAGGCCCCGGAGGTCCCGGAGGTCCCGAAGGTCCCGGAGGACAAGAAAGACAAGGCCCCGGAGGTCCCGAAGGTCCCGGAGGTCCCGGAGGACAAGAAAGACAAGGACCGGGAGGTCCCGAAGGCCCCGGAGGTCCGGAAGGTCCCGGAGGTCCCGAAGGTCCCGAAGGTCCCGGAGGTCCCGGAGGCCGAAGATAGGCCAACACCTCCTCAACAAAGGAACTGACAAGGTTAGCTTGTTTCTCATTGCTTCGAGGGGCGGTCGGGTAGCCTAGGCTTGGTGGTTAAAGCGTTCGCTCGTCACGCCGAAGACTCGGGTTCGATTCCCGACATGGGTACAATGTGTGAAGCCCATTTCTGGTGTCCCCCGCCGTGATATTGCTGGAATATTGCTTAAAGCGGCGTAAAACCATACTCACTCAATCACTTACTGCTTCGATTTCCAATGTACGTTTCTTGTACATAACTTAACGCAATGTAACATTAACTTTAATATTCACGGGATATATAACAAGATGAAAACGTTCAAAGCAAACTAGACCCAATATTTCCTCTTGTTTCATTATAAAGCTGTGCATACATCATTGTTGTTAGTGTTTTACCGAAGCTTTGCTTTCCTTTTCAGATGGCCCTTCTTTGAAATAAAACCAATGAACACTGAAAGATTTTGTTGTACATATGTGTTGCCTACCTGGATTCGTCATAGAAATGCATGTATAATTTGGTATATGAGAAACAAACACGTCTTAGAATTGTATTTTCCACAGCAAAATAAACCTAAGACGTGGATGGACAAGAGGTCTAATCAGCTGATTAGAAAGCTGCTGTGGTTGGTTTGAATTCCAGGGTCGCCTTGATTGGTTTTCTTGTTTTGTCAGCGCCGTAACAATAACTGTCGGGCTTTCTTCACACATCAAGCTACCTCGCCATGATATATCTGATATAGTGTTCAAAGCTGCGTTAAACCAAAGGTACTCACTTACTCACTAAGGAAAAGGTTGACATTGTACAGCCAGACAATGCATTTTATCGCAGTTAGTTATATAGCAATGCTTATAATTAAACCATTTACTTCTTCACTAACTAACTACTGTAGCAGCTGATTTGGTTATAGTGAATGAACATTTAGCTGGCCAGCAATATGTTGACGACAATTTGCGTCCATTCGCTAGAATTATCGGCAGAAAATGTGGACTGCAAAATGCCATGCCGGACCACATCGTGCAGATCGTAACCGTTTATCTACGACGAGAAGGCATCCGGATATTGGACTGGTCCGCTAAGTCCTCTGACGAAGTCTAACAGACATTTGTCGTCATTACACCGTCACTGGGAAGAAACATAGTCATATTTCCCACTCTCACAATACCTTTGACATTTACGTACATATTCTTAAAGCCCCACCCTGACTATAAATAGCCCGCAAGGTGGCGGTGTTTCAGTTTCGAACAATGACTGACAATGTAAACACAACCGAGTGTCGGGAGAAACTTTTTGAAAACCATACGGGAACAAGATCACCATTGACCGTCAAACTTCGTATCAACTTAAAAGACAAACCCTGGATACCACAAATGGCTCCATATCTAGATCTAAGTCAATACATCTTCTGTAGTGTTATCATAAAAAAGCGAATCGATCGTGTTTGGCGTCTACATCAATCACAGTAGGCGGAGCTTATTTACGGATGCGCTATTAATAGCAAAGCACATGGTCAATGCATTTGTGGTCAAAGTGTATTGTATGTTTTTACGACAGAACAGCAGCAGAAAAAAAGTTTCGGTAATGTAACAGTAACGATACATAAATACGAAATTGACGACACGATTCTTTCAGTTCAATCGGAAAATTACAGATATGTGTTTAGTTTTGGTCATTTGCATTCAGATTATATTTATAAAACTTACAAAATTACACCGATTTCTCAACTAGTGTTTAGGAAGGGGCCTTATTTGAAGTGCCAATATTTCTTAGTTTGACTACAATATATGATTATGTCACGTGTATCAACGTAACAATGCACATAAGGAACTGATAAATATGTAATGAAATACACTAGATGTTTTGACCCACTTTAGGCGTATCCAGATAATATTGTACTTACGATACACGACAACTCCAAAACACATATTCCAAGACAACTTTAATTATGTATTTCCTTTTCTTTCACAGAATTTTCACACACAAAACTGAGTTTGATCATTAGATCCACACTTGTCCCATGTCTTGTTCGGGGGATTTACATACACTTCGACCGCCTCCGTGGTCTAGTGGTAGAGCGTCCGCCCGGAGAGCGGAAGGTCCGGGGTTCGATCCCGAGCCGCGTCATACAAAAAGACGTTAAAAGATTGTACTTGTTGTTACCCTGTCTGGCGCTCGGCATTAAGGGGCTAAAACAAGGACTGGTCGGCTCGGAGTCAGTATACTGTGTCTGAGTGGGGTATTCATGTTAAACTGCGGCATGGTATCTCAGTGAGCTAGCACTATAAATCGGCATCAGTCCGGACTAGTACAAGCAGCCACACACACACATACACGTGCATGCACGTCGCTATATAAGTGCAATAACCTTGGACGCGACGTTAAACCCAATTCCACCACCACTACATACACTTCGCGCACAAGTTTTAAAATAAAACCCGGGATCCCTTTCCGGTTTGTCCACTGTAATCCCTCAACCTCTCCAACATTCCAGAGGTATTGCACTGTTTTCGAATCGACGAATTTCTGCAAAATGGTGGCCGCACCATTCCCTAACTGCGATTGCATGTGCTGTGTCACGCACGGTTGACAAAAGAAGTGTGAACATCTTCTTCATCTGGTTCCAGATGCATGTCATCGATCCCAATTGTGTGGATCGATGCTCATGATGTCAATCACTGGATTGTCTGGTCCAGACTCGATTATTTTACAGACCGCCGTCATATAGCTGGAATATTGCTGAATGCGGCGTTAAACAACAAACAAACAAACAAACCACGGTACAATGTCTCGAATGCTTTCCATGACAATCAAAATTCATTTGGGCCCGGGATACATTATGGAACGCACCAAAGTGTCATGGATATATCACGGAATGTAACAATGGGACTGCCATAGCAAATTGACGTAAATATATGACGTTTGAGGTTTATTTAAAGGGGCACTGATCTAAAGCAATTCCCCGCGACTGGTTGTTGCCTTTGTTATTGTTTTTTCCTCGTGAGTACCCGGATGATATAGCAGAAATCTAGACTTTTATTGATAGTATAAGGGCGTGTGGTCGCACTGATCAACAAAATGAAATAGAGTTTTTGAAATAATAAGGAAATGTAGGTAACTTTGTGGGTAGCATCGGTAATGGCGACGGAAGTTTTGATAAGTCATTTGCTTGGTAATTGTGCGATTTTCGTTTACACTATTTTGACTTGCAACACAAAGTAAATATTTCACCTGAGCCTTCCTTATTTTTTTGTGTTTATATTTTTAAAAGAGTCAAATTGTGCAAAGGTTTCACTTAGGAAATTCATTAAACGCCTAAATATTCGGTTGTTTTACAAACTGACTGAAAAATTTGTCCATCTGTATTATCACGATAACTAATTCCAAACATTTTTATGTTTTATATCATCACCAAGAGACTGAAAATGTTAGGATTAAAAGTACATCCTGGCATAATTAATCTATTGTGATGTTTATAAGCCCTTTTGACCGTCTAAATCATTTTTAGTCAATCTGTTAAATAAATGGACAGATTTTGTGTCAAAATAATTGAAATATTTAGACATTTATCTATTGCCTAAGAAAATCACATTTTACAAATTGACTGTAATATATACACGCATTCAAAGGAAAAGACTATTAAAAAAACACCGTCTATCGCGCATCGAAGAACTTCCCAAACATAACGCAGTGGAACAAGAATGAATCTGTTCAATGCTACAGCACATGAAGGAAAACAAAATGCAAATACAGTAAACTACGGTTATAACGAACTCAAAGGGACTACTAATTTTAGTTCGTTATAACCGTATTTTTAAGCATATATACAGCATAACTACAGCATATAGTCGGGACTAAAAAGTTAGTTCGTTATATCCGTTAGTTCGTTATAAGCGTGTTCGTTATAACCGTAGTTTACTGTATCATAATTACAACCTACCAAATTTATATGTATAATGTTAGGCAGCTTCCTTGTTCGAGGAATGTATCCGTGAATATCCACATAAAGGAACAATATCTCACACGTCTGCAGCTGTACAAAGAAACTAATTCGATGTCGTGTGTCTCTGTAACAATGTAACAATCATATATTTTAAAACATATGTATCGTTTCGGGATATCAGAACCCGTGTTCTTTTCTCAACTGACCACTTAGTTTGTTTCGGGTGTTTCACATGGCAGGAGAAATCCTAATGGTAACAAACTTCGCACTTACAGGCTGTTTAATCCAGTGATTGATGTCATGACCCTCGATCTACGCAATAGGGATACGATGACATTCATCAACCAAGTCAGCGAGACTGACCACCCGATCCCGTTAGTCGCCTCTTACGACAAGCATAGTCGCCTTCTACGGCAAGAGCGTTAATACCCCATTTCACCTCATGCACTTTACCTTTTGTTTATCCAAGTATCTCTTAAATACGAGACACTAAATAAATATACCACGACTGTGAGGTGTAACGACGTTACTGGTATGAAATAGTTACATAAGTCATAAGTGTAGTTACTGACAACAGCGTGCAAATATCTCCAGATTTCTCTCAGTCAGAACACAAATCACGTCTTTACGACAAGGAAACCTTCGTTTGGAAACTTACGTGAACGTGGATTCAGGTCTCGTCGAAAGTCAGTAAATCAGACATCAATATACCTATGTGTGAGGTGTGTCGTGCGTCCCTCTCCCGTCCGCAGATAAGACGTTCATTCGCCTGGGCTGCCCTGAATAACTGTATCACCAGGTAGACTGTGCTCGTCATTGCACAAACACTGTGTATTTCTCCACTGATGAACGACGATCCACTGTCAGAAATGACGTTGAGGTTATATATCGACGCCATTACAGATATACACAAAACAAACTGTTAAGCACGGGTCGGATTGTCCTGATCTTAAACAACTCGCCAGACCCTCTCTTTTGCTTATCTTAGTATGAATCAAAATGTCGTTGTGTTTCATTACATTTTCACATGGTCACTTCTTCAAAATACCCATTTTTATGTCACAGTGAAAAGGGTCAGATTATTTGTTTTTCACAATGCATTCTTATCAGGACATCCATCAAGTCCGACGAAAGAATTATTGCTTGGGTACAACCCAAGATATATTATATAAACTGACGTCCAAAAGAAACTTTACCAAAGTTTGAAATCACTCTTGCTCAAAAAAACAAAATATACATGCATGAAGTAAAGTGTATTGAGAAGAACAATATATCAACATAATCAACACTAAAAATGACAATCATACCGCGACCGAGAATGACGTCAGAGACCATCCCCCCCCCCCCCCCCCCCCAAAGTTGGGTGTGGTACAAAGCTCGAGCTTTCCGAATCATGGGCAATAGGCAGAGTACATAAACAATCGCTCACGTTCAATAACAAGTCATTAGCAGCGTGTGTGACCACCAAATGCCTCAATACACGCAACAACTCTTCGACGCACAGAAAAAGTCAGTCGTCTGATGAGGTCACGTGGGATTTGACGCCATTCGTCTTGGAGGGTCGTTGTCGAACACTACGATCCATCAAGTCCCAGATGTGTTCTATGGGGGACATGTCGGGTGAGCGTGCAGGCCACGGCAGGACGTTGACGTTGTTGGCTGCAAGGAAGTTAGTGACAATTCTGGCTGTATGGGCTCTTGCGTTGTCATGCTGATAAATGACAACACTGGACGAAGAATGTTATCCATGTACCGCTGAGCTGTCAAGTTTCCGTCAACGATGACCAGCGGTGTCCTCTCCTGCCCACAGATCCCTCCCCACATCATGACACTCCGTGCACCATATGATACGACCTCCTGCACGCAACACGTCGCCGTTCGTTCACCCCTTCGGCGATAAACACGTTGTCTTCCATCAGCCCTTAAAATACAGAATCGACTTTCGTCAGTGAAGAAAACCCTCTGCCAGTCACGTCGTTGCCAATGTCGTACAGTCCGGGCCCATCTCAATCGCAGACGACGTTGTTGCGCTGTCAATAGCTGTCCTCTGTATGGTCTAAAAGCCCTGATTCCATGAGCCCTGAGTCTCCTGGCCACTGTCTGTCGACTAACCCTGTGACCTAAGGCATTTGTCGCCGATGACGTCACTGTCAGGAAGCGATTTCGGAGGTGGAAGGTACGCAAGTACCGGTCATCATGGGGCGTGGTCACCCTGGGTCTGCCTGTTCTTGGCCTGTCAGCGGTCCGCCCTGTCTGTCTGTAACGTTGCATCAAGTTGGTAACGGCAACACGGGAGCAACCGAAGGTTCGTGCAATATGGGCGTGGGTGGCTCCCAACTGTACCATACCCAAGGCTCGTTCACGTTGTTCGACTGTGAGTCCTGGCATTTCTTTTGTGTTTTTTTTTATCACTGTGGATATCTGACTTGCCGTTGCAGTCGTGCATTTGCAGTTGTCCGTGGTGCACGTGTTTTTCACTTTTTCGCGTGTTATCTCGCAAACATATAACAGACGATTAACATTTTCTGCATACACTATTGTTGTATTTAGGTTATGTGTATTAGATAAGACTTCATCGAAAAAAAATTTATACTTTGTCTGAAATTTATATTTTCAGTTGGTAAAGTTTCTTTTGGACGTCAGTTTATTTTGTTCAGGCTTTGTCTGGAATATATTGTGGGGGGTAAAACCCGCTTTGAACAGTACTTCAGTAATGTTGTGCTGTGACAATTTGATGTGGGATGAAAGTCAGAATTGATGGTCACAGATGTCAACCGCTTTAAAACCAAGTGCACAAGTAGCATAATCAAGGCCAAACTGAGATTCGAACTCCCGATCATATAATTCTTTGCACGCCCAAGAGACAGCGAATTGCGGCACCTGAGATGACTGAACCATCCTTGATGTGAAATATTTACACCATTCGGGCCCCAAACCGTTTACATCTAAAGTATTTCGATTGAAACGATATTTTGTCATGAGTGAGTGAGTGAGTATGGTTTAACGCTGCTTTTAGCAATTTTCCAGCAATATCATGGGGGGGGACCCCAGAAATGGGCTTCACACATTGTACCCATGTCGGGAATCTAACCTGGGTCTTCGGCATCACGAGCGAACGCTTTAACCAGAAGGCTACCCGACCGCCCCTATTTTGTCACGAGATCTCTGTCCTTGGAGGCCAGTACATATTACCATAAATAATCAAGTCTGAACCAGACAATCCAGTGATTGACATCATGAGGATCGATCCACCGAAATGGGATACGATGACATGCATCAACAATTCAGCAAGACTGACCACCCTATCCCGTTAGTCGCCTCTTACGACAAGCATAGTCGCCTTTTACGACAAGCATAGTCGCCTGTAACGGCAAACATGGGTAGCTGAAGACCTTTTCTAACCCCGGATCTTCACGGGTCGGGTTGTGTAGCAGTACGGAGCTATATGACAATATGACAGCGAGGAATCGATTTTGGCTTTTCAAGAAACTACAAGAAAGCATCTTCCTGAGGCAAGTGAGAGTTAACTGACTATAAAAGTCCAGTTTCCATCCTTGCCGAACTAGGCTGGAATTATGGAGATACATTCTGGCTGGACTAACGAGATTATGCATTATCCAATCACAATCGCGCAACGAAATCGAAATCCGAATTGATAATCTCAAGAAGACAATACAAATCCTAACCCAGGAGCAACTGTAACCGCCAGTTCCAGATCATAGCACTTATATAAAGACCTGCATGCAATGTGTGGCTGTTTGCACTAATCCGGAGTTTTATGGTGCTAGCCCACTGAGATACAATGATGCAGTGCATACCTAACTCAAGGCAGTGCACTGATTCCAAGCCGACAATTCCTAGTTTTATGTCCATAAGTCCAAGCACCATGCAGGGTAACAGAAAGTACTGTCTATTAACATCGTTCCTGACAGAATCTGATACAAAAGCTCTTCAGCAACCCGTGCTTGCCGTAAAAGGCGACTATGCTTGTCGCTCGCTAACTTGGTTGATGCAGGTCATTGATCCCAATTGTGTGGATCGATGCTCATAATATTAATCACAGGATTGTCTGGTCCACACTAGATTATTTACAGACCGCCTTCATATAGCTGGAATATTGCTGAGTGCTGCGTTAAACAACAAACCAACCAACCAGCCTGACAGAATCACTATCCACTGCACCACAGGTGTTATAATTGAACAGAGTGAGTGAGTGAGTGAGTTTGGTTTTATGCTGCTTTTAGCAATATTACAGCAATATCAGGGCGGGGGACACCAGAAATGGACTTCACACATTGTACCCATGTCGGGAATCGAACCCGGGTCTTCGGCGTGACGAGCAAACGCTTTAACCACTAGGCTACCCGACCGCCCCATAATAATTGAACAGAAAAAGCCAAAGAAAAATTAGAAAGAAATTTTATTCAAGTAGTATTCTGATGAGACAGAATATTGGAATATATTACTCTATTATTATGGTCAGTGTACACATTTTATTGAGCAACAGATAGGGAATAGAACACACATTGTGGTAAATGAAAGAGGATCCTGACTGGCTGTCCACTGAAGGCTGTAAGATACATGGCCTTTAGTTAGTAGACAGTAACAGTTCTACTAAGTAAAATTGCCAAAAACAGGCAGTCCATGCTGAATCAGGACAACATTTATTATTTATTGTGCATATATGTTACAAAACTTTGTGCACAAGCAAACAGCCGGAACCACTGCCTCAAACATATTAATAGAACAATGTCTCAAAGATATATTTACAAAACAGTATAAAAACCAATTCCAAAGATATTACTAGAACACTGTCTCAAATATAAAAATAAACAAGTCTCTAACATATTAATAGAAAAATGTCTCACAGATATTAATAAATCCATCTTAAAGATATTGATAAATAAGTCTCAAATATATTACTAGAACACTGTGACATCTATTTTCAAGCTAAAGGTCAGTTAAAATCTCGGAAAATGTCGCTGAAAAAAGGATACGATAGCTACATACAAAAATCACTAAAATTTAATAGAAATACATTTTTTTTAATTTAAAGACTCACGACCTAAAGTTCTAAAAATGTAATCTGTAAACTGAATAACTGCAAATGAAGTTTATTTTTTACATGCAGTATTCATAGCTGACACCAAGTGTGTCATATAATAGTTGACATTTTTAATTCATACAGGTGTTACATAACTAATCTTAACATGCCTTTAGAAAGTATTCAATTCATATACCGTATTCGACGTAATAAGAGCCCAGGGCGCTCTCAAAATTAGAAATATGGGGGCTCTTATTAGAATTTTATTTTGGTGAAAAAAAAAACAGGTGAAAGATAAATTTCGTTGTTTATGCTGTTTCCAGGATATAATAGCCCATATTTAAAGGGCAAGTTCACACGGAAATGAACCTATTTTTCTTGTACTTTTTCCACATTAAAAATGTTAACATAGAAGTGTCATAGACAAAAATATAAAAATATCACAATTAATTAACATATTTTTCGCATTAAAACGATTTATATTTTTCACATTTACCAAGTGTTCTATTTCCACAACAAAAACACCATGGCTTATGCCCCTTGCAATATGACGTCATTGGTGCCAATTGATAAACATTATGACGTCATCATGCTTTGTTAGAGCCGCTTCACGTGGTGTAGGTCCAGGTGTGTGATTCTAGCGTCTCAGATTCCAGCCAGCATAGTGTTATGCTGAGTCACCACTGCGCCGGAGTGTGTCGTAGGCCATGTTGTTTTACCGCAAACTGGTACTTGATATCTTTTGCGTTGAGAATAGACAGGGACCCAGTTGAATTGGCACCAATTACGTCATAATCTAAGGGGGATAACTCAGGCCTGTTTAGCTCGAAAAACGAAGGCCTCATAACGGCATATCATTTTCACACTATTGTGAGCTTCCTACGTTCACTGTGAAAAAAATGAGTGTATATTTTCAAACACAGATACTAATTAATTCTAAAATTGCGTTTTGTTTAGAAAAAGAAAGAAAGTGATTTTTGCGTGTACACTTCCCCTTTAAGGTGCATAGAACACACAAGTGCGTATTATATGCGAATAAATATGTCTTGTGTACATTGATCAATTGGAAAGGGTGCTAATTGGGATTGTTCACTAGCCAATATATTAGCAAATATCGCCATGGGCGCTTATTAGAGCGGGGCGATTATTACATCGAATACAGAATGTCAAATCAGAGGCTTCAAATCATAATAACTACCTCAGATTGAAACATCAAATTGACCTTCACCACAGATGCTAATATATCTGCTCCAAATTCAATTTAGCATGGTCAAATCTGCAGGTGACATAGCTCAACATCTATCAGTACAGGGCATCCAATCAATCATCAGTAAAACTGATCATTAGAACATCATCTCTGGTACTACAGATGCTCTGAAGTGGAACCCTGGCCATAATGGCTGGAGCTGATGAGGTTGAAACAACAGAAACAACAGAAACAACAGCACAATCAAGGCAGAACGTACAAGAACTGCAAAAACAATGAAATTCATACTTTAAAAATTTACAAAATAAAAAACAAAAACTGTAAAAATCTTTGAAAACGTCACTGACATAGATACAGCAGTATAACGCATGAGACTCCCTGTATGAGTCCCAGACAAATTCTGCTATTCTGCAGAAAGATTTGCAGAATATGCAGAAAAATCAGAATTGCAGAAAAATCTTGGAATTTGCCTTTTTGATCCATCAATACACTTAAGTTCATTATTTTCAAGCTTTCCTATTAAATTCGGCACTTGAATGCTCAACCATATCACATGTGATACAAACTTACAAAGTTTGACTCATGCAATAAAACAATTGAAATAAATAATTCACACACTTAAACGTCCTTATGGTATTATGACCACATAAACTATGTTTAACTCTAGCCAGAAATAAATATCAGTGACACTATGCATATCCATTTGCATACTTTTATGTCTTATCCAATGATAATGCAAAATTTAAGTAATTTATCAAAGAATGTGGACTGCTATATGTGATGCCATCATAAAAACTGGGTGTGCAAACAGAAAATTTATTGGTATGTGTAATATCTTTGTATTAAACATCCAGAAATTTGCATGTGAGTGAGTGAGTTAGGTTTCACACCATGTTGAGTGAGTGAGTGAGTGAGTGAGTGAGTGAGTGAGTGAGTGAGTGAGTGAGTGAGTGAGTGAGTGAGTGAGTGAGTGAGTGAGTGAGTGAGTTGGGTTTATGCTGCTTCTAACATTATTCCAGTTAAATCACGGTGTGTCAGCTTAATGTGGGAGGAAAGCCCGAAGTGATGCAGGTCTCAGAGGTTTATCACTTCAGTGAAACCCACGAGCACAGGTATGGTGCTGACAAACCTAAGAACTTAATCGGGGCGAACCAGGATTCGAACCCAACGCAACTCTGCCCCCCACACCAAGATGAAGTGCCTTACTTGCATTGTTTAGGGTCTTGTATACACCATGTTCCTCCATCACACCAGAATATGACCACGTTGTGATGCCCCTCCATTATAACTCATGCATCAAATCAAATCTGGATCAGGCAATTCAGTGATTGACTTTTGATCATCAATCTACAAAATTGGGATACGATGACATGCATCAACCAAGTCAGAGAGCCTGACCATCTGAAATCTCGTTAATTGCATCTCATACGCAAGGGTTGATGATGACAATTCCAACCAAGATCAGCATCTTCTTCTAGTACACCATGACTACTCCGTGCATGAACTTTGTGCAACCCTATCATTGCCTGAACAAGGACTGGCACATACGTCCACAAGACTACACCAGAAACATAAGGCTAAAAAAATAATAGTTTTGGTTCTCAGGCTCGGCGCCTATCATCATAAAGTCTTCCGTACATTTCGTTTTTTATTTCCATTTTCAAAAAAAATTAAAAAATCCTAATACTTAAAAACAATGAGATCCAATACATCACAGAGTTACTCCCCTTTACATGCTCGCTGCTTTACTGCACATCTCGTGTTATTGTAATGGCCGCAATAGGAGCTTGTATGCTTGTTTATGAGGGAGGCCCTTTCCCAGGTTGATGGTACACAACTGTTTATCTGGTTACATACTAGTTTGTACAAGCAAACAAACAAAAACCCACCACCCATCCGCACTATATTTTCAAAAGGCATTGCCTGAGAACCAATTCTTTTGTTTTCTTAAGCCTTACCATTTGTTTTTTAAATAAGCTGAGCGCTCATTGATTAGAGTACACATTAGTTTCACATTACTGGAACTTACAGGTTATTAAATTAAAGACAGGAAATTCAACAAGATAGCATGTTGACCCTATGTATTCACCGGTGCAACATGGTGTGTACAAACTCAAGAAGCATTGACGATGGAAATCTGGTTTTAATGTAATCAAAATATAAATCATTGTAGTAGGTTTCAAATACTTTATAATGGTTTTTATCTTATGAATGATCTCAAGGTTTCAATCCTACAATCTACAAAACGACCTTGCATATGAAAGGTAAGTCCTTCTCGAAAAAATATCACAGTCTGTGACCAGAAAGACATAATTGCAAACACATTCACATTCAAATTTCATTAAGTAGCCTACCTGTAGAAAGGAAAGGAAAGAAGTTAGATTCATGCCGAGCCAGTTGTGTCCATCTTAATTAATTATCATCTGATTCATGACAATTGGAATCGGCTAAGTAGAAATTCAGGATACTAGATACATTTTCAGGGTCTCAAGAAATGGAGCAGGACATGCCTACCCTTTTCACGAACGCCGGGTGTCATCACAGATTATAAATATCCAATTATGCAATTTTCACCAGTATTTTCCTTTTACAACGTATGGGCTGATAATCCAGACTAATAATTCTCAGGTATTGACGTCTTATATATATTTGGTTTAAAGCTGTTCTGAACAGCATATTGGTTACATCAAAGCCACGATGTTAGGTATCAGACACGGCAAAGAGAAGCAACTCTGCACAGTGAATTATAGTGCCATAGACAGCTGGGCCACTCTTGCATCCAAGTAGAATGATGGGACATCCTGTACGTCCCTGTGTTGTTTGTTTGTTTTTTGTTTAACGCCACACTCAACACTATTGCAGCTGTGACGGTGGTCTGAAAATAATGGAATCTGGACCAGACAAGCCAGTGATTGATATCATGAGCATCGATCCACGCAATTGGGATACGGTGACATGCATCAACCAAGTCATGACCATGGAATACCAGCCCCTTTCACAGACGAAAGACATCAGGCAAAATGCATGAGTTGTAATTCGTGTTGATCACACCAGCATCCTTCAGTTGTCTCCCCTGCCTCAAGGCAACACACCATGACCTTCCTATCTGTCTTGTACAGTGTGCTGTTGTAGTTGACTGGACTTCCATCAATGTCCTTCAGGGTGTAGTGGTCAAAACGAAGAATATCCCTCACCTTAAAAAAACAAACAGTGAAGTGCTTAATAATTTTGAAGTGACAAAATAGTTTTTCTAATTTTGTGGTAAAAAACACTGTGTACAGCCATGAGTGAGTGTGTATGGTTTTACGCCGCTTTTAGCAATATTCCAGCAATATCACGGCTGGGGACACCAGAAATGGGCTTCACACATTGTACCCATGTCGGGAATCGAAGCCGGGTCTTCGGCGTGACGAGCGAACACTTTAACCACTAAGCTACCTGACCGCCCCTTGTACAGCTATGGAGCTCTGTAGCACATAAGTGAGTTGATTCTTACGCAGCTTTTAGCAATATTCCAGCAGTATCACCTCGGGGGACGCCCGAAATGGGCTTCACAAATTGTACCCATGTGGGACATGAACCCAGGCCTTCAGCATGAAAATGAATGCTTCAACCACAAGGCTACCCTACCACCACATGAGGTGAGGTGAGGTGAGGTGAGGTGAGGTGAATGGGGTTTAACATCGCGTCCTAGATTTTGGCACTTATAAAGCAATGTGCATGTGTGTGTGTGTGTGTGTGTGTGTGTGTGTGTGTGTGGCTGCTTGTACTAGCCCGGACTGATGCTGATTTATAGTGCTAGCTCACTGAGATACCATGCCGCAGTTTAACATGAATACTCCACTCAGACACAATATACTGACTCCGAGCCGACCAGTCCTTGTTTTAGCCCCTTAATGCCGGGCGCCAGACAGGGTAACAACAAGTACCATCTTTTAACGTCTTTTGGTATGACGCGGTCGGGGATCGAACCCCGGACCTTCCGCTCTCCGGGCGGACGCTATACCACTAGACCACGGAGGCGGTCTACCGTCACATGAGACCCTGTGGTTCATATGCATGTTCTGGAATATTTGCAACACTATGGACAAATATACCAACCACAAATGTATGCCTGGGTCTCAATCTTAACAAGCAAAGTGTCACAGAATTACTAACAGTAAGCTCAGTCAGAAACCGATACTTCAACAAGTGTCACATAGAGTCTACGTTGCCATGGCAATTTGATTAGAATTGGTCTGTATTATTTTCCATCAACAGTTGCTTTTTTTGTCAAAAAATGTGGTTTCAGCTGATTACACCATCTATATTATTAGTGTTTTTCTCGAAAAAGATGAAAAAAGGGGCAGCCACATCTAAAATCAGATTCAAATCTTTACTATGAGGTCTGCTACAATGACATAAGATAACTTTAACCTTTCATCCTGGTAAACAGTGAGTGAGTGAGTATGGTTTTACGCCGCTTTTAGCAATATTCCAGCAATATCACGGCGGGGGACACCAGAAATGGGCTTCACACATTGTACCCTGGTAAACTAAAAACAAACTATACATGACTGAAAAAATAATTTAGACTTGAAATTGGACAATTTCATTAAAATCAGACCTTAGTTCTCGCTACCGCGAAACAAACATCTGAGGACATCCCATTATGGATCACGTCAAACTGACCTTGTGCGAAATTTGACCGACCCATGGAATGACCTATCAGAAGGCAGCTTTCTCGGGCTTTACGCCACTAATTTCAAATTGGTGACAACGCTTTGAAACATATTTTGACAAATTCTCGATTACAAATTTGAAACCTAAACAAAAGAACATTCTGGAATGGCAAATAGATGGTCTAGATTGTATTGATTCAGTTGAACACCTTTGCTGGGACCATCCAGTTAACACTTTTTGAATGGAACATTTTTGCCACAATATTCTAGGGAATTAGTGGCAGTCATTATCTGACCTACTGAAAGGTTATGGCCACTAAGTACACCTACCGCTTGCCGAATTGTGTCGGTCAGTTTTCCCCATTCTTCGTAATGAAGAGGCACCAGGATCTGCTTCACACTTTCACCATTTTCTCTGATCAGGTACAGCTTGCATCCAAATTCTGAAACTGTTGAGACGGGGTATTATTACTTCCTGAACTAATATATGTATCAAAGCTGACAAATTCATCCAGTAGTGAATGGGTACCCGGTAGGATGAGATGGCAATATGGTTGTTAACCTTCTGGCGCCTAACACGCAGCTTGGGTTGTATACTCCTCAGGGAGCTGAGAATGATTGTTGAGTGCACACTGATCCATTGACCGGGATAATAAATGTCTACAAAGCGCTTAGAGCATACTTATGCATGGAGTACAGCACCATATAAATGGACTATCATCATCATAATCATTAAATTCACAGGTATCAAATCATCATCATTATTATTAAATTCACAGGTATCAAATCAATGTTTGAAACCTCTAAACTGAAAACACAGAAAGTTTATCTGCTAATTTAGGTGGACATTGGAATTCATTTCGATTTCCACACTTCGATATTTCCTCGTAAGAGGCAAAGGAGGCAAAGGTGGTCTAGTCATCTGAGTGCCCCAAAAGCTGTGCAGAGTTTCATCCCTTGGGCTCATCAGGAACCTATAACTGTGGGTTCAAATCCAGGTTTGTCTTGATTATGTTTCTAGGTTTGTCAGCATCATACCTGTGCATGTGTGTTTCACCAAAGTGGTAAAATCTTAGACCTGCATCACTTCAGGCTTTCCTCCCACATTAGGCTGACATGCTGTGATGTAACTGGAATACTGTTAAAGGCAGCGTCAAACCTAACTCACTCACTCACTCAAAAGTCAAATGTCCAAAAAACCTAATAACTTACTGTCAGCTTCAGCCTTCAGGTTCTTTTGGACAGACAGCAGTTGGTTCTCAAATGACTCGTGTTCGGGATCAAGGATGGGGAACGGAATTCCCTAGGAAAGAAAGACAAATACTACATGCATAAAAGTAATCTTGCCACAAAATGGGTTCAAAATGCATTCCCCTTTTCATGTTAAGTTAAGTTTGAAATTTCTTTTAATGGCTTTTAGAAGTTGATGTAATCCATCCAGAAAAGCCAGCCCTAATTCAAGTGGGTCAAAATGTGTAATTTAATGTGAAAAAGTTTGTTGGTTGGTTGGTTGTTTAATGCCGCACTCAGCAATATTCCAGCTATATGACGGAGGTCTGTAAATAATCCAGTCTGGACCAGACAATCCAGTGATTAATATCATGAGCATCGATCCACGCATTTGGGATCGATGACATGTATCAACCAAGTCAGCGAGCCTGACCACCTGATCCCGTTAGTGGCCTTTTACAACAAGCATAGTCGCCTTTTACTAATGTGAAAAAGAGTCATGTTAACAGTACCATATTTAAGTTCTGAAGTTTAAATTTCAATACAGAAAGAAAGGAAGACTGAAGACTGCATCTCTTACGACAGGTGTTCATGGTGAGTTTGTGATTTGCCCCTGAACACCCAGTTCTCTGCCATACCTAGGTTTTGAAATAGGTCACTTCTAAACCTGCCTTGCGGTTTCGCAAATTAATTGTAGGTTTTAAATTCAGGTGTTGTAAACTTGCCTCTTGTTGTGAACACAATTATGTTGGATGATTGGTTAAAAGTCCTAATATTTTTACATGAAAATTCCATGACGTGTTTTGGACTTGCAACCTCACATGTGGTGTTAAGTTTTGTAACCCACAGTTTTCCCACAGCTATCAGTGCAGGTGAAAGAAATTGTTCAATTTTACATGTCATGACTCCAGCTGGTCCATGTTGCACGTGTTTTTTCTCCTGCATGCTTCGACTGAATTCCTTTTATACCATGACACACTGTATTGTTTCGCTATAAGGTATGTCAATGTTTACTTATTTTTTCTGGTATTTCTTGCATTTAGACAGTTCATAAGTTGGACTAAGCACGCCTCCTCAGTTTTAGTGGAAAATATAAAGCCTTGAGCTACCCTTGCTCGAGGTTTTACATTTTCAACTAAAACCACGGAGGCATGCTTTAGCCAATACATGAAGTACAAAATCTTGATCACTGGATAGTCTGGTCCAGACTTGATTATTTACAGACTGCCATCAAATAGCTGGAATATTGCTGAGTGCAGCGTTAAACAACAAACCAAAACCAACATTGTTTTAGTTTGCATTGAATTTTCCAATATGCATTAGTTATATGTAACCAACCAACCAATCTTCCTTTCTAACACCAGCTGCTTCAAATTGGACAAAGAGACAAGAATACCAGTATTTTACCCATCAAGGAATACATTTATGTAGGAAGGCCCTTACCCAGGTTGGTTACATACCAGTTTCAACAACTAAAAGGGCTTCCCGTCCCCACTATTTTTTTCAAAATCTTTTGCCTGAGAACCATTTCTTTAATGTTTTGAAGCCTAATATATATATTGTGGCCTTTTGTCTTACCTCATCAGGAATGTCCCAACATACTAGTTTGAACAGCAACGAAAAGGGCTTCCCGTCCGCATATATTTACAAAACCATTTCTTTAATGTTCTGAAGCCTAATATATATGTGGCCTTTTGTCTTACCTCATCAGGAATGTCCCCCAAAGCCATCATGTCCTCATGTTCCTGCCCAGACAGATCGGACTGGGAGGCCTTGCCAAGGGCGCCTGCAACACAAGCACAGTAAGAGTGAGTGAGTGAGTGAGTGAGTTGGGTTTAACGCCGCTTTTAACAGTATTCCAGTTATATCCAGCGTGTCAGCTTAATGTGGGAGGAAAGCCCGAAGTGATGCAGGTCTTAGACGTTTACCACTTCGGTGAAACCCACGAGCACGGGTATGGTGCTGACAAACCTAGAAACATAATCGGGGCGAACCGGGATTCGAACCCACAATCATAGGTTTCTGGCGTGCCTAAGGGACGCAACTCTGCACAGCGAATCGCGGCGTCTTAGACGACTGGGCCACCCGTGCCCCCAGGCACAGTAAGAACTGTAGCATACTACCCACAGCTGCTCACAGCTTTATTTTTCTATTGTTTGTTGTTTAACACCGCACTCAACAATATTACAGCTATATTACGGCGGTCTGTAAATAATCGAGTCTGGACCAGACAATGCAGTGATAAATATCATGAGCATCATTTCACGCAATTTGGATACGATGACATGCATCTAAATAAAACTAAGCCAAAATTGACATAGCAGAAACAGACAATAGGCATTATGTACCTGTTCTCACCTGTCGTCAAGGTGTCATAGGTCACCTTGATCAACTTACACCTGGTTATGCCCTGTTTCACAATAATCTGTATTATTCACATTTTTACACACTTTTACGTTTAAAAAGGCATAAAAACATTTGATACGCTGTATTTCTGCCGCGGCCCAATTAGTACTAATTTAGTTGTTTGAATATTTAATATCTGAGGTCGAAAAAACAGTTTTTTTTCATTTCTGTGAGTACTTTACCCACAGCTGCTCACAGCTTTATTTTTCTCTTTGTCAATATTCCAGCTATATTACGGCGGTCTGTAAATAATCGAGTCTGGACCAGACAATGCAGTGATGAATATCATGAGCATTATTTTACGCAATTGGGATACGATGACATGCATCTACCAGGTCAGTGATTGTTTGTGTGTGTGTCTTGTTTAACACCACATTCATCACTCTACCAGCTATATGGTGGCTGCCTGTAAATGATCAAGTCTGGACCAGACAATCCAGTGATAAATATCATGAGCATCATTTCACGCAATTTGGATACGATGACATGCATCTACCAGGTCAGCGATTGTGTGTGTGTGTGTCTTGTTTAACACCACATTCATCACTCTACCAGCTATATGGTGGCTGCCTGTAAATGATCAAGTCTGGACCAGACAATCAAGAGATTGATAGTGTAAGCTATCTGGACCACCTAATCCATTTAGCCAACAGGAAAGGATTCTGAGGACCTTTTTTAACCTGGAATCCCTTACGGGGTTTTCGATTAACAACTGAGCCCTACAAGAATGCAAGCTGAAACTGCACACTATTGGGGTTTTGATCATGTTCATGCATATCTGTACTCATGCATCCCAAAATTAATTTCATGATCTTGCATTTCATTTTCTGTAATATGTAACTTTTCACAAAGTGCTTCACCTGCATATTGATGACATTTGGTAAATCCAGATTAATTATTTGAAGTATTATTACTCAGACAGAAAACTATTGTTCGAAAGAAAAAACATTAATGTAGCTTGAATATATATATATATATATATATATATATATATATATATATATATATATATATATATATACTACTCAACTATTCCAATAAAGAGGTAGCGGTTTTAATACTAAGTATACAATTGCATCAAATTCAATCTCCAAATATACTACTCAAAATAAGTTAAGGACCCCGTGATTCTTTCATATTACTGTCGTTAATCTGTCATGGCATAACAGATTAACTATAGTTATATGAAATAATCAGTTGGTCCTTAACTTATTTTGAGTAGTATACATGGCAGCGTTAGAAATTTGCACTAGTCCTGTAGTCCTTACCAAACTGCCCAATAGTAAAGGTATCCTAATGGCTAGTAGAAATTGGCCCATTTAAGGGTTTTTGCTTTATGTTATCATTATAAGGACTAGTGGACAAAAACTGTTAAAGTACTGTTTTTCTCAATTTAAAAATCGACACAAAGTGTTACGTCGCTGTAAATACAAAATAACAAAACAACTCGAAAAGTTCTAGTATGGATTTGCTAGTTTGATCTCAGTGAACAATTCAAAATGCCCTGTTTCACAATAGACTCTTTTATTCACATTTTTACACACTTTTACTTGTAAAAAGGCAAAAAAAACTGTGATATGCTGTATTTGTGCCAAGGCCCAATTAGTACTAATTGAGTTGTTTGAATATTTACATATTTTGTATATTAACTGCATTTATTTAAGATCTGAGGTAAAAAAAATAGTTTTTTTTCATTTCCGTGAGTACTTTAGTTTTAGTTTAACCCTGCAAGGTCGAAAACCTCTGAATTTCAAAACACAAGAACTTGCCAATTTTGAATAAAATCTAAAAAAATATTCTCAATTTGCCTGCCAGGGCATATAGTTTAGAATCCTAAGTAAATCTCTCCCCTGTATAGTCAAGGAAGATATTATTAATGCTGACACAGCACTTACTGAATTCCTTCTCTTGGTGGTCATACAGCGACTTCGGGCTGAACTCTGTGGAGGACAGTCGTCCCTTGTCTGGTAGGAACACTCCTGACGTATCACTGCTGCGGCCTGAGTTGAGACAAGGCTCGGAGGGAGGATGACAAGGGAGGCTCACTCCCAGCCCCGAACTACCTTCCACTTTCTTCACCATCCCACTGCTGGTTCTGTTCTGCATTGGTTCACTCTGTGGCTGCTTGCCATTTGGGGGAGATCTGGGCTTACTCTCTGCTGGCGTGGATTGATATCTTTTATAAGCCAACTTCTTTGTTGCAGTACAGGTGACATCAATGGTGAGTCCTGGGTTCTTCTTCTCCAGGGACCGGCCACCATCTTGTTTCCTTGCATATACGACATCTTCACATGGACGACTTCCATTTCCTGGTCCAGGGATATCGATGCTTTCCGATTCAATAGGACAATCTTTTGTCTTGGAGGTCTCCACAGCATAATCAGGTGTACCCCGAAAGAAACTGGTCACACTTTTAGATGGCGGCCTTGATTTTCGTATCGCCTGAGGAGAAGCAGTGACTGCTGCTCCAGAAAAATCGAAGTCCTGTCTCTGAGTGACGTCTTCTGCTTCACTGTGAGCTGAAGGGTCCTCCATGGATTCTAGAGATGGGTCGTCATGGTTGCCACTTGTCTCAGGTTTCACATCTATATAATCAACTGCACTTGCTTCTTCTGAACCGTCACCTGTCTCCTGAGGACTGCCCTGGATTGAACCGTCACCGAACAAGTCGGAGCTGTCAATGTGTTCCTCATAAAAGCCAGTTGGAGGATAGAAGCTCATTGGGCCGAGGTCGTCCTGTGGACTTGGATTGACTCTCATCTCTATTGGGGAAGTATTAGGCGTTGACTGAAGAGCAGATAACGGGGTGAATCTCATTGGGCTGTCTTGTGCCTCACTATTCATAGCTACTCCTGTTTCGGGGGACTGTTGTACCCTTAGCAAGGGTGAGGACGTAAGGCCCTCAAGTGATGACTCTTCTGAGGACTGCCCTGGATTGGATGACCTGTCTCCTGAGGACTGCCCTGGATTGGATGACCTGTCTCCTGAGGACTGCCCTGGATTGGATGACCTGTCTCCTGAGGACTGCCCTGGTTTGAATGACCTGTCTCCTGAGGACTGCCCTGGATTGAATGACCTGTCTCCTGAGGACTGCCCTGGATTGGATAACCTGTCTCCTGAGGACTGCCCTGGTTTGAATGACCTGTCTCCTGAGGACTGCCCTGGATTGGATGACCTGTCTCCTGAGGACTGCCCTGGTTTGAATGACCTGTCTCCTGAGGACTGCCCTGGTTTGGATGACCTGTCTCCTGAGGACTGCCCTGGTTTGGATGACTTGTCTCCTGAGGATTGCCCTGGTTTGAATGAACTGTCTTCTGAGGACTGTCCTTGTTTGAATGACCTGTCTCCTGAGGACTGCCCTGGTTTGGATGACCTGTCTCCTGAGGACTGCCCTGGATTGGATGACCTGTCTCCTGAGGACTGGCCTGATCCATCCCCTCCAGCAGCACAGGGAGTCCCTTCATATTCCTGTCCTGTCATTGTATTCTGTTCATCAAGTGTTATTCCACTGAATGTAAGCTGATTGTTGTTCAACAACACCGAAAGTCGAGGCATGTTATCAAATGGAGTCCTCTCACATGGCCTGTATTCATGTAGTGCTTGTGAAGGCTGCAGAAATTCCACTCTGGGAACAATATCACTCAGGAAGCTCTGAATATGCTGGTCCGAATCTTCAAAGGATGTGGAGAATGACCATGTCTTTCCGGTCACACCGTCAGGTATGTCATGTAAGGAACCCTGAAGGACAGTGGGCAGGTTTGCCAGGTCCTGTGGATGTCCCTCTGAAAAAGCTTGATTGCCTTCTCCAGTGTGATCTTCGCAGGCACCAGGAGCTTCTGGACTTCTGGCGCAGAGGCTATCAACAGATGCGGTACCCGCAGAACGACTCAAAGTCCTCTGGCCATCATGTTCGTCTTGTTGAAGCTCAGTGTCGGATGACGCCGTGGGCAGAGCAGGGACAGGAGCAACACCACTCCTCTGATACACAACCTCACTTGAGTTGTGCTTAGCTAAACCCGACCCAAGATTCGACCCACTACTTCCTTCGCTAACTCGGAATTCCACAGATGGCAGCCTTCTCTCTGACAAGGATGGCTGTCTGGAGCCTTGTGGAGCTGCCTGAGATCGAGCTGACAGGCTGGACAGAATCTCCTCCAGCTCCTGTGGTCCACTCGCCTCGGTGGGGTCCAGCTGATTGTCCGGGAGGGGCTGACCAGTGCTCTTAAGGGTGGAGTAGTAGCTGGTAGGGGCTCCTTGTTCTACAACAAACAAGCGTATAGTTGACAAATATCCCCAGCCTATTTTAACACATTATGGTCCCAAACCAGGTAACTGACCCAACATGTCTCTTAGCCCATGTCAAAATAGCAGCAATGGGAATTCCAAAATAAACATTTCTAAAACTCCTTAATATCATATGGCACTAGTTCAGTATGCGCTTTATATATAGACATGCAATGTTTGGCAAGTAAATATTTAACAGTTTATTATTTATACTACTTAAGTAAACCAATCCTATATTAAAACTTAAATCCAACTTGTTGTCATGGAAACATTAACAAAAAAAATTACTAAAAGTGCTATATATCAAAAGGCACCATTTCAGTATTTAACGGCTTTTGAGTTACGTTCCGGAAACGAACACCGCCCTTATAGAACCTAAGTCCAACTTGTTGCCATGGAAACGTAAAAAAATAAAAATTTATAAAATTCCTAAATAGCAAAAGGCACCAGTTCAGCATGAGTCTGATAGACATGCAATGTTTCGTAGAGAAATATTTAACGGTTTCTGAGTTATGCTCCGGAAACGGTTTCGGGACGCACACACGCACGCACACATGCACACACACACACACACACACACACACACACACACACACACACACACACACACACACACACACACACACACACACACACACACACACACACACACACACACACACACACACACACACACACACACACACACACACACACGGACGGACGGAACCTATTTCTATATCCCCCGCCAACTTCGTTGGGGCGGGGGATAACAATCAAGGAGTGAGTTGGGTTTTACACTTCCTTGTACAGTATTGCATGGATGTCATGGATGTAAAACTCTCCAGATGGAGCCAAATAGTTACTGAGTGAGTGAGTGAATTTCAATCATATTGCAGCAGGTCAGCTTAAAATGGGAGGAAAGTCTGAAGTTATACAGGTTATAAGATGTCACCAGCTCTGTTTCAGTGCTGACAAACCAACTATTTTCGAAAATAGGAACTATTCAAATCCCAATTTTGAACAAAATAATCACATTTTTCCCAACTTACATTCCAAAGACACATAGCATGACTTACCAAGTTAGGGTTTATGCCACTTATCAAGGGAGGGACACACATTGTCGTGATGACTGTACCCAAATGTGGGAATCAAACCCAGGTGATTGGCATGACAAGCAAACGCCTTACCCACAAAGCTACCCGCCACCCCTTGGCTTACCTAGAACCCTAAAGGCTGGGTGCTTCAGGAGGCTGGCTGCAGGGGGTCTCAGCTTGGGGTCGACGGTGAATCCCTGGGTGATGAGATCCCGCACCACTTCCTGGATGTTGGCTGGGACGTCATCTAGTGGCGGGGACTGCATGAAGATCTGCCGTGAAAGAAGGACATGATATAAATAATGCTGTATCTCCCATTATTGCCAATCTCATTAAAGTCAGATCTACTCCCATATGTTGGTTTGTTGTTTTACGCCTGACCACCCGATCCCATTAGTCACCTTTGATGACAAGCATAGTCGCCTATTACGGCAAGCATGGGTTGCTGAAGACCTATTCTACCCAGGATCTTCACGGGTACTCCCATATGTGAGTTGAGATCAATTGGGGTTTAACGTTGCGTCCAAGATTATTACACTTACATAGCGACGTGCATGCATGTGTGTGTGGCCGCTTGCACTAGTCCGGACTGATGACGACTAATAGTCCTAGCCATTTGAGATAACATGCACAGTTAAACATGAATACCCCACTCAGACACAGTAAACTGACTGAGCTGACCAGTCCATGTTTTACCCCTTTAATGCCGAGCGCCAGACAGGGCAACAACAAGTACCATCTTTTAACGTTTGAATATCAAAAGACATCAGTTTACCACTAGACCCATCTATGTGTTAAGTTTGGTTAAGATATCTTTTTGAGTTCTGCTCTGGACATTAAACATGACGGACGGACAGCACCCATTCCTATATCCCCTTCCATTTCATAGCAAGAGTTAAAAATCCTAAATAGCAAAAGGCACTTGTTGACAACCTGGCCTGTGTGCACAGTTTCAAGAAAGAGTACCTACTGCTTTTAACAGAGTCAAAGTCAAACTTGTTTCGAATTTTTTACAAATTCCAACATAGCAAAACGCACCACTTCAGTCCCTGGTTAATACATTAACCAAGTTTGGATGAAAAATCTTTCATAGTTTTGAAGTTAAGCTCCAGAAACAAAATACGGACAGACAGACCAGATGATGACATTATCAACCAGCATAATATGCCATGGCAATAAAAATGAAAGCTACAAAGTTTGAGGTGAGGTGAGGTGAAATGGGGTTTAATGTCACGTCCAAGATTATTGCACTTATATAGCGACGTGCATGAACTATGTGTGTTTGTGTGGCTGCTTGTACTAGTCCGGAGTGCTAGCTCACTGAGATACCATGCCGCAGTTAAACATGAATACCCCACTCAGACACAGTATACTGACTCCGAGCCGACCAGTCTTTGTTTTAGCCCCTTAATGCTGAGTGCCAGACAGGGTAACAACAAGTACCATCTTTTAACATCTTTTGGTATGACGCGGCCTGGGACCGAAACCCCGGACCTTCCGCTCTCCGGGGGGACGCTCTACCACTAGACCACGGAGGCGGTCTACATAGTTTGAGCCTGATTCAAATATCATTTAAATAAAAACAAAAAAGTCCAAACATAAACATACCACAAAATGCAGCATCTGAGCCCCAGGAAACCTCTGTGTCCAGGGAGGGTAGCCACTCAACATGTGGACGAGGATGCACACGGCGGCCCACACGTCCGCAGCGAAGCCGTGGCCGATACTGGTGGCCTTCTCGGGGCTCCACTGTGTCTGGCTGCCTGTGGGACTCATGCCCTTCATCTCGCTGTCCACGTTGAGGTACTTCCCCAGCCCGAAGTCGGTGACCGCTATCAGGGTGGTGTTTCTCTTCACCAGGATGTTGTCCGCTGTGGAGTACGATCACAGCATGACACAGTTGTGGTGTTGTTGAATACTGACTGAAGCAGCCATTCACTCTCACTGTGGTATTGTTGAATAAGGAAAAAGGCAATCAATCACACTCTTACTTCATTCACTAATGACAGCCTGAGGTATTGTTGAATGTGAGAAAAACAACATTCACTCACTAATGACAGTCTGTGGTATTGTTGAATATGAGAAAAACAACATTCACTCACTAATGACAGTCTGTGGTATTGTTGAATATGAGAAAAACAACATTTACTCACTAATGACAGTCTGTGGTATTGTTGAATATGAGAAAAACAACATTCACTCACTAATGACAGTCTGTGGTATTGTTGAATGTGAGAAAAACAACATTCACTCACTAATGACAGTCTGTGGTATTGTTGAATGTGAGAAAAACAACATTCACTCACTAATGACAGTCTGTGGCATTGTTGAATGTGAGAAAACAACATTCAGTCACTAATGAGAGTCTGTGGCATTGTTGAATATGAGAAAAACAACATTCATTCACTAATGACAGTCTGTGGCATTGTTGAATATGAGAAAAACAACATTCATTCACTAATGACAGTCTGTGGCATTGTTGAATGTGAGAAAAACAACATTCAGTCACTAATGACAGTCTGTGGCATTGTTGAATATGAGAAAAACAACATTCATTCACTAATGACAGTCTGTGGCATTGTTGAATGTGAGAAAAACAACATTCATTCACTAATGACAGTCTGTGGCATTGTTGAATGTGAGAAAAACAACATTCAGTCACTAATGAGAGTCTGTGGCATTGTTGAATATGAGAAAAACAACATTCATTCACTAATGACAGTCTGTGGTATTGTTGAATAAGAGAAAAACAACATTCACTCACTAATGACAGTCTGTGGCATTGTTGAATATGAGAAAAACAACATTCATTCACTAATGACAGTCTGTGGTATTGTTGAATATGAGAAAAAAAACATTCACTCACTAATGAGTTTGTGGTATTGTTGAATGTGAGAAAAACAACATTCACTCACTAATGACAGTCTGTGGCATTGTTGAATGTGAGAAAAACAACATTCACTCACTAATGACAGTCTGTGGCATTGTTGAATATGAGAAAAACAACATTCATTCACTCACTAATGACAGTCTGTGGTATTGTTGAATGTGAGAAAAACAACATTAACTCACTAATGACAGTCTGTGGCATTGTTGAATGTGAGAAAAACAACATTCATTCACTCACTAATGACAGTCTGTGGCATTGTTGAATATGAGAAAAACAACATTCATTCACTCACTAATGACAGTCTGTGGCATTGTTGAATATGAGAAAAACAACATTCACTCACTAATGACAGTCTGTGGCATTGTTGAATATGAGAAAAACAACATTCACTCACTAATGACAGTCTGTGGCATTGTTGAATATGAGAAAAACAACATTTACTCACTAATGACAGTCTGTGGTATTGTTGAATATGAGAAAAACAACATTTACTCACTAATGACAGTCTGTGGCATTGTTGAATATGAGAAAAACAACATTCACTCACTAATGACAGTCTGTGGCATTGTTGAATATGAGAAAAACAACATTCTCTCACTAATGACAGTCTGTGGCATTGTTGAATATGAGAAAAACAACATTCAGTCACTAATGACAGTCTGTGGCATTGTTGAATATGAGAAAAACAACATTCACTCACTAATGACAGTCTGTGGTATTGTTGAATATGAGAAAAAAAACATTCACTCACTAATGAGTCTGTGGCATTGTTGAATGTGAGAAAAACACCATTCACTCACTAATGAGTCTGTGGTATTGTTGAATGTGAGAAAAACAACATTTACTCACTAATGACAGTCTGTGGTATTGTTGAATGTGAGAAAAACAACATTTACTCACTAATGACAGTCTGTGGTATTGTTGAATGTGAGAAAAACAACATTCACTCACTAATGACAGTATGTGGTATTGTTGAATATGAGAAAAACAACATTCACTCACTAATGACAGTCTGTGGTATTGTTGAATATGAGAAAAAAAACATTCACTCACTAATGAGTCTGTGGCATTGTTGAATGTGAGAAAAACACCATTCACTCACTAATGAGTCTGTGGTATTGTTGAATGTGAGAAAAACAACATTTACTCACTAATGACAGTCTGTGGTATTGTTGAATGTGAGAAAAACAACATTTACTCACTAATGACAGTCTGTGGTCTTGTTGAATGTGAGAAAAACAACATTTACTCACTAATGACAGTCTGTGGTCTTGTTGAATGTGAGAAAAACAACATTCATTCACTAATGACACAGCCTGTGGACATCAATACTATCATGGCGGTAGTGATGCAGGCTTAAAAGGTTTATCCCTGGAAAGCCAGTAGCAGAGGCATAGTGCTGATATCCCCCCACCCCCTTCCCCTGCCATATTTTTGTCAGTCCCAACTTTCAACAATCAAATATGAAAGTCCGGGGTTAGAATAGGTCTTCGGCAACCCATGCTTGCTGTAAAAGGCGACTATGCTTGTCGTAAGAGGCGACTAACGGGATCGGGTGGTCAGGCTCGCTGACTTGGTTGATGCATGTCATCGATCACAATTGCGTAGATCGATGCTCATGATATCAATCACTGGATTGTCTGGTTCAGACTCGATTATTTACAGACCACCGTCATATAGCTGGAATATTGCTGAGTGCAGCGTTAAACAACAAACCAAACCAAATCAACAATAAAATAACCTATGAAATTTACCTGATTTTAATTCTGTCAACATCATGTTCAAAGCAATGATGTCATCTCTGAAGTAACTTAGTTAGGTTTACACGTCCTTCAGACATTCACACAAGTACAGTTACAATTGTCTCTTTTTTTAATATTTCGAGACAAAGTCACTACAAAAATATATTCATCCTTGCTCATTCATGTTATATACTTAACTAAAAACAGACACGGGGAAATCCTGATGGAAAGACAAGATGACTTTTGTTTTGAAAAGTATACTAATATGAATATCGCCAATGTTTTGTTCAACAAGAAAGATTTATTATGTACTTTATTTGCCAGTCCACAGGGACTGCAGTCACATGAATTACCGGTCCAAGCCTAATTTCACCGGTGAAATACTGGTAATTCCCAGCAAAAAACTGGTAATTACCGGTAAACGGGAACACTGAGCAAAGACAATGCGAGAGAAGCTGGGATATACTAATCCACATCCATAGAGAAATAACCATAGAGGAGTCATAAGCCTTTCAGAGAGACTAACCTTTGAGGTCCTCATGCAGCACATTGCATGTCTTGAGATACACCAACACCTGCAGCAGCTGCTTGAAGTAGCGCAGACACATCCAGTGACTCAGGCGCCGGTTCAGACTCCGCTGCTCGTTGATGAGTGACGTCAGACTGCCGCCTGCAACAAGACACTGGGGCCTCAGGACAGCGTCACTGACCTTCATGTAAACAATACTGACATGCGGTGTGAGCCTGATATTATATGCTGGAGGGGGTGCATGGACAGAATACATTGTTTTAGACACAGCTTTAACATGTTTAAGAGACAATTTCTAAAAAATCCTTTCTCCATCCCAAAACATTGTGGACAACCATCAAGTCCAGCAAACAATTTTTTCATTTTTTTTGGAAACCTGAGGAGATTTATTTTTTCCAGTACTTTCTAGAACAAATAATGTTTCCAGGAAAAATCCAAGCCTCACTCCATTCATCCAGAATATCAAATAGTCTGTCCATAAAGAAGTATGATAAATGCACCTTGTGTCAGTCAATGAGGCGGTGCATGTTGTGTCAGTCAAGGAGGCGGTACATGTTGTGTCAGTCAAGGAGGCGGTGCCTGTTGTGTCAGTCAAGGAAGCAGTGCATGTTGTGTCAGTCAAGAAGGCGTTGCATGTTGTGTCAGTCAAGGAGGCGGTGCATGTTGTGTCAGTCAAGGAGGCGGTGCATGTTGTGTCAGTCAAGGAGGCGGTGCATGTTGTGTCAGTCAAGGAGGCGGTGCGTGTTGTGTCAGTCAAGGAGGCGGTGCGTGTTGTGTCAGTCAAGGACGCGGTGCATGTTGTGTCAGTCAAGGAGGCGGTGCGTGTTGTGTCAGTCAATGAGGCGGTGCATGTTGTGTCAGTCAAGGAGGCGGTGCGTGTTGTCAGTCAAAGAGGCGGTGCGTGTTGTGTCAGTCAATGAGGCGGTACATGTTGTGTCAGTCAAGGAGGCGGTGCATGTTGTGTCAGTCAAGGAGGCGGTACATGTTGTGTCAGTCAAGGAAGCGGTACATTTTGTGTCAGTCAAGGAGGCGGTACATGTTGTGTCAGTCAAGGAGGCGGTGCATGTTGTGTCAGTCAAGGAGGCGGTGCATGTTGTGTCAGTCAAGGAGGCGGTGCATGTTGTGTCAGTCAAGGAGGCGGTGCATGTTGTGTCAGTCAAGGAGGCGGTACATGTTGTGTCAGTCAAGAAGGCTGTACATGTTGTGTCAGTCAAGGAGGCGGTGCGTGTTGTGTCAGTCACTTAACCTCAAAAGGAGGGTTTGTCAGCCCTCAAGTGGTGAGCGAGTATTGTTTTACGCGGCTTTTAGCAATATTCCAGCAATATCACGGCAGGGGACACCAGAAATGGGCTTCACACATTGTACCCATGTCGGGAATCGAACCCGGGCCTCGGCGTGACGCGCGAACGCTTTCACCACTAGGCTACCCGACCTCCCCTGTCAGCTCTAGAACAGAATCAAATTATCTGATGTTGATGTGAACATAAAGAACAGCGCGCAACAGAAACATGGAATCTTAGTCCACTGATTCAAAGCGCCACAACTGTCAACTCCAATCAAAATCAATCGGCACCAAAGAATAACCATGAAGGCAACGTACCATCAACGAATTCACAGAGGATGTAGATTTTTGGTCCATGTCGGATGGCGCCGTAGAGTTTGACGATGTTTGCGTGGTCAAGGTCACACCAAATGACCAGCTCATTTTCTTCATATTTTGCAATGTGAACCTGAAATAAATCCCCAAGATACACAGCAAATGGTTCAATTTGTTTTAACACCATGCTCAGCAACAATCCCGCTATAAGATAGTGGCCTGTAGTGAGTGAGTGAGTTGGGTTTAACACCATGCTCAGCAACAATCCCGCTATAAGATAGTGGCCTGTAGTGAGTGAGTGAGTTGGGTTTAACACCGCTTTTAACAGTATTCCAGTTATATCACGGCTTGTCAGCTTAATGTGGGAGGAAAAACCGAAGTGATGCAGGTCTCAGACGATTACCACTTCGCTGAAACCCACAAGCACGGGTATGGTGCTGACAAACCTAGAAACAAAATTGGGGCGAACAGGGTTTCGAACCCTCAATCATAGGTTTCTGGGACGTCCCAAGGGACGCAACTCTGCACAGCAAATCACGGCGCCTTAGACGACTGGGCCACCCGTGCCCCCGATAGAGGCCTGTAAATAATCAAGTCTAGACCAGACATCCAGTGATTAACATTATGAACAACGATCACAGCATTAGAGCTAAAAGCAGCTTTGATTAATATATTTACCAAGGACTCAAAACATTACATTCTGAAACGTAGAATCCAGAAGTGAGGCAAAAGGTGGCCAAAAGGTGGCCTTGAGACCAGGTGAGCTAAGAATACATAATGATTGTCTACAAGTGTGGATTCAAACATTTGCGAGGTGGTGCTACCTACCCTTTTGACACAGAAGCTGAATCCTGTGGTTGAATCACGCGCCAGGTGACACTTGCCAGCGACACCATTTCCAAGGTGGACAAGACGCATCCATTGATTCTTCTTCTGGTAGCGTGTTCGCAGGATTCGAAGGTGCTTCTAAAAGGTAGTAAAAGAGATTGATAACAGTACATTCAATCCAGTAAAACTGTGGAAAGACAACACAACTAAAAAGTAATACCAGTAATATTAGGTGTGTGTGTGTGTGTGTGTGTGTGTGTGTGTGTGTGTGTGTGAGTGAGTGAGTGAGTGAGTGAGTGAGTGAGTGAGTGAGTGAGTGTGTGTGTGTTGTGTGTGTGTGTGTGTGTGTGTGTGTGTGTGTGTGTGTGTGTGTGTGTGTGTGTTGTGTGTGTGTGTGTGTGTGTGTGTGCCAACAAGAACAATCTTTTAATGTCTTTCAGTATGACACAGCCCGATCCCTGGGGTGGACGCTCTATCACTGGACCACGGAGGCGGTCACTTCAGAAACTATGGTGGCACATGGGTCCACGTAAGTACCATACCAGAATGGAGACATAATACAATCAAGGATGCATTAAACCTAAACCAACCTTTGCCGACTCCAGAATGACTCCTTCCTCCCGCATTTGGTGCTTGTACGCCTCGTGGTCCACTTGGCGCCGGATGTTGGCCCAGAACCGTGCCACCTTCTTCAGCTGCCGCCTGGTCCCGTATACAACCTCACCGATCCCAGGCTCGCCCGTTGGCGCCGTTGTCAGGGAGATGTTCTGGTCATGTTCACCCTGAAAGGTGGACCTGATGGGCAGACTCATTGCTCCAGACACACCATAAATCTTATCCACCTCCCCCTCGGTACTGTAAGGTCGAGCCTCGGGTTCGAAGATGCCACCATGTGTGTCCATCATTGGCTTGTACCTGTCGTAGATGACATCCTCCGCTGAGGGCTCCTCATCATTCTGTCCCGAAGAGACTGATGTTGCTATGGAAAAGTCATCAAAATTACCCATTGAGGATCTACTGCTGCCACCATCTGCAGGTCCTGTTGGGAGCGAAAGGTAGCCCTCTCCAGCCAGTTCTCCAATAGACCCTTGAGGCATGTCAGTCTTTCTGGCATATCTAACAGGCTCCATGCTAGGTCCATCATCCGATTTAGACCCTGGGATGGAATTGTCGGCATATTTTGAAGCACCAGAAGCAGTCTCATTTGACAGTTGTCTGCTCAAGCGTCCTCGTCCCCGTGGTTTCCAGTTCACTTTCAGTGAGGCGACGTCATGTCCAGGGCTTTCCAGAATTCTTTTCAAAGACGGTTGAAAGTTTCGGCCAGATCCTGACCGGCTGAACTGACCGCCAAAGGAAGATGCAGCAACAGGTGACACAGTCGGAACCTGAGGAGCTCTTGCTGATGACGCCGAGGGCATCGAATCATCCGAGGTCAAAGATGCTGCTGGACTCTGACCCGAAGCCACTGATGAGCCGTCTCCTTTCTCGGACATACTGTACATACCCAAGGACCCGCTGCCATGGAGACCATAAGGATGGAGCACCTTATCCACATATTTCTTCATCTTCAAGAACAGCTGTTCGCTCCTACTCTGAACCAGCTCAACTTTGAAGGTCACAGTTTCGAGGAGTTGCTGACAGATGTCGGACGATGATTCCCTGGCCGTCTTCTGTGATTGGAGACAGCTGTGTACATGGTAGAGGGAGAGTCGGTGCACCTGCCAACAGATATTGCACCTCCTGTACAACTGCTGGCACCGGGCGAAGTGGTTGAAGAGGTAGTGCAGGACGTTGCAGATGGAGCAGTAGACGTCGGACTGGCTGGACAGATCATGCAGGACTATCAGCATGCAGTGGTTCACGTCATTCAGCAAGCCAGTGTCTCCATGCATGCTGGGACTTGTATCCGGGCTCTGAAAATATAAATGGCCAGTAAAAGTCACATGTTGGCTAATGCTGCACTCAACAACATTCCAACAATAGGATGACTGGTAAATAATCGAGTCTTGACCAGACAACACAGTGATTGATATAATGAGCATTGTCAATACGAAATCAACTAAATCACCCAGCCTGACCACCTGATCCATTTTGTTGCCTCTTACGACCCCCCCAAGGATGATGGGGACCTATTCTAATCCGGAATCCTCACTGGATATTTCAAATGAAAAGAACACGACCATTGAACTGACTTGAGTGAGAGAGCGAGTTAGGTTTAACACCGCTTTTGACAGTATTCCAGTTATATCACAACGTATCAGCTTAATGTGGAAGGAAATCCTGAAGTGATGCAGGTCTCAGACATATACCACTTCGGTGAAACCCACAAGCACGGGTATGGTGCTGACAAACCTAGAAACATAATCGGGGAGAACCTTGATTCAAACCACAATCATAGGTTTCTGGGACGTCCCTTGCTGGGACGTCCCAAGGGACGCAACTCTGCACAGCAAATCGCAGGGCCCTAGACGACTGGGCCACCCGTGCCCCATTTCCAGCATGTAAATGTAATTTTCAGAATATAGAACACGGGCAAAATGAGAGCTTAACTTACCAATGAGCCAAGCAAGTCAATGAGCATTTCATCTGACATGTCTGCATGTTTTTTGCGGACCGCCTTGTAGTCTTGTCCGGGTATGTCAGCTTCCACAAGGAGGTGTTGAGGTCCGGGTAGGTTGTCGTCTGGGGGATGTCGGTCATGGCCCTGTAAAAAGTAATTTAATTTTCCATGAAAACAATGCCAAACCTGTATTAGATCTAGATTCATTACAGCTATATGATGGCTGTCTGAAAATAATGCAGTCTGGACCAGGCCATCTAGTGACTGTCTACCCAAATGGGATATGATGACATGCATCAATCAAGTCAGCGAGCATGACCTCCCGATCCCATTGGTCGCCTCTTTCGACAAGCATGGTTGCAGAATGAAACTGTATGAGGTGAGGTGAATTGGAGTTTAACGTTGCGTCCAAGATTATTGCACTCATAGAGCGACGTGCATGCATGTGTGTGTGTGTGTGTGTGTGTGTGTGTGTACTGCTTGTACTAGTCCGGACTAATGCCGATTTATAGCACTAGCCTGAGATACCACTCTGCAGTTAACATGAATACCCCGCTCAGACACAGTATACAGATTCCAAGCCGACCAGTCTTTGTTTTAGCCCCTTAATGCCGAGCACCAGACAGGGTAACAACAAGTACCATCTTTTAACGTCTTTTGGTATGACGCAGCCGGGATCGAAACCCGGACCTTCTGCTCTTTGGGCGGACGCTCTACCACTAGACCACAGATGCGGTCTGAAACTGTATGAAATAACAAGACTAGATAATGGGTTTTACTTTAATATACAAAATACTGACAAAAAGAATGACAAATAACTACCGTTCAGTATGGCTATGTGAAAAAGGACACACTGCCTACGTAAAGTTAGAATGTTAAACACTAAAGATAATGCCATGGATATAGGTGAAGTTATCGATAAGAGTTTCTCAATGAGTATGAAATGGTTTACTTCATGCTGAGTGGCAAGTTCATTCCAATCCCTCCATTGATTTTATTGTTTACAAAAAGAGGGCCACAGAAACCCAACATCATGTGAGTGAGTGAGCGAGTATGGTTTTACGCCGTTTTAAGCAATATTCCTGCAATATCACGGCGGGGGACACCACAAATGGGCTTCACACATTGTACCCATGTCGGGAATCGAACCCACATTGTACCCATGTCGGTGTCGAGCGAACGCTTTAACCACTAGGCTACCCGACCGCCCCCCAATATCATGTGGACTCCTCCAGTGTTCGTCACATCACAAATGATACTAATGTCGTCGCAACAATAGTCCCAACAACTCGGCTGATGTCTCGACTTGGGATCAGGAAATCGACATCTTTCTACATTACTTCAGAAATTAAGACCGTATTTACCATAAAACGCTTCCTGAGGGTGCTCACAAAATTGATAAGGGGATGTGTTTTTTAAAACCTACATGTTTAAATTTCTTGTCAAGATTGAACAAACTTAGTTCAAACTTCAATGAAACAAAACAATTTTTTTATAATAGTTACTTAGCAATAAAATATCCCTTCTGCGCTGTTGTTATCTGTAAATATCTAAATACATACACCAGGAAAAATGGACTGTCATGTAAATGTTCAGTCGTAGTAAGGATAAACAGATAAAGGCTTTACTTACAAATCAGTCTAGAAGTTTGTCAGGGGGCCCTTATTTAAGAAGGGTGCTTAATACGACACATACGGTATGGGTAATACCGTATTCGACGTAATAAGCGCCCCGCTCTAATAAGCACCCACGGCAAAATTTGCTTATATATTGGCCAGTGAACAATCCAAATTATCACCCTTCCGATTGAACAGTGTACACAAGACTTATTTATTCGTGTATAATACGCAATTGTGTGTTATATGCCCCCTTAATTACGGGCAATCAAATTCTGGAAAAATATATCTGTCGTGTATAATACACACAGAGTTTCCTTTTGTATCATTTCAGGCTGTCAGCATAAACCACAAAATTTACGATCTTTCAACTTTTTTACTTACATCATAATAAGAGCCCCCTATTACTAATTTTGAGGGTGCCCTGGGTGCTCATTATGTCGAATACGGTACCTTATATTTCTCAGAGTTATGGAATAATTGTCCCCTGTGAACTGACGTTGAAAGTTCCACCCCAAGACTACAAATTACAACAATTTCTTTACTTGGGACCGACAATCCATAATTCATTGTAGCTCGTAGGTTATTCTCTGAGTACTCTGTTTCTCTGGACAGGGAAAATACAATGTCTTACCTGACGGAGAGTGAGTGAGTGAGCGAGTTGGGTTTAACACCGCTTTTAACATTATTCCAGTTATATCACGGCGTGTCAGCTTAATGTGGGAGGAAAGCCCCAAGTGATGCAGGTCTAAGACGTTTACCGCTTCGGTGAAACCCACGAGCACGGGTATGGTGCTGACAAACCTAGAAACATAATTGGAGCGAACCGGGATTCGAACCCACAATCATAGGTTTCTGGCGTGCCCAAGGGACGCAACTCTGCACAGCGAATCGCGGCGCCTTAGACAACTGGGCCACCCGTGCCCCCCCTGACGGAGAGGGTCAAATAATAATATAAACAGAAATAACAGTGTGGGTATACAAAATGGTCATATGTGATGTCTAAGTTACTGAAAATAGACTTTACTGCGCAAACTGAAAGATCAACTGAACTCACTCTTCTATTATTATCGGGATTATTCGAGTTGTTGCTGCCATCCGAATCTTGTCTATCCTGCAACATGATTCATTACATTTTGAAAATAATGGCCGTGTCGGTTGGTTGGTTTGTTGTTTAACGCTGCACTCAGCAATATTCCCGCTGTATGATGGCGGTCTGTAAATAGTTGAGTCTGGACCAGACAATCCAGTGATTGGTATCATGAGCATCGATCCACGCAATTGGGATCGATGACATGCATCAACCAAGTCAGCAAGTCTGACCACCCGGTCCCGTTAGTCGCCTCTTACGACAAGCATAGTCGCCTTTTACGGCAAGCATGGGTTGCTGAAGACCTATTCTATCCCGGATCTTCACGGGTCCCGTGTCAGTCTGCGCATTGGGTTTAACATTGCCTTGCTAGGTAGTTCAGTTACACGTAGCAAGTCAACTTTCATGGGTTTCAGCTCAATGATGACGGTCTGAAAAAACCCGGGACCAGACATTCCAGTGATCGACATCATGAGCATCAAATCACAAAGGTGGGATACAATGATCAAACAAACCACCGAGTCTGACCCCTACAATTTACTCACTACTTACATTTGTTTGTTGTTTAAAGCTGCACTCAGCAATATTCCAGCCAAATGACAAGGCCTGTACATAACAGAGTCTGGATCAGACAACCCAGTGATCAATATTGTGAGTAACTTTTCATGATTTCACTGGCAACAGCGGTCACTTTACAGAAACAATTGCATTACTTATCTACTGACAATGGCAAGCAACCAAGATTTGTTCAAATCAAGTCACCATCAAGAATTGTCAGGTGAATTAAAATGCAAAAATCATCCGCTTCACAAACATGATCCAAACATCGTCCACACGCAATCCGCCATGTCCCAGAGAACAACCACCTATTGCTTGTTTGTTGTTTAACGCTGCACTCAGCAATATTCCAGCTATCTGACGGTGGTCTGGAAATAATCAAGCCTGGACTAGACAAGCCAGTGATTCATATCATGAGCATGGATCCATGCAATTGGGATCGATGACATGCATCAACCAAGTCAGCGAGCCTGACCACCAGATCCCGTTAGTCGCCTCTTACAACAAGCATAGTCGCCTTTTACAGCAAGCATGGATTGCAGAAGACCTATTCTATCCCAGATCCTCAGGGGTGACTACCTATTGTAGTAGGTTCGTACAACTGAAATACAAAGCACCCCACAGCATCTTCAACTCACGCTGCCTCGGCCAGTTCTGTTTGAAGAAGAGCCATCAGAGCTGCCGCTTCGTCCGCCCAGGGAAGAGTTACCTCCCCCTCCCTCTGTGTTCATGCATGACCTTGCTCGGTAATACCCGACTCTCAAATCCAGCTTCTCTGTGAAAATTGCAATATTCATTCAACTAAATTAGTTACTTTAAGGGACAAACTGTTGTCCTTTAAAATAGGCCATTATTTTTATATTTGTTGGATCTCGGATCTGTTGACCCTATTTTCTTCAAAATTGGAAAATAAAGATATCCCAATTTACATTAAAAACATTCCGCTGACATTGTACCAATGTGGGAAATAGAACCCAGGCCTTCAGCATGACGAGTGAACGCTCTAACCAATAGGCTGCCCTACTTCCCCTCGACCAGTATAGGCAAAATCCACTTACCATCTCTGTATTCATCTGCAGTTGATGCTAACTTCGTCAAAGGTCGCAAATAAGGGTCCGGGTTTGTTCCAGGTACTTCACAAGGTCCATCTGGGTCAATCCTCAAATGCTTCTTAACACGACCAGGTTTTCCCAAGTATGTTGCCTTGTTCCACTTCTTCATCTTCTTCTGAAGAGATCTCTTCCTCAAAAACTGATACCACTGGAGTATGTAAAGCGATGGAGCTGGAAAAGTGAACTGCTTGTCAAAAGGAGATCTCACATCTTCCTTCTGTTCTACCTGTGGGCCATCATCAAGTTCATCAACTTCTTCAAGCAAGTCCTGTTCATCCTCGTTAGAATCCTCCTGGATATCCTTCTCCATGGACTCCTCACCTGCCTTATCGGCTGCGTCAATAGAGTCCTTGGTTTCCTCACACGATGCTTTCTCAACTGCTTCCTTCAACACTGAATCCCTTGTTTCTGGTCTATTGCCTGGATGCCTCGTTACAGCATCACATTCTTCCAGTACTTCCTCCACTTCCTCTTGACCCTTCACCTCATCAAGGACATCTTCTCTACAATTCTCCTCCGTAGACTTGTATTTTTCACCAACAGAGGACACTTCCGTATCTTCCCAATTCTTCCCCATGACATCAAACGCCACCTTCTCCTCACGCTCATCATGGTCCAATGAACCAGACCCATTACAGATGTCACAATGGTCTTTTCTTCCACAGATCTTCTCCCCTCCTTCCTTCAAGTCAGAGTCGCCTCCCTTGGACAGGATGCTGGATTCCCGCATGAGTTGCCTCCCTTCCCTTCCAATAGCTTCCATGACTTTCTTCAACTGATGTGGTGTCAGCTTGGAGTGGAGCTTGAGGTACAGACTCACTAATGAGTTGCTCAGCCCCTCCTCATCAACACCCTCTTCCCCAGTTGAGATGCTGGTCCTCAAGCTGCTCAGGAGGTCAGACACATGCTTCTGCAAGTTCTTTCTGTGTTCCTGAGTATTCATCACGTTCTGCTCTCTGACGTAGTGGTTCATGAAGTTGTCTTCGGGAAAAGCAGTAGCGATCACGTTGCAGATGTTCAGGACACCAGTCGTCAGTTTTTCTTCTTGGTTTCGGATGTCATTGGAGAGGTTCTCATCCAAGTTATTCAGCTGATTACCGAACACTGATTGGGGAGTCATCTCTGTATAATCGTTAGAATTCTGGGAATTTTCTCCATTGCATTGTGGGGTGTCCAAGACATGAACAAGGTTTTTGTTCATCTTTTCAGCCATCTTGTTGTCAGCCATCTTGTTGTCAGCGACTTGCGTAACTTTTGGGCCCTTGCGGACCTTGCCATTAACAATCTTTTCACTGTGCTTAGTATTTCTTGCTGTTGAGGGCAGAGTCTGGAAGATGTTTTCTGAAAGTTTGTCATCCTTAGATGGATCCACTTTTTCATCATTCTCCTCGCCACCGTAGCAGCGCTTTATCTCTGTTTCTTCTTGAAGGGCACTGGAAAATGAGTGAGTGAATGAGTTGAGTGCAACACTGAATTGAACTAGCATTTCAGTTATAATGAAGCATGTGTTGTTAATGATGGAAAGACAAAATATTACATATCGTGGACTCGTGGGTGTGTACCATTTCAGTAAACCCCAAAGTGCAGGTGTCATTCTGTACAGGCCCAAGATCATCATTGGAGCAAATCTGAGGATTCAAACCCATCTAAGAGTGATAGCTGTGCATAGTGAACTGCAGGACACAATGCCACATGGCCAACCATGGTGGAGCAAATCTAGGGATTCGAACCTATATCAGCAGATCCTGGCACAGCTAAAGGAGGCAACTCCAACCAGTGAATTGCAGGACAAAAGACCACATGGCCACACACAGAGGAGCAAATCTGGGTATTCAAACCCACTATCAGCAGATCCTGGCACAGCTAAAGGCGACAACTCCAACTAGTGAACTGCAGGACATAATACCACATGGCCAACCATGGTGGAGCAAATCTAGGGATTCAAACCAATATCAGCAGATCCTGGCACAGCTAAAGGAGGCAACTCCAACCAGTGAATTGCAGGACACAAGACCACATGGCCACACACAGGAGCAAATCTGGGTATTCAAACCCACTATCAGCAGATCCTGGCACAGCCAAAGGAGACAACTGCAACAAGTGAAATAACTGCGGCACATAAGACCACTTGGCCACCCATGACCTCAAATTCTGTCTGTCTGTCTGTTGAATGCTGCCAAACTCATCAACAGTCCAGCTAAACGACAGCGACCTGTAAAATTATCGACTCTGGACCAGACAATCAACTGACGTTATGAACATCGTCCCTCACTGTCAGTACACGATGACACAAAGCCACTAGGCCTGTCTGACCCACTGATCCATATCATCACCTGGGGATCAAGCCTAACCTGCCCACGGAAGATATATGTAACTGGTTGAAACTGGTAAAAATTGTAACGGTTGAGCAGTGTTGAGATTGTGTATACCGTAATAAATGATGAAACTTTTCCGGGCAACATGTTTTACTTCCTCACTTTCCTTTCATCAGAGTTGTCCCCCTTAGATATATATCCTGCATATCCAAGCAACATACAGCCATATTTCAGCCTTATTACAAAGACAAGTAACTAATGCAATCAGGACCAGACAAACTAGACGTGTTTATGACCAACATCCCTCACCTTCTTGGAAAGTTGACCTATAATCAGCCAAGTCACCAAGTCGCCACACCATCTATAAGTCGCGTCTTACGACAAGCAGTAGAATGCAGGGTTCTTTTCTAATCTGGAATTCCATGACAGTCGTTTTCTTCAAATTGAGCACTTACCTTTGTTCTCCACTTTTCAGTCTTTTGTTGTCAATGTCTTTCGACCACTTTGAATGTAAGTCAAAATCTCTTCTCTGCCCGTCTGCTGGGTATGCCGGCAGACTCCAGTACGAGATCTCCTTGCTGTATGGCATTGTTACAGGCTGTGTGCACAAGTCACAGGCAAGCACTACCAAGATGCACTTGGCTCAGGATATCTGCAAAAGAGGAAACAAATATATTATACACTCGTTGTTGATTGATTACTGAAATGGCAATTTTTTCCACATGTATACAGATGAGATACAAATATAAAATACTCTGCAGGGATATGTCAGTATTAGAAACTGGCACTAGTCCTATAGTCCTTGCCAAACTGCCCAATAGTTAAGGTATTATAGGGACTAGAAGAAATTTGCACTTATTAACATGATTAAGGATTTGGCTACCGGTATATGTTATCATTATAAGGACTAGTGGACTAAAACAGTTAGTTTCTATCGCAGGACTTGCTGAACTTCTAACCAGTGTGAAAACAATATCATTATATTATCGTGAAACTGAAATCTAATAAATACAGCCTAGTACCACTTCGGTGAAACCCACGAGCACAGGTATGGTGCTGACAAACCAAGAAACAATCGGGGCGAACCGGCATTCTAACCCATAATCATAGGTTTCTGGCATGCCCAAGAGACGCAACTCTGCACAGCGAATTGTAGCGAATTGTGGCGACTTAGACGACTGGGCCACCCGTGCCCCCTACCATACTGATGAATATATTTGAGAGACACACCTGAAAACTGTGCCAGAAAGATAAAATAAATTTCAACTGGTCCCTCTAGGTACATGGGGTGAATTCCCTGTGCAGGAGCATATGTACTTCTCACTTCTAACTTGTGACACAAAGTCTCTCACACAAGATATATATCATCCCTTATACTGCTCAAGACTAGTTGACTCATAAAACATACACTTTAATCAGAGATTCAGATTACAATTTACTTCTCTCAGATTAAAATATTCAGTCAGGGTTAGAAATTAAAATTTTCCCAAATGCACAAACTTGACGTTCTACAGAGTGGCCGCCCTGCATGATGAGGAAAAGTTGGTTTTGCCACTTATGTCACAATATGATATACCACAACAGTTTATTTTTCATGAAGACGATAAAATACAAATTTATTGCCTAACTGGGTTGTGATATGATATGCGTCTTGATAGAGGAGGTAATAAATCTAGATAAACGCCTCGGTACACATTCAGTCAGTCGAGACAAGCTCAACAACATTTAGACAGGGTCACTATATAGTGAGTACTTCCCCAGTGTTTGTGGCAGGTTTTTATACAGCGCGAGCAGAAATGAAATTATAAATTTTCAATTCAAATATTTCGCATGTGAAGTTTTTATTTAAAAAATATCAGTACTAGTACAGCTAATAATTAAGGCCAAGCTTTAACTTACGGTCCAGTTTTGATATAATGAACGTTCAATCATTAATAAAATAAATATGACTGTTGTTAGCACATGCCCATGTGTGGAAGTTTTCTTCCGTCGCTCTGTTTATGATCGTTCCAACTATTACTTGTAAGCTGGGCTCTGATTGGATGAAACGAACGACTTCCGGGGAATTCCATCGATAGTAACGAATGACGTCCTGTGTCTGAGATTAGTTATTCCCTTGCCCAAAGACCATATATAGAAATATAAAGGACGCGATTCAAAGCGCCATCTGGACACACTCTATTTTTAGCAATGGGAATTTCCAGGTTTTGATTTATTTTCGTCTGAACATCGTAAGCAGGCTTTGAATAATTTTATATTTTATGGTATCAATACAAAATTAAGTATATCACAATCTGTGCATGCAAAACACGCATGCAAAATATTTTTTGCGTGTTTATTATTTTAATATGTGAAAAACTCAGGTTTCTGCGTTAACGTGAACACTGCTTCCATCTACAGACAAAACTTGCACTGTCTCCAGCAGAGGTCGACTGATACAGTAAGGTCATGAAACGATATGTATCAGTGAGTGAGTATGGTTTTATGCCGCTTTTAGCAATATTCCAGCAATATCACAGTGGTGGACACCAGAAATGGGCTTCACACATTGTACCCATGTCGGCAATCGAACCCAGGTCTTCTGCGTGACGAGAGAAGGCTTTAACCACTAGGCTACCCGACTGCCCCACCATATGTATCATGATACATAGCTCACAATATGATACTTTTCATGATATGCATATTTACGTCAAATCACTTGGAAAATTCTTACTGTAAATATTTCAGAGCAGGGCTCAAAAGGAAAAGTTAGAAGTAGACACATGTTTGTAGTGGCTATTTTTAGTAGTGAACTTGAAACGCTAATTACAACACATTTTGCAATATTTCACTGACAAAAACACTGAGGTCATTAAACCAGTAGTAAGTAAATTGTTTTAACAAGTGTATCATCTTGTATCGATATAGAAAAAACATATCGTGCACCGTATCGTCGCATGAAAATTCATGCTACACCTGTGCACCGATGTATCGTTCCACCCTTAGTCTCCATGGATTAATGCAGACTTGCTCAGAGGCCGTGACACAAGTATACACCAAATTTCAAGAATAAATCCCAAATTGGAATTAATCATTTCAAAGATGTAGCTTTTTTCAACCCCAAAGCAACTTTCATTCCAGCGGTACATTTGTGACCTGTTCTTCTAAACCTGTGACTTACAAAGGGATTATTTTAGGCATAACAGGTTATACATATATCATGCTATAAAAAACAAGATTGTTGTTGTTGTTTGTTCCAGTGATTGACATCATGAGCATCGATCCACGCAATTTGGATACGATGACATGCATCAACCAAGTTTATAAGCTAGTCTGACCACCCGATCCTGTTAGTCACCGCTTACAACAAGCATAGTCGCCTTTTATGGCAAGCATAGTTGCTGAAGACCTATTCTAGTTCATTAATAGTTTCTGATCAAATTCCTTTCAATCATTGAATAAAAATAATTCTTTTGAGTCATTATGATAACATTTTTCAGTGAATCACGGGTAGATCATGGTATTTATGACTACCTATTTCCTAGTCGATTTTACAAGCACATCACACACGACCCTATTACTTTGCTCCCATAAAGAAATTACTCATGCAACAGGAAATACAATTGAAAATGTAAACTATTTTGTCCAGTGAGTACTCTAGTTTAAGACTGAGCATTGAAACACAAGACAGCTCGTTTTCCTGAAATGCAGGGTTAGAAACTAACAGTTTTTGTCCACTAGTCCTTATAATGATAACATACAGCAAAACCCTTAAAATGGGCCAATTCCTACTAGTCCTTAGGAAACCTTTACTATTGGGCAGTTTGGTAAGGACTACAGGACTAGTGCCAATTTCTAACGCTGAAATGTACCCTAGAAAGGGATGTCTGTAGAAAAGATGGTAAATTTTTGTCTGAACATCCATCGTCACATACCCAGTGTCCGAAATAACAGCT